CTATCCTTCATGAAGCTCTCAAAATGCAGGAAGCCATTGTCAAGATCATTCATGAAGACTACTGCCCTTCCCTCATATCCTCCTTCCATTCCTTTCTTGACCAACTACCCCTTGACATCATGGTCCATGGGCCCTTCTCTCTGGCATGTCAAGCAGTGCCTAGAGGATCAAGCCTACCTTCAGTCCCTGACCAAAAGGAAACATGGCCACTCTCAGGTCCAGAAACCCATGTTGGAGAGCCATCACAATCTGGAGGAAGAGGAGTTCCTGTGCCTGAAGGAGATGTCGAACTGCAGTGTCATGATTGCTGGGAGAAGATTATACTGGGCCAGGGCTGAGAGCACTTCCAGGCCATTGTGGACACCCTTGCAGCTGTCCCCTTTAATGGCTCCCCCCATGACTGGCTCGACTTTTTCACCTCAGCCTGAGGAGATTCTGCTGGCCAGGCCATCTTCTATGCTACTAAGACAACCTGACCTATGCCAGATGTACCCTTTGTTCCAGTCCCCATTTCTTCCCTCAGCAAACAAGAACTTGGTGGGCTCGTTTCCCTCAATTGGCAGCATCCCCTCTATCAGTTTGCCTGCTACTGATGCTCACACCTTGGACATTGGTTGACTGACTGCCCAACTCGAGGTGGCAACTAATGCCAAAATCTGCTCATGGGTGACTGCTGGACTCTACCTGCCTTCAGAGGACCTCAGGCCTTCAAGGGGGGGGGGTGATGTTATGCTGCATTCACATTTCTTTCCTTTTATAGACTTTATACACTACTGCTTGTCATGCTGTCAAGTGACAATGTTCTGTCACCCATGAGCCACCTCTGGTCTTGTGTTCTCTTAGTATGCTCCCTTTTATGGTATCCCCCTGTTTACCCCACATTGTACTATAGCCAGACATTGCATCCATTCCCCTTCCTTCCGTGATCTGCTGGTGGCCCTGATCCACACAGTCACATGACATGGTTAGCCCATCTACCCCAGGTGACTGGTTCACACCTATGACATCATGCATGAGTAAACCCTCACACTCATTTAATCCCTCATGTATGTTTATTCCCTCTCTGCACATTTAACCCTGTGTCTGCAGTCCATTCACCCTTGCACCCTTGCAAGAGTGACTTGGTCTTGCCTCATACAGACACAGGTAGACCATTTAGTTGCTTTCGAATGTTTGTTCCACAGGTACTCTACATATGTATATAAACCCACATGTATTGTACTGCTCCCTCATTCAAAATCTACTTTGCAACCACACTTAACTCTGCTTGCTGTACTTCTGGGACTTAACAGTACAATTTTGCTTGGCCAAGACTGGTGCTCCATTCACTAGTGAAGTTAAATTATGCATCACTTCTCATGCAGTCACATGCTTGTACTTTGGTACTCGATTCATGATGCAATACAAGTCATTGGCATAACAGTACTCATCCTTCTTTAATTCTGCCAGCCATTTCTTCCTCCTAGATGGCAACTTGTGGTGTTGGGAACCACATGGGCAGCACCAGCTAGTTGTTGATGAGTCCAAGCAGTATTGCCTTATCAAGGAAGCACATGACAACCTTGGACACAAAGGCATCTTCACTGTCTGCACCCACCTACTCCTCTGCTTGTCAAGGACATGAAATGGTATGTTTGCACTTGCCATGAATGCCAGATCTGCCAGACACAGAAACTACACATACCTCCCACTGTGCTCATGATAGGGGGCCTGTTTCATAAAGCTCACATTGACATGATGCTAATGCCCAAAGCCAGCAGCTACCACTACATAGTACAGGCTCAGTGCACACTCACCTCATATCCCAAATGGCACATGCTTTATGCAGAAAATAGTACTGCACTCACATCCTTCATCTTTGAGGACATTCTATGCTGCTGGGGTCCACTTGCCAAAATTGTCACTGACAATGGTCCTGCATTTGTTCAAGCCTTAGATGCCCTAGCCACACAATATCATATCTGTCACATCTGTATCTCTCCCTACAACTCTCAGGCTAATGGCATTGTAGAGCATCACCACTATGATGTTCACAAGGCTATCATGAAGAGCTGTGAGAGTGATGACTGCCACTGGCACACTGTTGTGCACTCCATATTCTGGGCCAAGTGGTGTAGGGAATGTACTTTCCCTACCAGGGGAATTGCCTTATTTTGCTTGTTTTACTTCATTTTCATTCTAGATACTTTTTTCTATGAGTTGCACTTAGATTTCGCATTTTTTGTTGCTTAGTCAGCAGTAGTGCTACTTGTGTATGGTTTTTTCCTTTAAAAAACAATAGATGAGTTACCACAGACAAGAGATGAAATCAAGCAGGTCATTTCCCTGCACCAAGACAGCCATAGAAGCCCTTAGACATCCCCTCCATCCAGTTCCAGGCTATAGAAGCCCCTTTTGGCCTACTCACTCCCCATCAGATTTCACCCTCTACCCAGTCTTCTCCTCTTGTTTTCTCATTTTCCTACAGCAGGTCACCATTCTGAAGTCCACAGGTTTATCCCCTTACTTCATGGTGCACAGTGTCAAGCTGCTGTTCCCATTTGACCTTGCTGAGGCTACCCTCCTTTTACCCCTATCCTGCAATGATGCAACACTGCTGACTACCACAGAACTGATTGCTTGGCATGTGTGCCAGTTACAGAAGCATCAGGATGACCTGGACCAGGTCTGCAATAACATCCTCCACATGCACCTCCAGTCTGTCCAACAGTTCGCCCAGTAGTGCTCAATTGTTGATGCCTTGACAGCAGCCCATGCATCCTTTGCCATCATCATTGCCTCAAGCAAATTGACTTTATAGATGTCAGTCTCCCCAACTTCTTTCAAGATCCACAGCATGCATGCTGAATGCATGCCAGTAGTGAGCCTTGAAGCATCAGATAATCCCTGCATCAAGTGGCTGAATGAGTGATGTTAAGTTTGGCCCAAAGAATTCTATTTGGATATTCTGTGGCACAAAGGATATATAGTGGCCACTGAAGTTGTCAATTACGAGGTAGATGTGCCACTTCTCCTTGTGCATCTTCAAATCAAATGCTTTTACCCAGCTTACCATTTCAGTGAGCATGTCATTCTCCCTGTGCAAAACTACTGATCACTCACTCTTTGAATAGTTCTGATGTCATCCATGCTGCTTTGTTATTGCGATAATCAAATCCATGTGCAGCTGGTGAATTATTCTTAAAGACACATGGCTTTTTGTACTTCCCAATGAAAAATATAGGCATCTTCTCACTGCCATTGGAATTACAGGAAAAGCCCAAGCTCAGGCAGAATTTGTTTCTTTTCTTTCCACTTATTTGCCTTGTTGCCAATCCTTGATCAGGTAGAGCACTGAATGACCTAGGTATCAATTTAAATATATGAATAAAAGGATTAGCTTACAATGCAAAGAGCCTGGTCTCATCAAAGTTCCAGCAGTCTTTGGGGTTGAATTTTTCCAAGATTTTTGCAATGTGGTTCAGCTTCAACAGCAGCAAGATCAACAGATGCTGCTTCACCATGGTGCAGATGCTCTCATAAGTGATAAGTCCTAGTGAAGGATGCCACCCATCCATCACCAGTGAGCTGTTCCTCTTCTGGAACACCCAGGAGGTCCTCAAACCTCTTCCTTTTCTCTGGTAACATTGGCCCATTGACCTGTTCCCCCTTATCCTCCATAGCACAAACCCAAAGGATGAGAGCCTTCTCAACATCTGGCTGAGTGACTATATGAGGCTGCTTTGAAGACAATGCACTCAGATTGTCATGGATGTGTTGTTCTAAATTTGTGCAAGCTTTCAACTTTCTTGAAAGTGTTGACTGAGTAAACACTAAAGCCCCTGTTTGTAGTGTTGCAAAATGCTTGACTATGTCCTCCTGTGAAGAATTTGGATGCTTGTCAATGTAGGCAAAGACCATCATCCAGTCATGCAGGGTGAGATTTTCCCAGGTGCCTGTGTTCTGTTGTTTAGCTGATGTTGCAGGTGCATCTTTGGAAGATTTCTGCCCAGGTTTACAAGCATATGGAGTCAGCTTTGGACATGGTTTTCAGCAGGTAGTCTCAGACTTCATGGGGATACTGCTGAGAAGGATGCAACATGAAAATCTTTGCCTCTCTAATCATTAATGAAAGTCTTCTGATGTTAACATTAGAAAGATGCCAGATGAGCATCAAATCACTGCTGAAGGGTAGACTTTTCATTCTGATCTCTTCCAAATAAGTACATTTCATACTGCATATTGGTAGTCTGAGAGCATGCATTATGCAATATGCACATTTTACCAAATCCACTGTGCCCCAACTTGGCCCAGCATGGGCTGACAAAAAAGTCATGCAGTATAAGACTTATGCAAGTTGAGCCCATGCATTATGAGATAATCAACTGTAGTGAAGTCTCAGCATGATAATTAGATGCTCTGTGTTACCTAAAAAGGGTACTGTATTGACCAAGTCAACTTGGGCCACTGTGGTAGTCAAGAAGTCCATGGTTCAATTTTGCATTGACACATCAACACACCATTCATTTGGCATCGTTTATCTTCCACTACCTATGTTCAACAATGCAGTATGCTGATTTACACAACATCTACAAGGTATATTGTGACCACATAAGTGATTACCTGACATTTATGATGGTGTGGTGAGCCTTGGAACAAGAATGTGAATTAGTGTGTGTTATGTAAGCATGTGTGACTAGTGTTGTCCCAACTACTTGTGCACTGTCAGGCAAGTCTGAGGCCCATGAACACATCTGCTGGCTAGCATTGAGTAAATACAGGATCAATGTCAACCATCCAGTTCTGTCCAAATGTATTAGGCTACTAGCTGTCCACAAATAGCAGTGCATTACCACATCCTAGAGGGATCATGCCCTAATGTAACTCTGCATGAAGTCTATGCCTCATCACCATGGGTATTTACAATCAAGGGGAGTCCCATATTGACACAGATGTAGTCACACTGGTGCTGCTGCATGAAAATTTTGATTCCATCTTTTCTGTGATTGCCAATTCCACTGTCACTTGAGGGGAATCAGTAACTTGACACTGTGATGCAGTTGGTTACCATACAATGTCACCGCATGGGTCATTACATTGAATAAGACCATTCCATCATGCCCATTCACTGTCATTGGGGAACCTGACAAGGGGCAGCAAAGAAGGTCAGTCTTACTGGGTGTATCATTGGTATTAGATGTGTACCTTGAATATCTGCAAAGACCAATTTATGCTTGCTGTACTCATATGCAAAATGAGCAAAGGCTGAAATAGTAATTCCAAGTTTGTCTGTTGAAGATGGGTGCTCCAGTGTGCCACTAAACTTCATAACCATTGTAGTCCATTGAGGCTCAACAAGCCAAACAGCACCACCATAGTAATTCCCATGGTCCGATTCACCAGATGCAGCAGACAACATCTCATGTTCACAGAGCAGGAAACCTTCAGAAAACACTATCTCTGCCATTGGCACAGGTTATTAAGACATAGGGATGGTTAAGGCTGAGTAAACATACCTGAAAAGATGCTGACACCCTGTTGCTTTGCAAGTTCACAGAAATGGCCCAGAAACCACTTTCCCAAGTTAAGTTGGACTAGTTCAGCCTCAAGGTACTTCTTGTTGTCAGTAGTTGTCACAGATTCACCAGTGCCAATGTCAAAGAAACATTTGGCAACAAAAAGATCTCCATTGAGCATTAGCTGAAAGCTGTAAGCGAATGACTAAAAGTGTGATGTGCCTTAGTGACAAACCTTATAAACCTTCTTTGTCCAGCCTTTTGAAAACACATCAGATCCCAGGAAACCCTTGATTGTTTTGACACTGTCATCTGGCCACACAATTTTGACTTCACCTGTTTCAGGCACCATGCTGCAAACTGCACATAGAAAGGTCACTGAGGTTGAAGGTCCTGATGTAGTATGAGACAGAGATGTTAATGATGGTGTGGGAATGAAGGTCAATGTGAGTCCAAGGTGACCTGTAGTAGTTGAGGTATATATTGCAATTAATATGAGTCAACAATTTGAAAATGAGACTTACCATGTTGCACCTTTTTGTGTGGTCAACAAGTTACAGTTCTAAGGGCAGTATCCTCGTCAGAGGAGTGATCCACAGCAGGGTGCTTTCAGGTGGGCATAGTGCAGCTACCTGGCACTTCCCCATGAACATGTTCACACCAGTCAATAAACTTTTGGTAACTAGAACTACAGACTTTGATTGCAAGCACAAAACTCACTGCTTCACAGTCGACATAGAGTTCCAAGAAGAGGGCTGGTCCTTTCACTTCCTTGGATTGGGCATCCCTTGGTTTGTAGAAATCTGCTGACTTGCCAAGCATGTATGCATTATACACATATCCAACAGTTTTAGTTTGATCACCTGGCTGGAAATTCTTGTTTCCAGGAAAACAAAACTGAACTTCACCCCTACCACACACTGTAAGTATGGAATCTGGGGCCAGTGATGTGAAGCTCACTTACAATACCAACCCTAAACCCTCATCTTTTTCCCAGTTGACATTAAGGGCAGTGAGAGAATCCTCAAGGACCTCTGTGGTGCAAATGTCAGAGAGCCTGAGTGGCTAAATGGGCAGTAATAAACATTTAGTATATTTCTCACCAGTAAGGTAAACATCCTTTGCCCAAAGTTTCATCCACTTCCCATATGCATCACCAGCATTGCTTCACTTTGAGGCACCTTTGATTCAGACTTCAATAGCAATTTTGATCTTGTCACTGCCTGGTTGACCACCACCATTCCATGCATAATTGAGGCCAGCAGTTGTGTTCAGAGTGTTTGGAAGTCCAGATGTATTTGGTGATTTCCACAAGTGGACACTAGCTGACACTGCCTGTGCTTGCCTTGCAGTTTCAATGGCATCATGCATGACCTGACTTGTGCCAGTACTGCTATCACAGTTACCAACTAGCATTGCACCTGATCTCAGTCCAGTAATTACTCATTTATAATTGATCACACCTTGGTTGGCTGCAGGTGATGCAGTTTCACAAGTTCTGCACATCTCTCCCTGTAAATTTTTCCATGCCATGCCACATCCTTTGCATTGTGGCATTGCCTGTAAGCAATAGTCAGTAGGTACTTCACAAAGTCAGGAATCCATGTGTATCAACATACCTGCCATAACTTGATGTCTGCAGAGCCAGCTTGAAAAGAAGCTAATTTATGGCATTTTGCACAGATCCCAGGTTGAGTCTTGTGAGGAAAGATCTGCCCACAGCCATCACCATCACTAGCTTCACACTGTGAAAGAATGGCCATTCTTAGGTTAAAGACTGAAAGGAATGCACTTGACAAAAGAGAGAATCAAACTGGGGAGTACCTGTAAGGACAGAATGGTGTTGTTGGATGACACTGAACTGTAGTGTGCCCAGCCCATTTTATATGACTTGGATTGTGCAGTACATGTGGCCTTCATATGCAGACGGATCAAAATTCTATGTACATCATATCAAGCCTGCAGTTTCCATGTATGTTATTTCCATGGCTGGTGATATCCTTTGTGTTGCTAAAATGGGAGTAGCATTTTGTTGCATGTGGAGTTGTGACCACAGAGATGCTGCTACATCTCAGACTCATATTAAGTTCTGATCTGTGAAATAGCTAATCAATGTAAATACAGACATGTGTTCCTATAAGAGCTCATCAACCTGACGTTCATTGACAAGGATTTCCTCCACTTGTTGAAAAATAGCCCAGCCTCCATGCAGCATGAAGTTGGGACATCCAATTTCTTCATAGATCCTTTCAGCCAAATTACCAAACTCTTCACTTACCCAACACATTGTCACATCTCTCAAAACTGGGATTTCATGCCTCAGTGCATCAATCACATCTTGGGTAATGGGGATCTTGCAGTCCTGTCCACCTTGTGATGCTGGGAGAGTGAATGCATGTCATGGAGAGGTACCTGAAGCATTGGATTTTCATTTCTGGTAGTGAATGCAGTGGTTATTCCAATACCATCAGTAGACCACTTTGTGAGCTGGTAGTCCTAGGGAATCTGGACAGCTCTGGCTAGCAAAAGTGATTTACTGATGACTCCACAAAAGAATCCAATTTGCCCTGCAAAATTTTTGGCCAGAGCCAGTAGAAGAGTTGCCTAATGGCAATGCCATCCATCAGGTAAAGAAAAATATGGGTAGTGAATGAAGCAACACACTTGTGAAGAGATTTATTTGGGTGATGTACTCCATCATGTAGTCTGCTTTGTAGCGAAATTTTTACATTAATACCCTTTGTATCAAGAAACCAGTGCCACAAGCCCTCAATGGGTGTATTATGGACACTCTTCAAGAACTGGAATGGCAGGTATTGGTTGGCATCGATGTTAGGTGCAAAAACCATGCTAGCATACACAAGCAGGGTTTAGTATATTTATTAGCAGTGAACTAAGGAATTGTAATATACCACAGTGCTGTCTGGTTGGCAAAAATGATACCTGTTTCTGAGCCTCTGTCAGTAACAAATGTCGGAGGTATTGCTTCCACATCAATATTGAGTACAAAACTGCAAGGGAAACAAGCATAACACTGACCCATGTACTTTGTGATGTAGTCGAGGTGCACATGGCCAATTGTCACTGCAAGCTGATGGTTTGGAACTACAACAAGATGGAGAAGAAAACTACTCCATTGGTCCTTTATCCCATATATGTCAAGTCCTACACTGCCCATCCGCAAAGCCTGTGCATTCAACTTCACAAAACCATCCACATGATGCTGGTGATTTGGCCCAATAGCCGATAAGGTTGATCGGCGAACTTGCTTGCCACGAGGAAACCATGCATTCAACCCATCTGGTGCATGGCAGGCAAGCACAGTGCATACAAAATCACTAGATAAATAAATGCATAAGGAATGTTTGTATGATACATAAGGGTCACACCGAGGCAGGGGCATTCCTTCACTACTCAAAAGTGATGTGATCGTTCGGACTCCATTTGCCTGGTTGACATCATTCGCAACTTTCTCCAGAACAGCTTTGGTTGCAATATCAGTTGGGGGTGGCTTTCGTGGACTTGGAACGTCAAACTGCTTGTTTAATTCATGCAACCGGGACTTCCTGCCAAAAGTATGGTAGTGTCAGCTTAATAGCATAGACGGAATCAAATCCTTGGCCTAACTTGACAGTAAGTTGGAGCTCAGAGTTCAGTCTTGCCAAACGTTCCTGCACCGTGAGTCGTTCCTTGGCATACTGATGGAGTGCCTCACGAAGGACATCTTCAGGAGGATCTGTGTTGCAGCAACATCAGCTAGTCAGCCAGTGATATACTAATGGGACAAACACTGCTTGACTCCGTATCCATTGACACCCGTTTGATTGTGTGCCATCCAAGTCCAGTATTGAGCATGCACTGAACTTCGCAGAGTCGGCACAGCGCAGCGCAAGGCCTTGCGGCAGTGTTCTCGCTTACATAACATACACGCATCATCCGGCCTCCGAGTCGTACCCACGACCTGAACCTACACTCTTGCCTACTAATCTCTTATGAGGTCACGATATACCTTGCATCACGTCAATCAGCATACTGTATTCTGAGCTGTGTAGTACATAGGTGGTGAAAGATAACAATAAACAACGCCATACGAATGGTGTGTCAACGCGTCAATGCAAAATTGAACCGTGGACTTCTCGACTACCACAGGCCACCAAGTCCTTCATTCACTCCTTGGAGCCAACAATGAAGGTCTACTCGTTGTCCGTTGTCTGTGCACCCCCTTCGTCACCCTCTGTAGTCCTCAGTTCAGCGGTCGACGTTTCCAGCTTCTCATTCTACCAACGTGGGTCGGTCTCAGAGTTCTTGTCATTCTTCTCCAAGACAGTCGTCGAGAGAACTGCTCAGGGCCAACGACAGAGTGTACAGGAGAACAACTATTTCGCTCATGTGTACAACCGCGGCGGCGCGGAACAACTGGCAGGTGGGCGTTTCTTCCAGACCTGTATACGCTGTCTGACATGTCCAGTGCAGCCATCATCATCACTGACCAAGAATACCCCGTTCGGCCTGCCTTCTCTCTCCTGACAAAGATTCTGGATGAATTCACGGCTAAAGTTTCCCAATCTTCTTATTCTAATCCTGCATCTATCTCTTTCCCGGACATCCAGACGTACCTCACCAAGTACCAGGATCCGCGGCAGGCAGATGCCATCATGAGAGTACAACAGGAACTAGATGAGACGAAGATAGTTTTGGTTTGTGCCCCCGAATACTTCCTTTTAACATCCATACTCATAATTGTCATTCCATCAGCACAAGACGATAGAGTCGGTACTGCAACGCGGAGAAAAGCTCGATAACCTGGTGGAACGATCCAATGCACTCTCTGCACAGAGTAAGATGTTTTACAAGACCGCTAAGAAGGTGGGCCTGCCGTTGCATTCACATATTGAGTCCAACCTAACCACCCGCTTAGCAAAATTCTTGCTGTGTTATCATGTAACTTGATGAGATTACGTTGACAACCCCTCGCGAGGTGTCTCTGTACTGTAATGGTTCCTTGCTTCACAGATCCCTGTTTGACCCGATGATCACATTGGGACATCCTCTACTACCCCTCTTTTTTGATAATACACACCGATGGGGCATGATTTCCATCCGCTTCTGACGTCTAGTAGCGTCCAACCTGGGGATTGGGCTTCTGGAAGATTTGTACGGTTGACGTTGGGCGAAGCTGGGTCTATTTCGCCCTCGTCCTCCATGGTAATGTCGAACGAGGACAGAATTTCAAGACGATGATCCATTTGTGCGAGATTGCTTAAATTCCATGTCTGTTATATGGTTACCTAACCGGTTGACACCTCAATACGTGGATCGTACCTCCGCTGAAACATTCTTTGTAGCAACGAAAATGAGGTCGGCAACACTCTCCAACTCCTTGTCGCCGGAAGTGACACTTCGTAGCAGCGTGGTTAGACTGAAATGCGTTTGTTAGACGAATAATCATGAAGTTGTGGTAGCCTACATTGTAGTTTTGTCAGGTGATGCGAACTTTCCGGGTACGAGAGACGGTGAGAGTGCAAGGAGGAGTTCTTTCCTCAGCTGGTTCTCGCCATCGGATGTTTCTTCCCAAGTCTGGATCGCCCAGACAACCCATCTCGCAAGGTATTCGTCATAAGTGATATCTCTTGGCGAGTCTTCAACCTCTATTTCGATCGCTATCGTTCCTGGATCTGGCTGCAGCCAGTTTCCCAGTAATGAGTAGACTGCGCGATTTATAAACACCGACGGCAAGACTGGGTGATGCGATCGAAGTTTATTGAGCAGTGGAGCCCATACCGCTTTTGAGGATGCTGTTGGAAGGAATGGGTCCATAGGAGCATGTCTCTTTCTGCGGAACATTAACATGCACTCATCATTTGATAGAACATACTCACTTCTTGGCTAAGGGAACCAGAGCGCCTACATCGAAAAGTGCGTCACAAAGAGGTTCCAAGGCAGCTCTCTCCTTCAAGTTGGCACTGCCTCGATAGCTTTCTCTATATTCGTCAAACCCCCATGTGACGGCGTCGTTGACGAGGTCCGCTGATACCATCGCTTCCGCTATCCACCGTTCGATGTCACGTATGATAGCGTCAATGTCACCCTGCTGTCGTTTGCGCAATGATGCGTCCCGCGTCACAGCTTTCATAAGTTGCTTGTATGCCCTTAGCAGTGGCGTAATCGGTCGCAGGGCAGCCGAAGGAGGCGGAGGGGCGGAGGGATTCAACGTGGGCTGAAAGTAGTTGTGGAAAAGCCACGAGAGAGACTAAGACAGCAGATTACAAAACTAAGCATGGTTGTCAGATGTGCGGGGTAGAGGCTCGACTTTACCTCTCGAGCTGCTTCTCTAAGCAGTTCAAGGCTGGGCAGGTCTTCGTGGGTAGCTGCATGTCTGAGTTCAACGAGCCAAGATGGCAGACCAAGCTGAGCAGCTATGGACGCTATAGACCTTGCGAATGCTCCTACTTGCAGGGGGTCGACCAGGCCATTCACCATGCGTATGATTGTGGACGCATAGGCGAGACGAAGGTTCAGAGCAGCAAATGAAGACTGGGACGGACTGTCCTGGAGCTGCACGACCAGTATGGCCAGGGTGGATTCCAGGGCATGAGGAAGTGCAGTGATCGCCTTCCAGGCAGACAACTTGTAGGGATATGAGATGGCATCGAGCTGGCGAACAAAGACAAGCCCCACTCACCCTGTTAACAGCCAATATTTTTGATTCTACATCGTCCCTGTCTGCAAAAATCCACGCACAGACCTGTTCTAGTTCGCTGGTATGTGCCCATGGCACGCGTCGGGGAAGGCGCATGGCAGTGGTGGCTGTGTTGGTCGAACTGCTGACGGTGACGAGCTCACTGGCATGGCACTGGCATGAGTCTTGTTCTGGCAGCCTTCTGGGTTCTTTACTTCTGGCTGGTCGTCTACGGCGTGAAGCACTGCTCAAGGAACTCTAGGCAGCTCCTTCCTTTCTCCCAGGTGCGCAAACCAACGGTGGAGGTAGCAGTCAAAAACTTCCACCTTCGCGTCAAGACCGATGCTTTGAACGCGCTCCACGATGGGCTATGCAAGTCACTGTCTTCAGATGAGTTCCGACGAATTAAGAGAGCTCTATTGCATCTGTATAACCTAGGAAGCATGGTCGGTATCATTAGCATGATTGCGGCGCTCCTTCTGCTTTGGTCTATGACGGCGAACTTGGTCATGTCCGTGGTTTGGACACCATTCAATAGCTCGTCCACTTCACTGGTCAAGCGAAATCTTGAAGGTGGTGTCGGTGAACCAATCCCTGTTACGACGCCAGTCGACAGTGGCGCGTTCTCTGTTCGAGCGATTGTATGTATATGGTCTCATATGAACCCTCTCCTTCATCGCAAATTTCCTTGTTTCGCAGATACCTGGTGTGACAGTCCCACTCGGCCACTTTCCGATTATCCTCCTGGCGCTATGTATCTGCCAGGTAGTCCACGAAGTTGGCCATGCTATTGCTGCAGCGGTGTGCGTAACCAATGATTCATTCACATTCATAGTCGCTTAGCTCGCGTTTTAGACGACACGTACCCATCCTCTTTTCAGGTTTCGCCGTTACAGTCGTCTTTCCCTCTGTTTTTGTTGTTTTGCCTGTGGTCCGACTCGAGAGATTACGGGCAGTAGACCGCCTGCAAGTGGCGGCTGCGGGTTGTTTTCATAATCTCGCATTCTGGTGTCTCTTGTACTTGGTCACATGGACTGAAATAAGCACGTTCTTGTCAGAGTTTTTGTTTGAAGATGTTTCGCGTCTAGGGAAGGTGGTCGTTGGAGTCCATCCTGTTCGTGGTGTCTCTTACACTTTACTTGCTTAAGCTGAATTTTTACAGGGCTCACCGCTGCAGAGTTATATACCATCGGGCGCCATAGTCACAATGCTGGACGATACAATGCTCAGCGTCACAGAAAGCGCGCCAACCAGCGATCCGTGGGACGAATTTTTGTTGTCTCCGTCTACCCCTGTGGTCACTCGAGGATGGTGTTTCGAAAACTCCGGATTAGCAAATGCGTCAAGTTAGTCGGGGGTGCAGAGCAGACGCGCAGCTTCTCACACGAACCTTTCTTAGGTTCACTTAAATGCCAATCGACAGACAGTCGCCTTTGTTTCGTGTTGATGCACGGCACAAGCGATCAGTACAGCTTAGATGCGGTCACGGTCCTCTCTGGGGATTTGGCACGTTGTGACGCTTCAGTGGGCTGTACGCCGCTGTCGTCCTGTGTGATGCCGCGGCGCGGACAACAGCTTGTACGAATCACCTTGTTGTCGAACAGTCTGAACGGTAGCGAGGAAGTCGTACTTTGGAAAGGACCTAGGAGAGAGATATGGGAACAAGGTGCGCGATCCGTAAAACGCGAAGGCGGCTAGGCTGATACAGTATGTACTGCTTCAGTGGAAGTCAGCACGTTCAGGTCACGCATTCCGTTAATCTCTAACAGGGTTCGTCGTTACATCGTAGACTTCGTGGAGTATGCCTATTCTCTTCATATGGACGCCTACTGATGCACGTTCAAGATACATGAAACTGATCAACCTTTCGTTGTATCTGGTAAATATGCTGCCCATACCAGCACTAGATGGGTTTCAACTCCTTGCAACCTTGTTGGAACTTATATTTGGCCGAGAATACGAAAGTGGTAGTATCGACCTGGAAGCTGGAAGTCACAGCAGTGGGGCCGTAATAGATCGCACTAGAGAGACACCAGTGCAGAGAATCATCCAAGCAACTCTTAGTACAAGTACAGTCACCTTAGTCACACTAAATGTCTTGTTGCCGGCAATCCAGTATATATTACACTGACCTGTGTTCACGCTGCTGCAAACTATGGTTCTCTTGGCTGGACTTCAACGAGCTTTGCAATATTATGTCTCGTGTGGTGCGACTCATACATACAGTGTATCGGCATACGGCATGTTTAAATGCATATCAAGGTCGCTTGGAGGCCCCCTAGCCTCCTTGCTCCCCCTGGTCGAAGAAGAAAGAAGTGAGGAAACTGCCAGTCTACTTCTTCTTTGGCTTCGTGTCGACGTCCACGACGGTCAAACCTAGAAAACGCGATACCAACTGAGCCTAATACGAATCGCGCAGGCGGACAAAAAGAAACATACCTGGTGGCAAGCTCCGCTTCAGTTTCTCGGCCTTTTCTGGGTCGTCGACAGAGAGTGTGTAAAGGTATCGTGAACACCGAACTTTGAACTTGGTGATGGCTGTTCCAGTAGGAGTTCTAGCAGCGACCTTTTTTATCCGGGCCTCTATAGGAGCATATGTGGAGAGCAGACATCAATGCAAAAGCACGGTCACGGACGAGATGAAACTCACGGGTAGCATCTTTCCGCTTTGCAATCGAAATGAATTCTTTGATGTCCCGGATTTCCTTAGGCTACCAACGAGAGATTAGAGTGAACGTCATCTGGGTTAGACGAGTTTTGCGTACCATGGCGATCGACGACTCTTGACTTCACGCTTGCTGCAACGCGCCGATAGCGTTCCTCCAGTGTGGTCCTGTGGCTGAACTTTGCTTTACCAGTTCTACGGAAGGTGCCGGGTTATATAATAGAGGGTTTCTATACAAGGTAAGTATGTTTGACATCATTTATTCACACGCTTGCCACTTCTCCAGGAATACAACATCTATGAGTACATACTATATAGCTCCTCAAATCAAAATACAAGAATGTCCTGCAGGGAAACATCGAGCATGCAATGAAAGGTGGAGGGGGAAGTCATGATCCCTTGTACTTCTTCGGAGAGCCGACGGAAGATGCGGTGGAGCTAACGACAGTATTGCTTGAATCACTGACGACTGACATTGGTCGACTTATACGAGTCTGAAGTCGTTCCACCTGACGCTCGAGCCTGTTCCGAGATTCAGAATTTAAAAGATGTGTTCTACAATCAACTTACGATAGGGTGGATTGCTTGGCATCTTTAGCCTCTCGTTCAAGTCGTCTGTTCGAAAGTTCCAGCAGGTTTGCATGCGATTGCTGGAACGGGAATGAGCTAGTGAAGATTTGGGTTTAAAACGTTGAATTCACATACTGCCTTGTCAAGCTTTTCTCGAAGAGATTCTATTTGAGATTGGGAAGCCTTCCTATCACTCTCGAGCATTGCGCATTTCCGTTCAGATTCCGAAAGTTGTAGCTGCATTTCTCTGAACGCTTTTTCCGAAGAGCGGAGCGGAGTGGAGTGTCGCTTATCACTAGATGCTTGGTTCAGCTGTTTAGTAAGTTCCTCAATACGAGCCTCAAGCTGGCGGACGGTTGTAGAAGGCTGGGGCAGATTTGCATAGGCCTTCGTCTCCAAATCAACGATTCGAACGTTTAGCTCCTTGACTTGTTTTTCAAGCACGGCCTGGAGAGTGGACGTGTCTAAAAACTAGCAATGCAAATGGTTATTTATTTACTTACATTCTTCCTCTCCAGGTCCGTGTTCTCCCGGCGGATTTGGTCAAGTTCGAGTTGGCTTTGTGCTGCATGAGTCTCAGCCTTCCGCACGCGCTCGGACGCCATAGCAACACGATCTTCTTGTTCCTCCAGGGAGCGCTCCAAATCCAGTTTCTCAAGTTGCAACTTCTGCATTTCTCTGTCAGATGACATTTTATTCGCGTCAGCATGATCCAATTTGATCCCTTCTAATTCAGCTTGTAGCGAACGGCGTGCTTTTTGCAACATGGCCCGGTCGGCTTCTGCATCGTTTAGTACGCTCCTGAGTTCCCGGACCTGAGAATGCAATGCAACAATTTGGGCTTGTTGGTCAGATTGTGTGGCAGTGGACGTTTCATAAGCTTTCGTAAGGTCCATGATCTTCGTCTCAAGGCGTTCCTTCTCGCGTTTCCAAGCACCGCCGTTGCAAACCTCGTCGTCGAATCGAAGCTGGAGTTCATCATAGTCCGAGTGGATTTTGCGATTCTCCTCGCGGAGCCTGCTCAGGGTATCCCGCTGTGATTGTAGTTCTAGGGAACATGAGCTATTGGCACACACTCGAAGTGAGGAGACCAACCTTCACTAAGCTGAGCAAGTTCCGCTAAAGGAACCAATGAATGATGGGTCGGAATATGGTTCATGTATCTTACCTTGGTATTTCTTGCGGGTCTGATCGCTGGCAAACTCGCGCTCTGCCACATCCTTCTTGTGTTGTTCACGTTCTTCCTGGAGTTGGTGAACGAGTCTGTGTCTGTGAATACCAAGTTCAGATGACTCCCGCTCCTCTTCTGCGATCACATGTTCTAGCTCTCTAAGTTTGCGTTCGGTAGCGTGCAACTTTTCCTCAATAGCCTTCCTCTCTGCTGTGAGGTCATTATGCGCTTTTTCTAAGTCGGTATATGTACGTTGGGCTGAGAACAGTCAGCTGATGAGCTCGAACAACATTTTAAAACCTACCGAAACTTTCAGCATGTTCCACTTTCATTCGGGCCGCTTCAGATTCCTGTAACTTGTCTGAGGTGATTTGCAATTTCTGCCTGTAAGATTCAATGGCTTCTTGTAACTCTAGAGTTGATTGTCAGCGAAGTCGCAAATCGGTATACCAATTGTTCAACATACCTGTTTGTTTGGCAAGGGAGGCAGAGGAGGTGATCTGAAGTTCCTGTAGTTGCACCTTGAGTTGCACATGTGCGCCTGGAAGCTGGTAAGTGTTGATATTTTGCCCCCGATGAGTACCAACGAACTGGTTGCTTCGCTTCTTGCAGTAATTTCAGCGTCAAGCTGGTTTCGTACTTCGGTCAGCTCATTCTCAACTTGCTTCTTGGAATGAGAAACTTCTCGGAGGCGTTTGCGGCAGTCCTCCAACTCCGCTGCGGAAGTGCGCTGCTGGGCAAGCTGTTAAGGAAGAGGTTAGACGGCGGGATGGTGACCTACGGTAAACAACATACCAATGCGTTGCGAGAATCTTGCACATCGATGTCGTCGGCGAGCTTAGCCAGTTCGTTCTCGAGACTTGTCTTGGCTCGCTGTGCCACCGTCAATTGGTCTTGGGTCAAGTCCAACTCGCTCTTCAGACCGCTCAGTTCGGACTGCAACCGGCGACAGTTAGATTCTGCGATCTCTCGGGACTTGCGCTGCGTTTCGAGTGCTGCCAGAGCTTTCAGGGCCTTCTCTTCATTGGCCTTCGCAGTTTTCTCAATGGCTCGAAGTTCCACTTGCTCCATTTTTGTTTCGCGAACATAGTCCTCGGCTTCTCGAACTAGTGTGTTCTTTGCCTTTTCGAGCGAACGAATGTAGATCGCATTTTTCTGCAACTCTTCCTGTGCCTCTTTGAGCTGCTGGTCCGTAACCTTCTTTGCCTTCTCTAACACATGCACATGTTCGACAATGGTTTTCTCTTGCCGTGATTCTAGCTGCTTTATCTCCCACTCGCGGTCTGAAAGGTCTGCCAGAGCCTTCTTCAATCCGGCGTCGAGTTTACCAAGGCGATCTTTATCGAGGTTCAGCTCCCTCTTTTGGTTTGCGACGGCTTGCTGTAGCTGCTTGCACTTTGCTGACTCTGCCTCTAGTTGCTTACGGGTCGTCTCGAGCTGCCGCTCACGGGCTCGAGTATCTCTCTCCAATTGTAATGCAGTGTCTTCGATTTCATTGTATTTGCTTTGAGCAGAAACGAGTTGCCTTTCCAACGACTGGTTACGTGAGCATTCTCTTCGGAGGCATTTGTGCTAAGGATACATACCTCCTTAGCCCTGAGAGCTTCGGAAAGCTGCCCATCTGTATGAATTTGTCGAGAGCGAAGTGCCTGCATCTCCGAGTCTAGAGATCTCTTGACTTTCTCCAGTGATGCGACCGTAGCCTCTGCTTTCGCCGAGTTTTCCTTGGAAGTCCGTTCGCGCTCCAACAACGAGGAATATGTGGCCTCAAGTTGCTTGTATTGCCCACTTAACCGCTCTAACTCAAGGGTGAGTGTGCTCTCCTTTTCAAGAGCGGCTTCGCGTTGAACGCTCAGTTGATGTTGCAGATCTATGACTTGACCGCGTAAATCAACCAACTCCTCCTCCATACTCTTCTGGGCCTCGCGACGCCGTGTTTCTTCTGTTGTCTTTGTTTCCATCAAAGCGCGAAGGTCGTCCAGTTCCATTTGCAGTTTGGCTTTCGCAGCTAAGGTGCGTCTAGCATCTGTCTTTGAAGCGCTCAGCTCTGCTTGATGCTTTTCTGCTAGCGCGCGACGTTCTATGAGCTCTTTCTCCAGTTGTGCAAGTTCTGTCTTGGACGCAGAAACTTCCGAGGTAAGATTAGCAACGTCGACCTCTTTTCGTTGGATGATTGAGGTATATTCCGTAGCTGTACGGGTCAGCTCGGCAAGTTGGTCCTTGGTGTGCCTTGCACTTCTTTCAAGTTGTTCAACCTTTCCGGAGAGATGTTCGCTGATTTATTGATCACTGATACCGTCAATGGACATGAGCTGGGACACATACGTGGTACGGAGTTCTGCTGCGAGCTTGACCTGTAGTTCATTTGTCGAAGATTCTGCACGTTCTTTGAGCCGAGCTAGGTCTTCCTCCCGTTGAGACAATAACGTCGTGACATCCTCGTTGACTTTCTGCAATGCATCTCGGTCTTCTTGCAGTTGTAGAATACTGCGTTCCATCGTTGGGAGAAGATCCGCGAATTCCGCCTCTTTCTTCTTCCATGTAATTTGTTCATTTTCTAGGCGGACAAGATGCTCTGCAGCTTCGTCGAACGCTTGTCGCAGTTGTTCGTGCTTTTCGTCGCTCTCCTTCTGTAGTTTGAGGGCTCTATCCAACTGAGAGTCGAGCACATCCAAGTCTCCGTGCAGTGCCACAATCTCCTCTTCCAGCTCGACCTCACGTTGCTTGCTTCTTTCTAGTAGGGTATCCTTGTCCGACGCAAGAGCGCGCTCAGCTTCTAGCTCTTGGACAATCTTTTGTTTTTCAGCTTCTAGAGTCATCTTCATGTTCTGCAAGTTCTCTCGCTCGCGCTGGTCGCGCTCTGCTCTCTCTTTGATCAGTTGTAGCTCTACCTCCTTCCGTCGCAATTCCTCGTCGTTACGGGTAGCCGCGAGCAATGGTCGTACCTAAATTCCAGATTGGTATCAAACAAATTGATTTGAAGCTTGGACATACCTTCGTGTATAGTTGCCACCACGGCCAATCCCTGAGCTCTCCGTACAGACGAGCATTCCGTTGGACTGTGCGGATAGCAACAGCACGGTTCAGAATTTTCTTCATTTGCCTTCGAGCCGAGAATTTCCGTGCGACTGCTTGTAGCTTCGAGAAAACGTCGTACAGAAGAGCATCTCTGCGCTCTTCGAGTTCAGCCAGGACACCAGCTTTGAAGAAAATTTTCGACGTTCCAACACGGTATAGCTCTCCATCAAGTTCAAGGGCCTCGACCATCCTCAAACATGCCTTACGTCCGTCCATATAACCATCGTGGTATTATACCTGGTGTCAGAATTTCATAGCGCTGGCGGAACTCCACGAAGGGTAGCCGATTGGGATAACCCAGTCTGGCAATTCGTATACCTTCTAAGACACCGTTGCAGCGTAGCTGGTCGAGGACGAGTGGTACATCAATACGCGCGGGCTTCTTGTTTGTGTTCGGGACTATGCAGCGAACAAAGTGAGGCTGAGTGGCATGCAGCTGAGCCATGAGAAGAGAAAGCTGTTCTCTATGTCTCTGAGCGACGGTTCTGAAGGCACCCTTCTTCACGCTCCGTTTCTTCCCCACAGAATAACCCACGCTTGAAGAAGGCAACTCTGAATATGTGTTTCCAAAGTCCTGGAATAACGAGGCCACGTAGGGTTCAGTAGATGCTGCCAAGACACGGACGAGGTTGTCGTTAAGGGGGTCTTTATTCTTCTCCAGCCAGCCGTCCGTGCGGTATTCCACCTTTCCAGCGTAATGGGTGATGATGAAGCCTTGCTCGAATTTTGGAAGACTGTACTTGGAACGTCCCAGGTGAGGTTGTTCACCTAGGCGCAATTCCCCGCTCCACATTGAGTGCACTTTCTCCGTGAATGTAAGGTCCGTTGCTTTGGGCATGATGCATTCTTCGTCTAAACAACTCAAGATACCGATAGGAGCTGGCCCGGTAGATTCGATCAAATCGATGGTGGGCTGGAGATCAAGCTTAAAGTTGACGTAATCCCACTCGATTCCTTCGCGAGAGTATTCCTCCTGCTCAAGTACAAACATGTGGTGGTTGAAAAACTGCTGCAGCTTCTCGTTTGTGTAATTGATGAGCAGTTGCTCGTATGTATTGACGTCGAAAATCTCGAACCCCGCAATGTCAAGGACGCCGATGAAGGTCGACTTTGAAGTTGGCCGATCCAAAGCTCGATTGATACGATCGACCAAGGCACCAAACGATTTTTCATACAATGTCTTGCATAATGCGGCCAATTCGTCTAGAGCTTGTTGACCAGTTCCGTGCCTGCATGACCCACTCCCTACCAGCGAGCACTTTTGGACGTAGGACAGCTTTGGTAAACTCCGACACAGGTATACCTAGTAGATGGCAGACGCGCTCCGCTTGTGATGGATCTGCCATCACAGCATCGTCAGCCCGCGTGGAAGTGATAGCGATGTTGCCAATGTGAAGGATGGCAGCAACAACTCGGAAAAGGTCGAATTGTTCGGCCTGCGAGAATCCGACCACCTCAAAGGCGTTCTGAGAGACATAAGCGTGGGTTCAATGTACATGATCTCTAACTTACTATCAGAGTATCCCAGTCATCCCGATCGTTCACCCCATCCACTTCTCGCTTACTTCGGTTCAAAAACTCATAGTCCTCAATTCCTCCATCCAAAAGTAAGGAATCTGGACATCATCAGCCCTGAGACCACAAAAACAACAAGCAGCTGCACCTTTGAGAGGAGTTCCACCAGACAAAAGCTGATAAAACACATGAAAATTTCGCTCCGCTGGGCTCCTTACTACTACACGACTCTTCTCCAGCAAATACCAATCAATATTGGCGCCTGATATGCTACCATCAGGCGCAAAACTGATCCGGATGAACTTTCCGAATCGACTGGAGTTGTTATTTCGCTGCGTCTGAGCATTTCCGAAGGCCTCGAGGATTGGGTTTGCCTGTATTATTTGTCGTTCCAGAAGTCCAAGGCGACCTTTTGCTGTCAACGAATTACCCGAGCCAGCAAACGGAACTGATTTCCTCCTGGAGGAGGTACCCCTCGGAAACCCGGACGAAGGAATGGAAGGAGAGTGGGCGTGCAAAGTCCCCGGCGGATGGGCGTCGGTTGCAATGGCGGAAAGATACTGTATGACCTTCTTGGTACTTTCGGTTTTACCCGCGCCTGACTCACCCCTGGACAAGAATCGGTTAAAAACGCTGTAATGCAAGCTGGGTATTGACGAACGTAATCAGGATACTTTGGTTCTCGTGTTCGTTTTGCATGTTCACCCATGCTCTCTCTGACACTGCAAAGATGTGGGGTGGATTCTCATCGCGCCGTTTGTTCCGGTATTGTTGAATGATTGCGTCGGTATATAGAGGTAAATTTTGGTATGGATTAATTGAGACTAGAAAGAGCCCGGAATACGTCTGCCGATGTTGTTAGATATGATATCAGAAGCAGGAACGAAGTGGATAACGTGTCACGCGTGCGATGGCGAAAACAGAACGACTCACATAGATAGCACCTGACCCGTACCTTAGACGTAGATTGTGCACGACGCTGGCTTCGTTAAGGAATGTGAGGTCGGCAATGTCATCGACGCGGTCAAACTTTGGAGGGTTCATCTTTGATAAAGCATATAGAGGAACGCGTCGTATCTGGGCTCTGCATGTCAACCACTGTTTACCCATGAGGGGAGATGGCAATCCTACTTCTCCTCCAGCAGACATAACCACTTGTGCTGTAACCTCGTCTTCTTGGTTGACCCATCCTGCGAGGTACCCTTCCTTCTCGTCGGGAACCCACACCCATCTCTTCTCGTTAAACTCTGCTTGCAGTGCTGCTACACGCGCTACCTCTGCGTTCTGAGAGTGACGCGGTACATTCATACCTGAATGCCGCTGGGACGCGTCGAACATCAAAGGACCTGGAGAGTCAACCAACTGCCACTAACCAACCCAAATTAGGCAACTCGGTACGTTTACACAACCGCGTCATGTTCAGCAGATCCTGGAATATCGATTGAATGGAAGATGTGAGTTATCAAATTATTGGAACATGGTTTCGATTTTAATTTATCCCGGTGACCATTCCATGGGCAGGGAGCGTCTGCAAGTTGGCATGGGAATCCGCATCGGCACACGTTTTCGCTCGCCAGTAGCAGGTCTCCGTGATCGGCTGGCCTGAGGCGGCCGTTCGTTCGGTCCTGCATCCCGCACATACAGGTCTCCATTCTGAGGCACAAAAAATTCAAGAGAAGATGTAAACTCTGATTTGAACGGAACGGTGGCCGCTACCTCCGGTTGTATATCACGACACCCTTCGTCGCTTCACAAGACAATTACTCTGGCCTAATCCTTCTCCCGACTTCTGCATTCATGCATAGATTCGAAGTGAGATTGGTTTTTGTATCTGTTAACTAGGTACTACCCGCCTTAACAGGCGGTCCGTCAGCAAAGCCCCCCGGTGATCTATTTGAAATCCGCCCCCGAAAGGAAAACCAGTGGTTTAACCGCATTGATAGACAAGCTTTTGATTTGCAAGCGTCATCTGACAATCGGATAATAAAAAGAAACCTCTTTAGACACCGGCGAGAATGCCAGGTCTACTGATCTCTCGTTACTGATGATATTCCGCGGAGTAAACTCGACAGTGAGTTCTCTCTATAGGCATCACTCTTTCTCGTCCTGAGGACTCATGCTGACGGAGAGCATCCACATGATATCCACTAGAGCCTGCATTGCTACTGAAATCCGGCGGGCGGATACAAAGTCCGTTCCCCTTGTACACACATCGACAACGATAGTGTCGCCTGGGACGAAGCCTCCTCTACACAAAAGGATATAGCCTCAGAACGTCCTGTGTAATACAACAATAGCAGAGACGGGGCAGGCTCTTCCATCGATTCGAAATTCGGGGGAGAACGGAGCTCGCGCCCACACCGGTCAAGTTTTGTGTAGCCGGTACAGCTGTCTATTTTCACGTGTCCCGCGAACACCAGATAACGAGGACGATCTACAGGTTCTCGTGCATGAAGTTCTAGGCAGGACACAGCATCTGGGCTGAGAACTATGCGGAACGATTTGGCCGGGAAAGTGATCTGAGACACGAAGGACAAGGTTCATACAGCTGCAGCGTGGAACTCCAAAAGGGCATGGGCGCTGTGGGTGGGTAACGGTGGGGGACAGTGACCAACAACGGTCTTTTTCAAATACAAGGGAGTCTCCTCCGCCATCGGTCCCTCGGTTACAACCAACCTGTTGAATTGCAAGGAAATACAATGCTTGTTGTGAGGGCGTTTCAATCACGGACGTCAGGACTGACCTCAAGCTTGACTCTGACGAAAATACCAACGGACTGCAGCCCACTACCTGTAATTGTGCTGCTGTATATATCCCAATTTCCCCTCTGGCACATCAGAGGTCATGCAGCAGCATGGCCTGTCAAGTTAATATTTCCCCCTGTCGCCTTTCCTTTATTTCCGTCTCACCCGGCTAAATAGTGGTCTGGATTCTCAAGTGTGGATACCAAAAACGTGTTAACCCTTCGAAGGGTTTCAAGAAAGCAGAATGGATTTTCAGCAGCATCCACATGTCACGCGTACCCCCTTTTTGAGTTCCCTGTCACTGACCTGAGTTTTGCCGCCGGTTTGCAAACGATCGATAAACGTTGAACCCCGATAAACCGTATCGTGATTCCTCAGACTTTCTATATTGATGCGATGCATCCGTTCCATGTTTCCAGAGCACTTCATCTAAGCTTAATTGGACCTTGCTGTACACGATCAGCATGCTCGGGTTTTGAAGTATGCAGCAGGTAACAGGTCTGTGGGCGCATCCAACGAACCTGAAAGTGCTAAGGACGCCACCGGTGAATTTCTGAGGGAAAACACGCCTTAGCGGCTCTGCATACTAACCCGCACATGCAATTCTGCAATTGTCGACAGTGGAGACACCCTCGAAATGCACAAATCGGACCCGCCATCAGCGGAGATCAGTGCAACAGAAAGCTTCTCGGCGCCACTTTCAATGGCTTCTTGAGGACACCATAGAAAGTAGGTGACCAAAAGTGACTAGTAACCCCCGGATCAACTTATATAGGATTAATGGCAGCAGGGGAACAGCCTTGTCAGCGCGTGTACAACACGAGGGGTGTGGACCCGCAGACGTCAACACGATCTGTTTGCGCGGTCATGTTCTGATAAGAACGGCGCGACGCGCCTCGCCAACTGAAACTTCACCCCCTGTGTTCACCCACACATCCGCCCACACACCATGATCGATGTCGTCTACGAATATGTTGACATCCCCGATGATCCTGCTCCAAGTCGTGAGCGGACCCTTTCCTTACCACCGATGGACGATGATGTTGGAGGTTTGAGAGCCATGTATGATTTCCCCGTACGGGGAATCTGCCATATCTCACTCGCTGATTGCAGACCAGACCCAGAGGGTAAACCTTTTAATCGCTCTGACGTCCTCATACTTGGAACGGATGTTGGTGTGCGCACACAATCTCTTGGTGCACCCTCCCAACCATGTGGCGCATCTGCGACTCATAACCGTTGTGACGACGATGTCAGTGTGCATTACTCATGTTCTTCAATGCATTGATATCTTTCTTTCCTAGTTCCTTCCACAAACAAGTTATAGCATGTGTATTCCTGACTTGACCCCTGACTCGTCACCAACGAGTATGGGGTGTTCAACCATGTTGATGACACCAGAAAATGGAGTTTCTTTGGCTGATATTGAAACTTCTCCCTTCCTACCTCTCATCGAGAGCTACTTTGAAGACATTGTGTTCGGCGATGGTCACTGTATGGACCACACGGCACCGTACTTCGACAGCTTGGAGGATAGTTTGTCTTTCGAAATAGCTGGTGACCCGTTCTTGGAAGCCATACCAGGTGGTACGGCGTGTCAATCTCCCGATGAAAATGTCCATTCTTCCCCCACACTGCACACCGACCTGCCAGCGTCAGATCTTGTTCCACAGTGCCTTGCAGTTCCGGAATTTTCGAAGATGCAAGCACAGCTCGTTTCTCCGCCGCGTGGTGTTGAGACTTCAGGAACTCGTCCTCTTGACCCAAAGACCTCTGAGCAGGAGTCGGTCTGCCTCTCCTGCCACCCCAGTGAATGAGGTTCAAGGCTCAATAGATTCTTCCGTCACGTCCACGGGGGAGGAGCTGGTAACATGGCAGCCAATCATCGCAGGAGAATAACGACGAGTCAATAGAGAAGTCTCCTCCGTTGCGTTCTCCATCGCCCTGTAGTATTCTTGCAAAGCGTCGAAGGGTGCTCGAAACAGGCGATGGTGACGACGATGACGACGATTACATCCCGACGACACGCTGGGTGCATCCTCGAGTACCTTCTAACAGCCAAATGCTCTCAAATAAAGGGGACCAAAGAACCAAGCGTCGTGGGGCACGAAAATCGCGATCTTACCTGAAATCTGCATCAAAATCGAGATCTCGATGTCCACACTGTAGAACATCCTTTTCGCGAGCTGGTGATGTGGATAGACACCAGAAGTCACTTGCATGCCCTGTACTAAAGCGTAAAGCAGAGGTCGACGGGACATTGGACGAAGCAAGGTGGCCGTGTCCGATCTGCGGGGACAAGCTATCGCGGAATGATTCTCAAGCACGTCACTTTGAAAATACTCATCCGGGTGTCAGCCCTAGTGATTATGGGTTGAGGCTCAGGAAACGAGATGGGAAACTGTAGAACCTTCATTTCATCGACATCATTACCAGTAGGACAACTTCATATTCCATCGGTTTTGTAGCAGGTTGACCAAAGCTCCCGTTGGACACGATGCAGATACCCTGTCATACCTCAGTTCTGTGTATACCCGTCCTATTGTCAAATGAGGTGTCAGAGTCCATTGTAACATGTATATACCCAACGTGTACATATTCGTCTTACTTACCTGGAGACAAAGCACATGCTCTAGCTCGTGGGCTGTGTCAAAGGATGACGTAACACACCACAATCTGCTTGGACTTGGTAAACATGACTTGACAGTTAGCAGAACCACTAGCGCTGCGGAAGTTCTGAGGGTTTCGCATGAGTACCACTGACGTCCTCGGCACTGCAACCACCTCATCATCGGGGAACCACTTGTGGGTACCAGACCCAAAATCAAGCGAGCCTTCGAACGAGCCCAAGGCATCTTCCTCCCGTTCGACACAGCTACTAAAGGACAGAATTTATGTCGGAAACTTGGGTCCGGTAGTGGACGAGTCAGTCAACGGAAACATCTCCGTCTCGCAAACTCACAGTTATCAACCTAGGTACACCTTACTCCAGGTTTTCTCAAAGTACGGAAAAGTCACGAAGCTCGACTTTTTGTTTCATAAATCGGGGCCCAACAAGGGGAGGCCTCGCGGATATGCTTTTGTCGAGTTCGAGAACGAAGCGGTAAGTCTCGTTTGCGCCTCAGTAATATGCCAGCCTTTTAACTCGGTGTCCTTTTATACTTTTGGGATCCTATGATGGACTGGCACTTCCCTTATGCTTGCTGTTTGAAGATTCATTCCGACTATGGGTAACTGACCACACTCTTTTATCGGCTTCTAGGACGCAGAAAGGGCTTTAGCTGGTGCGAATGGCAAGCTCCTTCGTGGTCGGAAACTCGTTGTCACGTTTGCGCACCAAGCTCCTTTAAGTAACTCTGAGATTAGTGGGTCATATGGAGGCCGACCCAAAAAGGCCGACAGCACACCGACGGCTTTGAGTATAGTGAAGAGCACGGGGGTTGGTCGTTCAGAAATGTCCGTGTGCATCTTCCTAAATCCTTGTCGTTTTCTCACCTCGCGACTAGTAAGACTTCAAGAAAAATTGCAATAATGGAGGCTAAATTGCGGCAGATGGAGTCATCGTCACCTCTTACTGAGAAGTCGTCGTTACCTCCCAAGCCAGCACCTCCTGCCAATCCCCCTTCTGACTCCTCCAAGAGCAATCGTTCTCGAAGATCAGAGCAGCGCATGGCTACGCAACGATCTGCGGCGCCCGATGCGCAGGAGTTGGCGTTAAATTCAAGATGTCAGCTGCGATCTCCGAGATCAAAGGAGGCCTGGAGAGCCGATTCTGAGTCGTCCACTAGTCGCAGTATGCAGGGATCAGGCTAAATTGTCCGATCTCACTAAAGCTCCAGTCTCGCGTAGGCTGAGTATACCTGGTGTCAAGATTACAAAGACACGCCCAAAATGACGGCAAGCGGTCCTCACGGTCTTCGCTTCTTCCCTCTGATAAATTTCAAGTGCAGATAGTACTGTCGATCCCATGCATTACTCAGTTTAATGTATCATTGTTGTCTTTGTTGTAATCGTTCCGACTCCGCTAGAGGCCTGTAAGCAACAACGGCCAAGGCGCCGAAGGCTCCATCGAAGATACTGCTAATGTACCATTTCTGCAGACTCCTGCGGGAATGCATTTACCTAGTAGATCCCACCTGAGAAGTCCGAGATATCTCGGTGACAATCAACACCTGTATCATCCTGCCTGCATGTTGATCCACGTCCGAGCGCGGGAATCTCCGCGTGGTATCTTGTTCTACCACGTATGGCTCCCATGATTGTGACTCCAAGAGTACAGAGACCCATGGGAAAGGGACGTATGCTGTGTGTTGTATTCGAGTCCCGCGGATAGCTGGGAATGATTCCAAACTCAAGGGAAAGTGAGGTTGTCAAATGAACTCTGCCTGGATGCCATGGTTAGTAAGGGGCAGGGTAGGACAGTACACGTCCTATGCGCGTATCACTGCGCATTGCTGGCCGCTGAGCAAGACCGAAGGCCAAACGGCCGCCTTTGGGCGCAGTCACGTGACAAGTTTAGTCAGTGATGATGTCACTACCATATGTGGGGAGTATGGGTGTCAGCAACACCAAGCTCAAATCTATCAGTCCCTGGCACTGTCTGTAGGCTGGTTTCACCTCAATTGGCACCATACACTCACGATTCACTTATTTATCTGCACAGCGCGCGACCCGAAATAGCCCCAGGCATGAGAGAAATTACGGGAGTGCTTTTTGGAATGAATTCTCACTCCTTCAGTCTGGAAACGAGCCCGGGGTCCACGCCCGAGTGAACGGAACCTCGTTACCGATTCAAAAACGTTTCTTGGAGAGCACCTGACTTCATTCGTAAGACAGGCGCATCTGCACACATATATAACCCGAACCGCACCTCATACTTTTTTCGTCCATCTCTTCCAGATTCATTCCCTTGTTACATTTCCACTCTCATAATGCCTTCTCAACAGGTTTTTGGAGCGAAAGACGGTGCAGTCTACACTACCTCCACCGGCTCTCCTGTTGCGGAGCCGTATGCTGCTCAGCGCATTGCCACTTTAGGTCCCCTCCTATTGCAGGGTATGTCGTCGTACAACCCGTGACTCTACAGGTTTGAACCCACAGCGTGACAGACTTCCACCACATCGATCTCCTCGCCCACTTTGATCGTGAGCGTATTCCTGAGCGGGTAGTGAGTACTACAACTCCGTCACCGTGCGATCACGTACTCAACACTGCTCAGGTTCATGCGAAGGGTGCAGGTGCACACGGTTACTTTGAAGCGACAAATGACCTCAGCGACATTACTTCATGCAAACTTTTCACCTCCGTAGGCAAGAAAGTGCCAGCAACTGTTCGATTCTCCACTGTCGGTGGGGAGTCTGGCTCCGCAGACACCGCACGTGACCCACGTGGCTTTGCCATCAAACTGAAAACGGAAGATGGAAACTTAGATTGGGTATTCAATAATACCCCTGTCTTCTTCATCAGAGACCCGGCCAAATTTCCCCATTTCATCCATACACAAAAGCGTGACCCTCAGACTCACTTGAAGGATCCGGATATGTTTTGGGTGAGCCCATCTACCGATTACTATTATTTTGCATTTTTCCTTTGGCTGACGGTACGGAATTTAGGACTATCTTTCCCAGAACCCGGAGTCTGCCCACCAAGTGACGATCCTCTTCTCAGACCGCGGAACTCCCGATGGTTACCACAATATGCATGGTTATTCCGGCCACACTTTCAAGCTTGTCAAAGATGATGCTTCCTTCGTTTATGCCCAAATCCACGTCATCGCTGATGGCGGTTTCAAGGTTCATTTTTCCCCACTCTCATAACCCGAGTATTTGAAATATGTCTTGTAGACTCTCGACAACGCGACCGCTGCCCGTCTGTCTGGTGAGCGACCTGACTACGGTATTCAAAGCCTCTTCGAGACCATCGAGGCCGGGAAATACCCTACTTGGACTGTTTATGTGGTTAGTCCGTCATCTCGTCTGATTTTAAAAAGCGGAATTATGTACGCACATCCTTAGCAAACGATGACCCCAGAGCAAGCAGAGAACTTCCGGTACAACATTTTAGACTTGACCAAGATTTGGTCTCACAAGGACTATCCTCTGCGTCCCGTTGGCAAGCTTGTCTTGAATGAGAACCCCCAGAACTACTTTGCGGAAATTGAGCAGGTAAGTAGGTTCATACGACAGAGGCAAGTCATTAACCTCCTCATAGGCTGCCTTCTCCCCCTCCCATACCATCCCCTACTGGGAGCCCACTGCCGATCCGGTGCTGCAGTCTCGTCTCTTCTCCTACTCCGACACACATCGCCACCGCCTTGGCGTCAATTACAATCAGATTCCCTGTCGACGCTCCTCTCGCCCCTGTTGCTAACTTCCAACGTGATGGGCTAATGTCCATCAACAACCAGGGCGCTCGTCCAAACTACCAGAGCTCAATCGCACCTTTGAGCTACGTCCGCAACAAAGGCAGTACGAACGGCGACGCCCACGACCATCTGAGGGCTTCCAAGCACGAGACTTGGCTCGGTGGCGCATTCCTCGATTTGAGCGAGGTCACGGATCGTTAGTCTCCAGTCAAAGTACGAGGACTCCACATCACTGACCATGTTACATGGCCACAGTTGACTTTGAGCAGCCGCGTGCACTGTACAGGGAGGTAATGAGTGACACTGACAGGCAGCACCTAGTATCCAATATCGCTGGTCACTTGGGTGCTGTCAAGAGTCGAGAGATCAGAGATAGGGCTTGTAAGTATCTGCGCGATCTTATGAATTCTGATTTCTGAAATTGTTCACAGTGTCGTACTTTGCATGTATTGATCAGGCTCTCTCTGATGATGTTGCCTTCGCTATCAACGCACCCACAGCAAAGCCCCTTCCAGTCAAGCCGGCCTCCGAGGCAATTCGTTTCAGGACCAGATTCACTGTATGAGAAACTCAACCTCACATGTTGTCCTGCTTCTTTCCTGACGTGTAATATTCCGTTCTGCTTGCTAGGATGTACCTTCTAATGACAACCTGTATCATCATCGTTTGTAAGCAAGTTTTAGGGATACAGACAGTTGTCAAAATATAACGAGTTTTGTGGTTCAAGCTTGCCAGATATGTTTCCATTCAGAATCCAAATCCAAGTCCTTTGTTTATCTATGTACTGTAGGAGTACTTCTAGTTGCCGTCGTTCTCACTAGTATGTTCTCGACGTAGGATAGTACGTGCGCTGTTTCCGTTCTCTTGAACGTGGTATGCGACATCATCTCCACACACATATACTGTACTATGTAATGGCATCTTCACATATACGGTTGGTTCAGAAACTCTTGTTCCGACTGAGAATAATAGTGTATGGACTTCTAAATTCTAAAACCCTGTAGAGCGCTAAGTCCGTCCCTTCGCATCGTATTCTCTACTTGCCACTGGTTCAGCGGAGCACATAACAGCATTTGAGATACTGGGAAATATCATACGACATGAAAAATGAACTGATGGGAGGACACTCGATGAAATTGGGGGAGTTCTTGGTGCGTCGGTGAAACCAGAAAAATCAGGACAATACTCACATTCTCGGAGGCCATCCTAGCCTTCTGAATGCGGAAAAGACTCGCCGTACTTCGTTGTGACGGTCATATGACTGACTCATATCCATCGGGGGTGTAAAAGTATATGTATTACAGCGGTACGTCGGTACATACATAGGTAGGCTACCTACCATTGCAGCGGGGGTGGACTACATGGAAGAGGGGAACCTTAGATGTTGCGGACATGGTAGCTACACATGGTTGTGCGTGAATCTTGTGCCAGACCTCAAAGTCATTGTCTGGCCCATGATCGCCATCACACTCAGGCTCTAACTGGTCAGATATAGCTCTGCTGTCCAATTAGTCCCAATAGATATCTGGATATTATATGTACAAGCACATTTTCTGGTATCTGTAGATGACTGCTGGCCTAATTCATCATCCCTGTCATCATCATCTTCATAGGGCAATGCTGATCTGAGTGAGCTGAGTACATTCTTGGTGGAATTTAGCCACCTCTCTGAAAATGTTCTCATCTGTGACCTTCATCAGGTCTTCAACAGGTTTGCGCCGTTTCTGTAAAGCCTTTCCTCGAAATATGACTTAGGACTCGAGCAGATCACCCAACCATTGGCTCTTTTTTTCCGTGTCATATGATATCCCCCAGTATTCCAAATGCTATTATATACTTTGTTGAACTAGTGAGGAGTGAGGAACGATGAAAAAGGATGGACGCAGTCGCTCATACAGCATTTTTGAATTTTTTCGAGTATTTTGATTTTCAAACGTCAACTTCTCAGCTGTAAGGACCAGACTTCTTGTAAACGGGACCGTGTGAAACACAAACCTATTCTGACGGCACTACATGCTTAATACCTTCACATCATTATATCCCTCCACATCAAGTAGCCTCTCCCACAAGTGCCGCACCCAGGCATGGCGCCAGATTTGTTTTCGTTTCTATCGAATGCCCCTCAACAGGTTGATAGCGATGATGAGGTTTTGGAGCTCGAGCCGCAGGAACCTCGAGGAGCGGCCCAACCTGCCCCTTCAGCACCGACTGCCGGTCAAAAGCGCAAACCGGGCTCCAGCAGAATAAGTGACGAAATTCGACGGAATGAGGGGAATATAGACAATACAGATAGACCGCCAAAACGGCCACGCGGAACATCACCGGCACCGGTCGTTGTCGACGATTTTCACACCGAGGCCAAGCGAGAGATGGCAGCAAGTGGCGGTTTAACAGGTCCTGTCGATGCTAGCTCGCGATTAGAGTTGAGACATCAGGTATGTATAATTTTTGCGCAATTATTCCTTCTCATCCTTCGTAGGTTCGACATCAAGTAGCTATTCCTCCAGGATATAACTACGTTCCGATTGCGAACCATATTCCTCCTGCAAAACCGGCTAGAGAATACAAGTTCACACTGGATCCATTCCAACAGGTTTCTGTGTACGCAATCCAGCGGAATGAGAGCGTGTTGGTGTCGGCCCATACCAGTGCTGGTAAGACAGTCGTGGCAGAATATGCCATAGCGCAGTGCCTTCAGAACCGGCAGCGTGTAATTTACACTAGTCCAATAAAAGTGAGCAGGACCAAGTTCTGTCTGTGGCTTTGGTAATGAAGGTGAAATATTTCCTTCCTGTAGGCACTGAGCAACCAGAAATACCGGGAGATGCTTGCTGAGTTTGGCGATGTGGGTCTAATGACTGGTGACGTTACGATTAACCCGTCAGCAACCTGCTTGGTGATGACTACTGAGGTGAGTACACCTATTGAACGGCGATGCACGCATCTGAAACAATCCCTTCAGATTCTGCGTTCAATGCTGTATCGCGGTTCGGAGATCATGCGCGAAGTAGCATGGGTAATCTTCGACGAGATCCACTACATGCGAGACAAGGAGCGCGGCGTCGTATGGGAAGAAACTATCATCCTTCTACCGCACACAGTCCGTTATGTCTTCCTTTCGGCGACTATTCCAAATGCCATGCAATTCTCCGAATGGATATGCAAATCACACGAGCAACCGTGTCACGTCGTGTACACAGATTTTCGGCCTACTCCCCTGCAGCATTATCTCTTTCCTGCAGGTGGAGACGGAATTTTCTTGGTGGTGAACGAAAAGGGGGAGTTTAAAGAAGAAAACTTCAGCAAAGCTATGAGCGCGCTGCAGGAAAAGGCGGGAGAGGATCCTGCGGATCCTCGTAGTGGGAAGGGCCGCAAAGGCAAATCTAGAAAAGGAGGTGAAAAGAAAGGTATGTTGTGTAATTGTCCGATTTTTGTATGACATTGGCAACTTTACAGGTCCCTCTGACATCTCCAAGATCATCAACATGATTATGCGGCAAAACTATAACCCAGTTATCGTTTTCGCCTTCAGCAAGCGTGAATGCGAGGGGTTGGCATTGACAATGTCCAAGTTCGACTATAACACGAGCGACGAACAAGATCTCATTACCAATATTTTCCAAAATGCTATCGAGAACCTTTCCCAGGACGATCGAAATCTTGCGCAAATATCTAATCTTCTGCCTCTTTTGAAGCGTGGCATAGGCATTCACCACGGTGGCTTGTTACCAATCCTTAAAGAGGTCATCGAGATCCTGTTTCAAGAAGGTCTAATTAAAGTCCTATTTGCTACAGAGACCTTCTCCATAGGATTGAATATGCCAGCGAAAACCGTGGTGTTCACCGCGGCTAGGAAATTCGACGGCCGGGAATTCCGGGATTTATCTTCTGGCGAGTATATTCAGATGTCAGGTCGTGCAGGCCGTCGAGGTTTGGATGACCGTGGAGTGGTTATTATGATGTGCGACGAGAAGCTTGAGCCCGCTTCTGTAAAGGAAATGATTAAAGGGGAAGCGGACCGTCTGGATTCTGCTTTCCACCTTGGGTACAATATGATCCTCAATCTCCTTAAGGTGGAGGGCATCAGCCCAGAGTATATGTTGGAGCGATGCTTCTTCCAATTCCAGAGCAGTGCTGGTATTCCTGTTCTCGAAAAGGGTATGTACAAAGTCACATGGATCCCTTCATAGGTCTGACACATCATTGTAGAACTGAAGGGTGAAGAGAAACGGCGGGATTCGCTCAGAATTCCCGATGAACAGCTGGTCGCGGCGTATTATGATTATCGCCAGCAGCTGGACAGGATGGCAGACGATATGCGTGCTGTCATAACACACCCGACGTACAGCCTTCCGTTCCTCCAACCAGGCCGCTTGATACGCGTGAAGCATCGCGACGCTAACTTTGGCTGGGGTGTGGTCATTAATTTCCAGAAGCGGCTGCGTACCAAGGTCAGCATACTTGGATTGATAGAAGACTGACGGCTGAATATCCATTCTGGTTGCAGACAAAACCCGAGTTCCAACATGTCGATGATATACCTCCACACGAGCAATATGTCGTCGAGGCCTTACTCTACTGTGCAGATGGTATGGCTGTTCCCAAAGACCGCAATATTTCTGCCGGGAAGCCAGATGATTTCCGGCCATGTCCACCTGGCGAGAAGGGAGTTTCACTCGTGGTGCCGATGTTTCTGTCTGCAATTGAAGCTATCAGTCACATTCGGATTGTATTGCCTAAAGACTTACGGCAGGACCAGGCTCGAGAGACCGTCTGGAAGAGTGTCTTGGAGGTTCAGCGGAGATTCCCGCATGGCATTGCACTCCTAGACCCCGTGGAGAACATGGGGATAAAAGACGATAAATTTCTTAACCTCATCAAAGTAAGTCTTTCATTCATCTATCTTACTCCTTGAAGAGCGTTTTCTCATGTACGAACGTGGAACACCAGAAAATTGACGTTATGGAAAAGAAGATGTTTTCGAATCCATTGCACAGGGACCCGCGCCTACCCGAGCTATATACCCTCTATTCCCAAAAGCAAGAGTGTCAAACGAAAATACGCTCGCTGAAAAAGCAAATCTCAGCCACACACGATGTCTTGCAGCTGGAAGAACTGAAGTGCAGGAAGCGCGTACTCCGACGTCTTGGGTTCACAAATTCCTCCGACATTGCAGAAATGAAGGGTCGTGTCGCGTGCGAGATCAGTACAGGCGACGAACTTTTACTTACGGAACTAATCTTCAACGGCGTCTTCAACACGCTCTCGCCGGAACACAGTGCTGGACTATTGAGTTGCTTCGTATTCACGGAAAAGGTATAACCTTCTCTTCCCGTTGTTTCCAACAACTCATCTACGTTCCGCTAGAGCGAGCAACAGACGAAGCTCACGGAGGAACTTGCAGCACCCTTACGTGTTATGCAAGAACTCGCTCGTCGTATTGCCAAAGTATCCCAGGAATCCAAACTGAATATTGTAGAAGATGAATATGTTTCCTCCTTCAAGGTCGAATTGATGGAGGCTGTTGTACAGTGGTGTCGTGGAGCCTCATTTGCGGACATATGTAAAGTGAGTTAACATACAATACACGTCAGCTGCGCAGTTAACCTTTTGACAGTTGACAGACCAGTTTGAGGGCAACCTCATTCGAGTGTTTAGGCGCCTTGGAGAGCTCCTCCGGCAGATGACACAGGCTGCTAAGGTGATTGGTAACTCTGAGTTACAAGAGAAGTTCCAGAAAGCATCAGAGATGCTCGAGCGACCGAATTCGGTCATTTTCTGTTCGTCTTTGTATCTGTAGAGTTTGACTGGACAGGATGGTACACATGCATTTTTAGTTCTAGTGAAAGCAAGAGTTTGGGGAGTACTATGTAGTGAATTGTCAACTTGTCCAACACAAATCAACGAGCCTAAGCCTCAGTTTTGTCCATCGTGGTTGATGTAGCTCACGAGAGTGATACATGACTCTGGCGTCGGCTTTGATTTCTGATGCTCACCAGCGGTCATTTTAGTATATATTTTGAGAACCTCTGAGCAGAGTGGGCGAAGTTATATGAAGTATTTTTGCTATGATCTCTCCCGAGCCTCGACTTTTTTGATGAAACCTGCACCGAGGCGTTCGATTTCGTCCAACACAGCCTGCTTGTTTAGCACGACAGTCCCCTTATTTTTCTCATTCGGTTTCTGTTCCTGGTGATACCAATAATTAAAGTGCTAGCCACAATGAAGGATGAACTTGCCTGGACAGCTGGTGTACTGGAGAACCCTCCCATTACTCTGAATGGGCGAATGCCCGAGACGATAGGCAGCCAAATGGCACCGATGTAACGACCGCCATAAACATCATAGAAAAACTTCAGAGTATCAGAGTATGTCACCTGGAAAACCGGTCAGCTCATCGAACCACCGAAACCATGTAACATTTCCCTTACCTGAAGGTCCTGAAACAACAACCAGGCAGGATCGAAACCTGGTCTCGGGGTTGCGTCATCCTCTTGAGGAATCGTGCGGTCCTTCGACAAGGCGGACGACTCGGCGTTTATGGATTGATGATATCGAGGCAAGATCATCGGGTCAAGCTCGATGAGGACGTCATAGTCTTCCGTGGCATGAGAGAACAGTCTCTGGAAGGCCGTGAGTACAAGAACCCAGGAGAAGCGAAAAGCGGACCTCAACATCCAAGGAATCAATATCTGTACCGTGTAGTATTTTACACGCCTCTCTCGCAATTGCGCGGAGCCGTCGAGCAGCAATAGCGTCTGGCCCACTGGATGTCCACATTCGCCCACTGTTATCTTCCGAGGTAGAGATCGTCCAAACACCCTGCTTTGAGCTGACCGCAACAACGGTAGGCTCAGAACTTGGTGCACTATCTTCATATATAGGAACAAAAATAGGTTCCTCGGGTTTCCAGTCTCGGAGGAATTCGAGCACTTGCGCGAAACCACGTTCCTTGCTCCTCGGGATACTTGAGGCATCATCCGGAAGGACAGCACCCGAACCAAGGAAGGGCCGTGCAGAAATGATTTCGACTGCTTCTGCAGAGACGTGGGTCGTAAGCAGCCAGTGAGCCGCAAGCCAACGCTTCACCAGCCGGACAGTCCCAACATACGCAGTAAAGCGATGCGCAAGGTTGGCAACTGCTCGGTGATGACGAGGTGCGTGGATGAATTGGCAAGTATATATTTCAAGCGCTTGCTGTGCCTCACGTTGTTCGCGGGGATTAGCCTCGGACGGTGCGAGTGGCCGTGCAGGAGTCCGAACCGAACTGGAGAGACGTTCCAGTAGGGTCGCTTCCCGGTCATACCATATCCGCACGGAGAACGCCCAACCCTCCGCAGTGTGGATTTCCAAGGAGGGTCCCTGCTGCTGGATGGTTGATCCAGAACAGTCAGCAGTACAGACGCTGGCACGAGTTATTTTGTTTGCACTCAATAAAGCTGTTGCAATCGCCTCTAAAAGCGCAAGTTTGGCCTTTTGGACAGCACGGATATCGTCGGGCCATTTTGTAGACTTTTCAAACTCGAGATTGACATCGATCGTGGGGAGGTAGCGGTACGAGTCGGGTAGCGCGAGGTAAGCAGATTGGGGTATGGGAACAGGACCTAGAGCACTGGCATAACGAAGATATTCCGAAGTAGGGCTGACGCTTGACAATGCTAGTGGGATCTGATCACCCAATGACTTCAGGCGCTTTACCAGACCGTCAAAGGCAGAAAGCGCAGACTTGAAACCACTGGAAGATCCTGAAGCCTGGAAGATACTTGAGACCTCGTCTGGTAGTCGTAGTTTTGCATCGAGGTAGTTCTGTGGGCTCCGTACATCGTTTTCCGGGATCCCAAAGTGATAACGCAACAGATGCCGAACAATAGCGACTGGTATGTGAGCGCGCTCATCAGAGGTCTTGACTTCCCAGACTACACTTTCAACGATGCGCCCATCCTTAAATCTACGCAATTCCGCCTTGTCACCCCAAAGCTGACGAAATAGTCGACCTGCTTCTGAGTCTGGTCCATCGGCAGGAGGCCCGTGGTCGACAAGCCGGAAGGCATTCTCAGAATTATAAGTTAAGCCAATATAGATCGTTGAAAGCAGCGGATTATAGGCGTCGGTGATAGAGCGCATTTTTGATGATGGGTGGAATATTCCAATCGCCTGTACACGGTCACCCTAACCCACGCTGCAAAGTCTTGGAAATCGCCGCTAGTAAAGCGTTGTCGGAGCTCCCGTACTCTACGAACTCGTAAGCTGATTGCTTCTTAGACGCACGAGCGAGATCAACCCTGCAAAACGTCAGCCTTTGATGGAGGGAATGTACCATGGCTTACCTAATGACAGCATCACATCTCTTGGACAATTGAGTCTGGTCATTCAGGAACAGCTGAGCGAAAATGTTGTCGCTTTCTGAAGAGGTGTTTAGCTTCTCCAGTGTTTCGTTAGCGTCATATCTAAGCTGCATGGTCCGCTGTCAGAGGCTTGGAGGAAAGAACTGTTCTTGAAACACACCATGCTAAGGGAGGTAGAGGGAACGTCTGCGAGAAGATTAAGGGTAGACGTCGAGTCCACAAAGACCGCAGAATGATGAGAAGTATACTCGTCTGGGGAGAACTTGACCAGAGTCAGAGCAAAGTAACCTAATTATACTTGACCTACCTTGTGCCCATTGGTCGACTTGACGTGCACAGCTTTCTGCGAGAAGTCTTGCCTTGCTGAAGCCAACCGAATTGTCAGGCGGGAGTCCCAACGAAACCGCTTGCAACTCACCCAAAACGTCAAGTGCAGCGCGAAATAGCTGATACGAACTCAATCCTTTTCCAAGTGGCTTTCTCACATTTGCCTTGTTCGCGCGAGTGGACTCTTCCCCGAAAACCACCAGACCAAGAACTTCATTCCACCAGCATCCCTTCCCCTCAAAACCTCTCACGCATATCGGTCCCTCTCCATATCCTCTCTGATTCGCCCATACGCGCAGTAGAGCATAAGCGTCCGAGAAGGCTGGGCATAAATGTTTGAGGGCGTTGGTAGCGAGTAGCGAGAGTTTGGGGTAGGTGGCGAGGAGAACATTCGTATTATAAATAGGGGTAGGCTGGGGACCAGCTGAAGATTTTCCAGGAAGACGAACATTAGCATGCGACGGGGACAGTCGCGATAGGGGCATAGGGTTGGACGAAGAGATGACGGGGATGACGTGAATTTTGGCGTGAGCCTTGGAAAAGTCGTTCTGGCTCCCTGACGCAGAGTGAATAGACTGAAATGCTAAAGTCGGCCAGTACCTTACCTTTCCTCGGTGAAAGTACCAGTACAGTCAGACGTGGATCTCCAAGCGTAGATTGGTAGAATGTGTCAACCTCTAGTGAAGTTGACAGACTCTGTGCAACAACAGCAAGATAGAAGGCACGTTTGTGGAAATACCTGCTATCTAAATAGTCTTTCTCCTGAAACAAAGACTGCATTAAAAGAATGCGCATGCCTTAGTACCAACACACGAAAGATGAGTGAAATCAACCCACGTCAGGCATTTCAATCGTCACGTCGACTGTGAATGGCACCCCGTCCTTCCGCTTCACGCAGATCTGATTCGCCCAGCTTCCAACGACATTGATATCACTCGGAGGTTCGAACCCGACTTTCCACTTGACTTCTTCTGTGGGATGCGGGAGCGCAAATGGCATAGCTATCCCCTGTTTGGCCAGCGCCCGTGCGGCGGACACTGGATTTTGAGGCTCAAACGCACGCATAGATATCAGATGCGAACGGAGGGAATGGAGGAAGCGTTCCAGAGGTGCTTTTCTCGAATCCTTCGTGCTCGGGCGGACGTTCGGAAGGAGTGCATCAATCTGAAGATACGTCAGCACGTATGTTGGGGGAGAGAAGGTAAGATACGAATACCTGAAGTTTAAAGGAACTCGACTGGTAGAGGTTGACAGCATCCTTGATCATTCGAAGCTCTTCGCCGGTCGGAGGTTTGCTGGCATGATGTGAGCTTGCACCTGGGTCTCCGGGCGTTAGCTCTACCCCAGTCCATTGAGTCTTCTTCCCCTCCACCACTGTTTTGAGGTTCTCCGTCTTCCATAGGTTCCTCGTCACTTGGGAGCCCAACGGATGAGGCATCAGAACCGACCTCTTGGTCGTCGAGGTCAGGTGTCACACGAGTTTTCTAGCAACAGAACTTGGTGATGAACAAACCACGGAGTGTATATGTACCCACCTTTCGTCCATATTCAGCGTTTTTCGTACGCTTACGCTTCAGAGCTGAAGGCATCCGTCCGTGATACTAATGTATATGTACACGGTGGGACAGGCAAAAAGTGATCGGCAACCACCCAGAGAGGGGTGCGATCATACAGGGGCTAGTAGCTACGCCATGTACTCGGGAAGAGACCGTCTTCAAAATCGGAACGCTACCCAGGATGACAGCACACCAATAATCCCACTTTAAATATATATGTACAACCAAGCTTGATGGGGGTGCAGAGACGATGGTGACGATGAGCATCTATGTCACAGTTAATCGTCAATAACAATGACGTCGCCCGACGCGAGTGGGTCCGCAGGCAACCCGGATCCCGACGTCCTACTCCTCGTTATGCGTCTCTCCCGCTCTTCCTCTTCTACCAAATCAATAGTGTCCACCTCTCTCGGTCGTTTTCTCCCTGCGACGGTCGCATTCGACGAGGCAGAACCAACTCGCACATCCTGATCACCGATGGTAATCGTTTCAGGATTAGATGATAGCGTAGACGTAGTAGCACTACCAGAGCTCGCGTTTATCGACGTAGGCATTGCCAGAGGGATTTCTCTTCCCTTGCATTTCGGTCGACCGTTGGCAGTGGTCCCCGGTCTTGCTGTGGCGGATGTTGAAGGAATTGGTGCAGGTGGTGGGATAGGAGGCGGGCGAGCGTATAATTCTGTCCAGCGTTTTGCGGTGCGATCGTGTTGCTGCCGATTTCGCGTGTACTCAGTGGCAATAGAAGGTACTGTACTAAGTCAGTCCTGAAAGTGGTCGAAGATTGGATCACTGCCAATACTCACCTAGAGGGTCGTCTGGGTGAAATTCAGATTAGTCGGTGGAGTGTTACGGGGGGCACCAAAGAAACGGGCGTACGGGGGTTCGGATCTGTAAGCAGCGACGACAGCGAAAGCATGACTTTAAAGAGGGAGAGCGCTGGAGACCAGTTCTGTTTGAGGATGTCTATGCAAATTCCGCCCTTGTCGGAGATGTTCATGTGGTATATCCTTGAATAGTGTAGGGTCGATCACTAACGGCAAAGCCGGTGCGCAACTTCGCACGTACCTTGTGGCAAAGGTGACTTTTGGGGCAGTGAACCTGCATGATGGCAAGGTGATCTCGGGAACCGAATGCTAACAATTCGGGGGGACGCACGGATAGTCGGGATTGAGTTGTATGTCGATATTGAATATACCTCCTTCATAGGGACTTCCCTGGGGCCCTGGAATAGTACCCTTCCAACGATATAGGCTTGCCGGTGTAGGAGCGAGAGTAATAGCGCCCAGGTCTTCTTTCTGGACGTCTGCTATCTCGCGGTGGATACGTTTCATGGTCATCTCGGACAGCATTAGCCACAAACCTCGCAAGGCGCGTTTTTGAGACATACCGCTGAGGAGAGTGCAGGTGGCATGATGGTGGGTAGGGTTGGTTGCTTTTGAAACTGTCAGTCCGTAGTCCGCCCCGTGTCTGCTTGTGCTGCCGGTCGCTGACCTGGCCCGGCTTGACGCCATTGTGCCTCCAGCCATCACGTGACGGCATATCAACGGAAAGACAGCCCGACCTGAGTCAAGTCAGAGTCAATTCATACGTTCGACTACAACTTTCAACGACCACGACAATGCCATTCCGAATATCTGCAGCAGTATAAAACAAACAAGAAATATACTTGTAGCGTAATGTTCGGTGAATCAGACTCGGAGAGTCCTCGCGTTCCGAGCCCCTGGGACAGTCCTCACGTCTTCACCCCCGACACCTCCCACAGGCGCCCACGTCCAGGCAGTACCCCGTCTCATCCCCGAAGTGGAGGAGGTATGCCAATAACCCGTGTTCTCCACTTTATAATGCTTATCCTCGGTTAGGGGAACGTGGAGTATAAACTCCAGCTCCTTGCACCCTCACCCTCCCGTTTTGCTCGTCTCGTCACCCAGCTTAAATGGCGCCTCCTCGAAGGTGGAGGTCAGGCTTACTATGAGATCGGCGTAGCAGATTCAGGTGCACTGGTGGGTCTTCCCCGCCAAGAACTGGAGGAGTCCCTCGAGACCCTCGAAACTATGGCTGGCGAGATTGGTGCTTCGGTCATCGTCGTCAAGGAGATTGAAGTTCCACCTGCGCTGTCTGGAATGGCACAGAGCCAGCTGGAACACTGGGAAGGGCGAAGGAAGAAAAGGAAAAACTTCCTAAGGGCGGTGCATAACGTTGATTCGTCCTCTGCAACATCCACCACAGAACCCGAGACGGAGGTGTCTACCGCGGACCTGACAGACGCAGAGGACACTCTTGGTATACCAAATGCGTTTCCCACTTTCACTCGTATTCACTGTACCGCCGTACATACGTCTCACCCCTCCCTGCAACTCGAGTCTCCCGGCATCGTCTTTACCATGGACACTGACACCGAGGCCGCCACTGGTTTTGACGCTGATGGTACACCTAACGCCATGCCAAAAGACACCACGATATTTTCCATGGACCTCGAGATCTCATCCGTATATAAGCCGCGACCACTGAGGAAACGCACAAAACATGTTGCCTCCGCGCCATTAAATCACCTCGACAAATGGGAAAGGCACACAAGCGGAAAGAAGACGAACCAGCGCAAGCAGCACCCGTCACAGCCTGATCATGTAAGCGCATCAACAACAACGGATGGCGAAGGAGGAGAAAGGACGGGCATTAAGCAGTCACAGGTGACACCAACCAAAGGGCAGAACCGTAAACCAGCCCGAGACAGGCGACTTGGGCTGAAGAATAACGTCCTACTGACACATGCGCCCACATCACAGCGCAATGTGATCCACCAGAGTGGTAGCTCAACTCTGGCTTCCCAGGTGGCCAGTGATGCGAACTCACTCGTGTCTGAATTTGAAGGTCCACACGTCATGGTCCACCCCCTTACCTGCAAGCCTGCCTCCTCTGTGGAAACTCCTGCGCATCTGGATTTCTCGGATGGTGACGGTCGAGCTGTGACGGCAGTTGGAAAGATCGATGATGTCTGGGTCGCCGACAACGAGCCGAGGCTTATCGTCGAAGCGTTAGTAGTACGAAAGATGTCTCTCGAGGATTCATTTCTAGACTTTGGTGGCTTCTCGTTCTCTTGAGCAGGCTTCGCGCAGGCGGTTTTGAGAAACCAGGATACCCTAGCAGTGACATTTCCAAGTCGAGCTTTGACTTATGTCCTCCGTAACGTTTTCCAGGACTCTTGTAATCGTGTAATATTGTATCTCCCCCGCAGTTTGCATAAACGTCGATAGCATCCGATGGCCCCTGTAACAATGTGTCGACTCTTACTTGCCCTCCAAGGCCTGCCATACGTTTTCTGCCATTTCTTGCATGACATTCCGCCACACTGCCCCGCCGGCATTGTCTTCGTCGGCCTGTTCCTTACTTGCCGTAAGCATATAGGGAACGCCGCCATCTCCACCTCTACTGACACTCTTCACGAGGGGGAGCTCACCGAGAACAGGGACGTTCAGTGACGTCGCGGTGGCGCGAAATGCCGTCGGTGAGCCAAAGACGTAGTGCGGAGTCACGCAGGAGGGGCAAACAAAATACGACTGGTTAAGGACAGTCCCTGTAATCTATATAATAGACCGATATGATCAATATGCACAGGAAACGAGAGAGAACAGACGCACTGGCACAGAGACTTTGCGAAACATCGATATACCACGACGGACGTCCGCAAGAGCCACGTCCTGCGGGGTAGAAACGATCACGGCACCTGGAAAGTTCGTGCAGTTCGCATTTCAGACGGCAACTTGCCAAAGTCGACATACATACCATCGACAACGACAAGCTGTCCAAGCGTCAACTGCACGTCACCCGTACCAGGAGGCAGATCGACAACTAGAACGTCCAGTCCAGGACCATCCCCAGCATCTCGCCAGTCCACGTCAAAGAGTAGTTGTTGCACTGCTTTTTGTACCATCAACCCGCGCCAAACAACTGCCGCGTCTTCGCGTGAACCCGATTCAGACTTGGGCAGTAAGTAGCCCATTGACATTGTCGGAAGGCCGTGATTTATGACAGGCAAGATCGCCCCGCCTAAAAGAAGTTTGGCTTGTGGAAAAAAATAATTTCCTTTCGGACGCACCAGGCGTCAGAGGAGGCTCATCTGTGTGTTGAAGACCCATGAGCATTGGAACGGAGGGTCCGAATATATCCAAGTCAAGTATACCAACGCGCATTCGTCGCCCAAGGGACTTTGGCTTAAGCATAGCAAGCGAAAACGCGAGATTCACTACACGAGAACTCGTCAGAAAGCATGCTTGGACGGACAGAAGTGGAAGTGTTACATACCTGCGACGGTGCTCTTCCCGACGCCGCCCTTTCCACTTGCAACTGCGAGGACCTTGTTCACATGGGGTATGGGTCTCTTTTTTATAGGACCACCTTTGCGGGGTATTTGGGGAGCTGGGCCTGGACGACGAGGCAGGCCCTACTAGTAACTAAACCGTACGTCGAGAAATTCAGACAAAGCAAGATGCGCACCAGTGGGTTTTCATGTTTATTTCTGAGAGTACTCGAAAAGAGCCTCGTACACATGCCAAGTCGTCGGCACGCGCCCTGCTGGACGAATATTGCTGCCAACATGTTTCTCCGATCTCGACGTTGTCCCTGACTCGGACGCTGAGCTGGCTATGTCATAGGGCAGGACCCCGAAAACTCCGTATTGGGGTGGGCTAATGCCATTCATCTGATTACTGATACGTACTCGACGACAATGGTAGGGCGATATTTTCAGTCAACCACGGAGAGCTCAAACACATCCAGAACGTCGACCCTCTCGCAGACACAGCACCGTCTCGGCATGCCATCGAATCCGATGACGAAGATGAATACGACTCACCATCACTGTCAAAGCCAAAGCCAGACCAGCTATCTACACCAGACATCAAGTTCGCTGGAAACTTCCCCATCAAATCACCACTCCTCCTGGCTTCAGGTATTGCAGGTGGAGCATGGGCGCGTGGTGCGGATCTCGGCCAGCAGCAAGGCGCTATCTATGTCGGCGACAGCCAAGTGGGTATAGATGACGGTACTGTACGCGTCACCTCGAGTCACTGAACTACCATAGGTTGGTCTCCTGTTCTTACCGTCGTGGACGCGCGCTGCAGTGGTCGTGTCCGAAACATTCACGCGGCTTCCGTTGTCGGCGATGAACCCTTACACTGCCGCCGTCGTCGACCGCATACAGCCCACTAGGTCAGCGTGCTTCCCCTTCACACAGTGCTGGAATGACTGACTCGTCAACTAAGTATTTCTGTGCTAGACTCATACTCCGTCCAGGGATACATCTCATCTAGAATTATCCCTTGGGACGAAGCGCCTGTACGGTATCTTTCGACGAATGCGATTTCGATCTCGGTGAGAAAGCTGCGATGGTACTTTTCAGGTCTAGCTGACCAACAGTTCCCAGGACCCTGAGCTTGAACTATTTGCTCCACCAAATCTCATGCAGTCTACGATGGCCTCTTTAGTCTCTAACGTCTTCTGGAAATCATTAGCGTCAAGAGAGAATTTCACCGTAGCTCTCTTCCTCTTACCATCACCAAAGCTACCTGTCGTGCCGCCTAGTACAATTAAACCCTCGAGCTTTCCGCCGCCATCGGATGACATCCAGTGGGGCAAGAAAACCATGCAGAAAGTCCATCAGTGGTTGTTTGAGACAATTGGCGAGGGAAGGCACGTGGCGCAATGGGTCGAAAGGAATCGTGGGTCTTCTGAGCTACAGGCTGAAAACAGACGCCGTGCGCAAGGTGAAATTGGAGAAGGTGGTATGTATATATAGCCTGTACGGAAACCGAGACAGGGACTGGGGACGTGATATCTATCCAGCGGTCCCATAATCGGTGGACGAGAAATGAAGATTTTAAAGCCGGATTCCATGGGGTCAAAACACATCAGTAGCCTCAGTCGTAGTTATCCCAGGTAAAGTACGAGTCCGGGTGCTGTAGACTACTGTTGTCCCGGGGTATTTACTCAGGGGCCCTGGCTTGATTAGTGGGGTTACATAATCCAAGATATATGTTGAACGCGACAAGAACAAGCAAACCGACTTGCTGCTAAAGGGTAGATATGGTGAGATCTCCAATGAAACCTCCACTTTGACCCCTCATTTCTGACCTGTTTCAGAGCGACAACGCAGGTATTTCCTTTGTCGCGCCTTAATCTCCAAGTCCTGCGCGAAACTGATGGACGGGCCTGTAACAGAGTACAAAGAAGCGTTTGCACTCTTCGACAAGAAGGGAACAGGTGCCGTCCCGAGAGAAGTGCTAGGCGATTTGCTTCGCGCTCTCGGGCAAAATCCTACGCAAGCAGAGGTGGCGGAGATCGTCGCATCTGCACCGCGCGAGGGTGCGTAATAGCCAGACTTTGTGGCAGACGGCAATGACAGATCTTCCGTGCAGTGGATTATAAAGCTTTCCTAAGCATTCTAAACCGACCCGATGGGTTCAAACCTGCAGGGACGCCTGGTGCGTTGATAGCACTGACTGATTACACACGGGTATAACTGACGTCGGTGCCAGAGGAATTCATCAGAGGTTTCCAGGTATTTGATAAAGAGGGCAACGGGTTCATTGGTGCCGGAGAGCTCAGATACGTCTTAACGCAACTTGGAGAGAAAATGACGGACGAAGAGGTCGACGAGCTTTTGAAGGGTGTTCAGATTGGGCCGTAAGTGCACCGGACTTCCTTGCTCGTCCCACGATTTAAAATTCGCATCCAGCGACGGCAATGTGAACTATGAATCATTCGTAAGAACTATCCTAAGCCAATGATGATGTTGTATAAATAGTCCGACGGCGGAAGTGTCTATTCCCTTCCATAAATTCAGTCACTTTCAGATTCGTACTGGTCATCTGAGTCGTGTCCAAGAGGTTTCTTGCCATTGACCACATTACTCGTGACTTCCATGACAAGTTGTTCTCCATTTTTGAGTCCAGCCTCGGCCAGCGAAGTGTTCGCCTTCCATTTAATTTCCCGCCTAGGGTATGAAAGAGCAAGCTTGAATCCCCACCATGACTCCGGACCCTGGACCTGTGAATGAATATACTTCTCCAGAATTTCAATACCCCCGCCGGAACCTTCAGGTGGATGCTCTGGGTCATCCTGGGAATTCATGCTTGAGGGAATCATTTGGCTGTCTACGAAGGCATAAAGCGCCGTCACAGTTGTGGCGGACGGGAATGAGCGGACTACGCGTCCACTGGGTAGTCTGATTGCAAGACGGATACTGTTACCATCTCGAGGTTCAGGGGGAACAATAGATCGGCGCATCCATCGCCTCCACTGGGAACGACGGAGCTTAATGCTTTCCTGCCTTTCCTGCTCCGCTTGCAAGCGCCTCTCTTCCTCACGCTGCGCTTCTTCTTCCTTGCGGATACGCTCCACTTCTTCCCGTTCCGCTCTGATTTTGGCTTCAATGCGCTCGCGGTCTCGTCTCTGGGAATCTCGGTATGCCTTGTCCTGCTGCTCCCGAAGCAACCTGTCACGCTCACGCTCTTGAAGCTGGTCTCTGTAGCGCGTGAGGAATGGGTCGACGCGCGGAAGGAGTTGTCCCTCCAGGTGGTTTATGAGCGACCGTGCGGAGGTGGGCCCCGAGTCGGGCACGGAGGGCCCGTAGTGGCGAGACAAGACAGTGAGAACAGGTCCCGAAGAGGAAAATGAAGACGTCGAAGTACTACGACGAGGTTGCAAAGCAAGGAATGCAACAAAAGGGTACGTCGTGACTTGGAGCTTCTGCGCAGCTACTTTATAATGAGAACCAGAACCTAGAACTGCGAAAAAGTAATTACCATCCCAAGGAATCTTGTCTCTAACGTCCCCTCCCCAAATAACAAAATTATTGTCGTTCATGATCCTCACAAGATTAGGGTCAGTAAGGGTCACTCTACAGACTGTCAGAGATCATAAAACATCAAGCAATCTGACAGACCTCTTGAACGCGGGTACATCGTCGTGTTCCTCGGAAACGAGGATCACGCAAGCAATTCTACCTTCCTTTTGGCAAATATCCAAGACCTCATCGTATGTTCCATCAAAAAAGTCTGGTAATACTCTAGTAGTTTCGGGGTTGGCCGGTGGGTACGCGTGACGCCTCGAGGTAGATGGATGACTGTCACGGCCAGTAGCGACTGAGGGTGATGATTTGATATTGTATGCTCCTGTCTCCTCCTCTAGTGTAGTTATCCAGCGGCGGATCGCACCACGGGAATCGTGAGGCTGTCTAGGCGGTCGATACGAGCTGGCACCAAAGTTCAGTGACAAGAACGGGATGCGGAAAACGCCAAGGATAAATCGCAGGATGCCGGTAACAACATGGAAGGGTAACGATAACACTGCAAAAATGGTGTTGGCGAGGGTCCTCGGTGGCTTGAATGAACGCTACATGAGTGACAGGGAAAAACACACTGGCCAGGATACTCACTCCCCGGCCGCCTGCACGTTCTGGTCGGTCAACAGGTAATTGAGGTTCGTGGTCCAAAGAGGACATCGTGCTTCTTGACGAGGGGGTTGAATCCACATGGGGACCGTCTAGTAGAAGCTCCATTGCACTCTGTGGGCAACTGTTAGGCGAGTTCGACCTGTCGGGGCTGTGGTGACATACGTGGACACTCCAATCAACACTTTGCAATACGCTGACAAGGACGTCAGTATCATAGTGCTGCGAGTCGAGCACAGCTTGCAGCTGTCTGACAGCGTCTCTTTGATCTTCCGCCAAGGCGTCCATGGACAAAATGTGAGCAGCGGCTGGCACACTGGCAATACAAGCCAAGTCACGTGCACCCCTTACAACCAGCCTCATAATGTCACGTGCTCATCTCATACAACAGTGTCAGCTGCGTGCGTTACGAGCTCGATCTCATTCAACCATAGTAGGACAACAGACAGGAGGTATGACAAAAAACAACTACTAGGTAGCTCAGAAAGGCTCAGCATAAGTCTCTGCCTGGAAGGCAGGTTCTTGGGAGTAAGTAGCCTGCTCGTCCGCTGCTGGCGCGGGAGCCACAACGGCTGCAGGTTCTCTAGACTCGGATGATGGCTCGGAAACGATCTTGTCGACTGGGGGGTCCGAAATATGAACGGAGTCGGGAAGGGGTCTCTTAAGACCAGTCTGGCCCTCAGGATCCCAACCTTTCATGCTGTAACAACATGAGCTATATCCATGTGCGCATTAGGGCCGAATAGGCTCACATTTTCACTTTAATACCAAGAACACCCTGTCTGAGCAGGACGTGTCTGACAGCATAGTCAACGTAATCTCTCGCTGGTTGACCGGAATGGATCATGAATCCATCGGTGAACTTCATGGATTTGGCACGAGCAGCACGCAGTTTGCCAGAGACAACGACTTCACAACCCTTGGCACCAGACTCCATGACGTAACGCAAGACACCATAGCATGCCCTACGACATGACTCAGACCCCAAACCACTCAAATCTCGGTATGATACGTACCGGCGAACAGCCAGACCACCAAGCAATTTGTATCTCAAACTCTCACATTGCGCAATCGCAGAGAGACCGCGGTATTGCACCTTCTCGGCATACAATTCGAGAGTGTTTTCGGGGAATTTGAAGCGCTTTTGGACGAGAGAAGTCAGCTCACGGATGCGGCGACCCTTTTCACCAAGAACTTCCTGAGTGTGGGTAGCACGGATGATAATCTAGACGAGCATGGTTTAGCGCGAGGCGCATGATGGTGTGGGTCGATCAGCACCTCAGTCCGGGCGTGAGTTACGCGGACATCACAGCCAGAGTAGCCTTCCTCGGCGAGTTCGCGAGTGAAGAATTCATTGAGTTCGGCGCGGAAAACACCATCGGCGACAAACTTGCGCTTTTTACTGATTGGGGCGGACATCTTGAAGCTAATCGGAAGGGCTGCAAAGAAAGATATCAGCACTGGCTCGGGACATCATCTTCTAAGCAGGGGGGTAATCCAGCCCATATGGAGGCCACTCGTAACATGTAGCGAGTTCCGTATCGGCTCGAGGGACAGACTATAAACACAATCGAGACACGAACCTTGTGGGTTTTGGCTTTTGTTGTCGTCGCCGGAGGCGTTGGTGAAACTACTTCTGTGCCTTTGGAATGGTGAAGAGCCTGGCCACATCGTGGGAATTGTGTTCGGCGTTGGCCGAGGCAACCCGGCATCACGGCACGCGATCGACCTCTTCTTCCGTTCTCCATGCTACGCTCAGTCGCGTCGGGATACCATGTACTAGTGAGATTGCAACGTACGTATGCGACACCTGCGATACCGAGTGCACTCCGCCAGCTAGAGAAAGATGGTGCTCGTGTCCTACGTGCCGTCCAGACACGCATTGACACGAGAAACGCGCTTTTGGCGAAGGCAGGTGCACCTCTCCGAGAAGACGCGCTTGCTAATGCACGGTCCTCAAGATGTCAGATAATGTGACTTCCCAAGAGGAAATTGCACAGGCACGGCAAATAAAGGAGCTGGAGCCGCTGTACGACGCGTGGATATCGTGGACGAAGGCTAGAGAGGTCGGTTGTGTTTTCGAGGCCTTAATGTTTACCCTTATCTACTGCGACAGTAGTCTCTGTTGGAGACATTCCCCCTTCTGAGTGATCCTGACGAGACGATGCGGGCCTTGGCATCTGACGAGTATACATCCCTCTACGACAGCTTGTCAAGACACCTATCTGCCACCTTCCCTTCTCTTTTAGTTCCTCCGTCTCCTACACGCTCTTTGTTTGCACTGTTGGAACTTAAAGCCGGCGTGGGTGGGTCAGAAGCAGCCCTCTTTCTGACAGATCTCCTTCGTGTCTACGTCCGATACGCGACTTCTCGAGGTTGGCAGTCATCAATAGTTCAGAGTAGTGAAGTGACAGGCGGAGGTCTCAGGGACGCAATAGTGGAAATCAAAGGTGAAGGAGCATATGACAGCCCTTCGATGGGAGAGTGGGGTGCACCGTGTGCAGAGGGTGCCAGCGACGGAAGCCAGTGGTCGGGTCCATACCAGCACGGTTACAACCATCGTACGCTTCTGCTTTGGAACATGGACTCCTGAAGGATGACGGTTTAACAGGTTCTTCCCCTCAGCGACGAAGTGGAACCATCTGGCGACGACAATTTATTCAAAATAGAGGATGTTAAGATTGAGGTCATGCGAGCTCGTGGCGCAGGCGGACAGGTCGTCAACCCGATGGTTTCTTATGACACGTCCCTGACGAGCCCCTCTTAGCACGTTAACAAAACCGAGTCGGCGGTTCGTTTGACACACATTCCGACTGGGATTACTGTGTCGATGCAAGATGAACGCAGTCAGCACCAGGTAACCTACATCTTCACCTGAGGATTTACTGGACATAGTTGAAATGCTCTGCGATAGAATAAAAGGCGTGCATTTCAGGTCCTCAGGGCCCGACTGATGGACATCAAAATTTACTCAAGACATTGCAGAACGTCGCGAAACACGACGTAGCCTTGTTCGCTCCGCTGATCGAAGCGAGAAGATCCGGACGTACAATTACGCCCAGGTAAGGTTCTTTCCTTCACTTCTTATAGTTCGTTCTGAGAGAATTACTGGAATAGGATCGCGTCACAGACCATCGGATAGGGTTATCACTAATGAACCTTCAGTCGGTTATGGAAGGCGGTGGGATACAAGAGTTTTTAGAAGCCCTCCGTAAAAACTGGGAGCAGGAAATAATGGAAGAAGCCATTACTGATGCCAAGTAGCAATCTAACCACATTCCAGCACAGAGTGAACCCTTTCATCTCAACCATTCCTAAACTATCAAGTACATCGCTCCTTATCGCTCCACACCAGTAGGCTATTAAATAATTTCCAACATGGACATATGACAAATGAATAGATGTCCAACGTCATCGTAGGAAATAATGTTAAGTCTTCCAAAGCCCGTGTACCTCCGTCCATTGAGATCTACATGATGACGCATCCAGTAGCCCCCGGGAACCCGAGTTCTTCAAGCTCCTCTTTTGCAGCTTCAAGTTCATTGGCCCGCAATTTGGCGCGAGACTCAGTTGGGAACCAGTCAGACATAAAATTGAGAAGAGCGTAGTCGACGTTATCTAATATTAATTACTGTGTCAGATCACCGCGAGCGCGAGGGTTTTTGCACTTACTTCTGTCGGCCTTAAGGACTGTCGGTGCTCGACATAACGGGCAATTAGGCTTCCCCTGCTTTTGTAACTTGACAAGGCACCTAACGCAGAATAGTGTTAGGCATGACGACACAGTTCAAGATAACGCATACCTGACACAGAATAAATGGCCGCAATCAAGTCTAACAGGCTTGAACGCAATGCTAGTACAAATGAGGCAGGAATAATCGTCAATATAAGGCACAACCGGAAGAAGTTTCTCTCCAATAGCCTGGACCAGTAACCGTTGCAACGGCATGAGGGGCTGTGTAGATAGCACTACTTCCGAGGGAGGGGTATCGCCGGGTTCACAGAGAAGATACGCAGGAATAGGCAGTGCAGTACGTTTGGTATGTTTCTTTAAGGATCTTACGTGTAGCTTCCTCGGTTGCAAGTCGAAACTGTAAAATAGTCGATCCAAATGTCTGCTAGCTTTGAACGCACGTACCTTCTTAACATCTAAAATGAATGCGTTTATCTTGAAAAACATATCCAAGGCTTCTTCGCTGGTAGGGATTCTCAAGGACCTCGCCTTCTCCGTTACTCTCCCGTGAAATAATACCAGTCTTCTTTCGGCTTCATCGATACTTCTCTCACCTCTCTCTGCTTCACCTATTCCTTCGAATATTTCAGCCTGGACATATTGCTGAAACACCTCCCGCCAAAAATAGAGATCCGATTTTCCACATGACCCAGGGCGCACGGATGTCACATTATTGGCCGACAGAAGATAAGCTGAGAAAGAATGGGGGGCTGAGGAAGACACGGGCCGAGCGGTGGAAGATATGGAAGTTGCAAGAACAATGAGTTTCTGCGTGAACTCATTGTAAATTGTGGCGAAATGGTCTGAGAGTGAGGATAGTTCTGAGGCCAAAAGGCAAAGAAAGGCGGTATCAGAGCGAAGGGGTAAGACGATATCTTGGATATTGACACTAAGTAAGGTCAGTCAGCAGACGAAAGAGTACACTTTTGAAACAACGGCTTACGTGTATTCTGCATTTTCCGATGATAAGGATCCTTGTGTGTTGGGAAGCGGTTCCTTGGGTTTGGGGTCCGCCGAAATGGGCCGTGTCCAGAATATGTTTGACCTGGGCAGCAAGTGGGGAGATGGTATCGTTCGATAGCTGAGTCCCATGACCGAGTGTGATACGCAGCCTAGGCTGCAACGACGAAATCTCATATGTCACGGTCGGCCTATCTTTTGGGGCTGCGGTATCCTCACATGTTGAGGCAGGAATACCATGTCCCCCTTGCTCTAATAATTGTTGTAGTACTGCCGGGGTAAATCCAAGCGAGTGGAGTTCGACGACGGTCTCGTTGATGAGCTTCTTAAGCTATTAGAGTGATCGGAAGACCAGGTAAATTTGGTGTCCAATCGGATAATTTATTACCCACCCGTCGATACTCTATCGCATTGTCACGTAGCTCAGGCGATAATGTGAGGAGAAGTTGGGAGTAAGTCTTCGAAAAATGCATGGGTGTAAGTCAGTGACACGAACATGTCAAGCTGGCAGTGGATGAGCTGGCAAGTGATCTGAAGGACGGCAACGCTCAGGCTGTAACGTTACCGAGCGCTTCTTGATTGATAGGCTCGGACTTAGTGGCTGTGCTGGAAACGGATCATGTTGCCATTCTATGCTTCTCTACACATAGGGCTGCATATGTATGTAGGACAATTGTAGTCGACAAAATGAAGTAGTCGATGCAAATATATTAAACAATAGATGTGAAAGAAGAGATGCCAAGCTGCGGGTAAATTAACAATGATCGTGTTCACAAAGTGTCATCAAGATATGTTGACGGTGGGTAAAAACGCAATAGAATGCCACTCAACCACACCTCATGCACTTACTGCTTCTCTGCTGAATACGGGGGCAGTGACGATGTGGAAGACGAAGGTGTGAGAGGCTGCCGAAGTAAAGGACGGCTCTTCTCTACTGTCCTTTGTTCCCACACAATGTCACTGGGACTCAGTCCAGGCGTAACGGGTCGGGATGAATTAGGCGTGTTGGCTTGAGAGCGGTTGTGGACCAAGTGTGCACGAACGAGATGACCGGCAGCCAAGGCACTGAGGAGCGAAAGTTCACCCGCCATAACCGCTGCGGCAATGATACGAGCAAGGCGCTGGGCATTTCGGCCAGGCACGGTTGGATGTGAACCCTTCAATCCGAGCATCTCCAAAACGGCCCCCTGAGGAGCTAGAACGGTACCCCCACCAATGGTGCCTACCTCGATGGCAGGCATGGTCACTGTCATAAGAAGATCCTCTCCATCATTGATTCTGAGAACGTAACGTGAGAACAAAAGAATCGCAGTGCAAAACATAACACATACGGTTCCATAAGTGTCATGCAATTAGAACTCTCGACGTTTTGTGCGGGGTCCTGCCCAGTGGCCAGGAAAATGGCGGTAAGGATGTTTGCAGCGTGCGCATTGAAACCACCAATCGAACCAGCCATGGCGCTACCGACCAGATTCTTCTTGATGTTCAAGTTGCATAACGCGTCGACCTCAGTTTTAAGGACGCTCCTCACAACCTTTCCAGGAATAACCGCCTCGGCAACAACGCTCTTACCACGTCCCTCGATCCAGTTGATTGCAGCGGGTTTCTTGTCCGTACAATAATTGCCAGACAGGGCGAGGGTGACCATCTCCGGGAAGTGTTTTTGCATCGCCTCAAGAGCCTTTTCCGTCCCTTTAGAGATCATATTCATGCCCATCGCATCACCTGTGGTCGTTGCAAAGCGCACTAAACAGTGTACGACCAGCAAGTGCTGTCTTTAACCGCTGCAACTTGGCGAAGCGGGAGGTGGACTCGAAAGCCTCGCGAATGATATTGTAGCCACTGTCTGAATCCACCCACGCCTTCGCCTCGGCTGCCATCAGGAGACTGGGGAAGTCGATTGCGGGACCACGTGTCATGGCATCGTGAGTAAGAACAGTTGTCACACCACCTCCTGCATTGAGAGCTTTGCATCCGCGTGAAGTCGATGCGAACAAGAGTGCCTTCTGCAGTGGCCATGGGGATCTGCACTTGTTCGCCATCGATCTTGAGGGGCCCTGCCACACCGAGAGGAATGGGTATGTATCCGATGACGTTCTCGCAACATGCACCTTGCACGCGTGAGTAGTCGTAATTGGCATAAGGCACATCTGAGTATTCCAACGTCTTCGTCTTGCTTGCTCGCGCTGCTCGCTAGATCAGACATAGCAACGAGACTGGCAGTAGATTAACTCACAAATCAGTGCTCTTCTAATAACGACAGCGCGCTCAAGATCTCCGAGAACTTTCTCCAACGCGTAAGGTGCGATCTTGCCATTCTGTGCGAGTAAAATGACCTCCTCGTCGTTCAGTGTTGCCAAGCGCAGCCTGTACTGGTTTCGGCCCATTGTCAAAGACCTCGATACATTCTTCCAAGGAGCGTACAGGGAGTTTCTCTTTCAGTTCCGTGTCCTTGATTGCAGCTGGCTGCTGCCCTGAGTTTCATGTCTAGCAAGAACTGCTGGAACTCCATTTTCCTTGTTCACATGAACGGCGACTGGTGCAACGATAGGTGCCAAGACGGGAGGGGGAGGCAGGACATTAGGAGTCTCGTCCGAGTCTGCGCTATCAGGTACAGATTTGGGTTCAGCGCCAATGGTAAATGATGGTCGCCTGCGGGCAGCAGTTGTTTCAGCTTCGGGAACATCTTTATCATCCGACTCTTTCGCCACCCTAGTGCTAGTGACTGATCGGAACCTGACACTAGGTGGCTGAATGCTCCGGATGGCACCTTCGGCAATACCTTTGAGGAGATAGCCGTTGAGTACAAGGCTGCAGGCGAGAAGGAAGATGATCCATTTGGACAAGAAAGGATCGCCAATGAGTACACTCCAGGCAGTCATGATACCTCCAATAACTTCACTCGGCTTGAGGAAGCCACGGATAGACTTTGGGCCAGGGGGGATGACCAGGATGTGGACGGGTGGTGCGATTTCGACAAGGACGTCTCCAGACGGTGTGCTTGACTTCAGCGGGATGAAGGATGGCCAAATTCCTCAGGACGTTAGCGAGAGCTGGGGAAGTGATGTCTACCTTTGGGAAAGCGTAATCCGTAAAGTGGTGGATGGATGTTCGTGAGTTGCGGTGTGCAATAGTCACTGGCGTTAACGTAGTGGTGAAATTGAGAACATGCAACGTCAGGAACGACGCAATCTTATTGTTGTCATCAGTGGCCTGAATAATGCCTTTCAAACGGCATAGCACGCACCAAAAGTAGCTTCAAGCGGGCGGCTGGATGTTCGTCCTTCGTCTCAATAGCTGCGCGATGTTCGCGCCTCAACATGGAACCCTTGACGCCGAGGAGGGTTTCTGATATCCTGTGCCAAAGACCGGAGTCCTGTGTCGGGAGCGCCGGGCGGAATCAGGGAGCTCGTTTTGCCTTCGACTTTGATATTGGTAGAGCTTCGGGATCTTCGTCATCACTCGCGCCGTTTGGATTCTCCGGACCTTGGAGACAATAACTTGTAAATGCTACGCAAATGGAAACAGCACGTGACGGCTTACCTCAACCATGATAGTCAAAATGGCCGAATAGAATGTGCCAAAGAGGATGCAGTCCAACACGAGCAGCAGTCCAGCCAACGCACAGAACTCCTGCAAACCACCGACTTTGCTTCTGGCACCCATCGCGAGAATAGCGATTTCAAGCCCATAGTCGCGGAGAATGACATTGCCGCTTTTTTCCATGGCTTCCATCACGATATGACCTGCCGGTTTCATCTGACCTCTCCAGCGCCCTTCTTTGACGGGAGCGGCGAGGTGAGGATGGTTGAAGACCGCACGAGCAAGCCGTAAGGGTTTATCAAAGCCGACCGTGCAGACGAGGAACGGTAGTGCTTCTGTCAAACTAATAGGATCCAAGGGGATACTAAGGTAGTGTGACAGGGGCAAAGCCAACAGGAGAGCAAGGACGGAAGAGGACACGATCGCGGTGCTCAGCCAGAAGTTAGACCCCAAAGCACGGGAAGAAAGAAAGACCCGAATAAACGACGCATGCATGAGGATGTATCCTGCAAGAATAATGAGGATGTCGAGCGAATCTGCTTTCTGCGTTAAGTTAGTAGCGGTATCGCTAGAGTCAACCAGTGCGGACTGACCTTGGCCAGCTCCCAGAAGCGAACAACGAGAGATTTTGCAGCATATGCAATCCATTTGCTGCTTCTCATTTCGGCGATGGACTCGGTCGGTTGGCTCTCGATACGATACCTGACTCCATACGCATCCTCTTCAAAGGCAGCGCGCTCATTGAGGGCATCAACGAAGCCTTGGCGCGTGCCGGAGCTAAATGAGAGTGTCAAGACCTGTGACTTGGAGGTATGTGAAGACGATGTAGCAAAGCAGGGGTCCTGAGCGTCAGATAGATACGGGGAAACTGAAGCGCGGTAGCAAAACGACGGGTAATTGTCACCTGACGGAGTTAAGAGGTCGTGAGAGATGTAATGGGTTAGGTTATTGATAGAGGATGCAAAGTGAGCCAAATCGAGTGGTGCGTATGATGCAGTCTAAAAGATGTATTGACGTCAGTCACTGTGACGGAGCCGTTGAAAGGTGAAGAACTTACCGCATCCTCAGGTCGTGCCGAGACCGATTGGGAGGAGAGAATGACCTGCTGGAGCTCCACAGAGCGTGACCTTCGGATCAGCCGCGCGGCGCCTATACCACTCCTCATCGACGCCAACCCACTCGCCGTCACGGAGAAGAGCATGGGTGGGTCGCAGAGTAGAGGGAAAGGTTGGGGCAAAGAAAGCGGAGTGCTTGATGTCCGAGAGAACGTGGAAGTAGGCTAGAGTACCGACGATAGAGAAGAAGGTTATTGTCTCTATCGGCGAGAACACAGCACGCCGGGTGAGAGGAAGGAGGGACGCGCGCATCTCCGAGTGAGTTAAGGTCCTGGAGAGGAGGTCGGCGGCGACTCAAGGCCGGACACACAGCACCACAGCGAAACAACTGAACTGACCTGACCTGGACGTGTCTGAGGGTGAACTGCGCGACGCTCACAGGCCAGACAACCCCGTTGTTGAGAACCGAGGGAGGGAGGACAGGTCAAAGGCAATGTGGTACGACCGCAATATATCGACTTTTTTTTATTTCGGTTAAAGCCTTCAGGGGGACTAGGCAGAGACCCCGGACACTCCTCTTGTCATGCGAGGCACTGCTCTTTCTTCTCGGCCAGATCCAGCCTTCATAAGTCCCAGGTTGAGCTTCTCAATAGATTGCTTACCAGTGCCTGCCATTGTTAACTTATCTCAGATATCCAGACGAACGGCTTGTCCGAGCCGTTCTATCTATTTTCATTCAAAATCGGCTCCAGCATTTTCTGTCAAGACAAAGCGAAGCTCCAAAGGATGTAATCTTGTTCGGTCCCATTCCGAGGCGAGGAATACCAGTGCTACCGGCTTTGGAACACTCATCACACCCGAACGGACCTGACGATTGATTCATTCCGGAAGATGTTGGCCTATACTTTCACACCTGTAGTGATTCGGACCCTCCCTCATCAACGTTCCTGCCTATTATCTTACTATCAGGGCATGTTTGTCTCATGCAGTGTTCCAGGATGCACACCTCTTACCCGGCCCGTTTTCGACATGTTGCACCGTGCTGACACTTGATGGTGAGGAGCGTAATTCGCATCCCCTTCTACGCTGCGAAAAATATAATATATTTTGAACCAAATGACAGGAGACTTATCCGCCTTCTGCCAGTGGCTCCGAGTTTACCTCCGCCCCAATATCTACTATACCATATTGGTACTTGATGGAAAACGTGTTTATCGGTGTGTACGACTTAATACACGAGTATTTACGCCATCGTTTTTTTTGGATAGCTTGCCAAGGATGATTCCCTCGGCGACAACCACATATGTTTGTCGCCTCCGCCCAGCAAGGCTGGTGACATTTGATAGGGGCGTCTTCGACTGTGGGAGACGCTGTATACTGCCTACAAAGCGTGTTTTTTTTGGCTACCCTGTCAGGGACCGCATGCAACCACGGAGCGAACACACGATAATGAGTGAACGAAGTACATGGTGCACGAAGTAGATTCGCGAGCTGTTGTGATCAGGTCTCCATTGATAAGCTGTCTCTGATCATCATCATCTGTGGGCGCAGGTACACACACCTTACTCCCACCTTATTCCCCCCCTGAGTATATCAGACACATGCGGCCTGGGCCCCAATCCAGTGAAGTCTGTGAAGACCGTACGCACATGAAGATACTTTTCATTTTCCTTAGATTAGTCTAATTGGGGGCATTGTTGATATCCGTCTTGACTATCTGGCCAACCATTGGCCATCCTCTCCCATCCTCCTGGTGAGACGGACGCCTCGGTAACGTAAGTATATGCCCCTCTGCCGAGGACCAGTTGGAACGAGCTACTTGTTTCGGACGCCACACATCCGGTGCAGTGCAGAGAGCTTCCCGCCCCTCAGGGGTTACGAGACTGCCAATAGCATAGCTCGCACTTTACGCCCATAGACGGGGGCGTTTCAGCTAACCGAAACTCGCAACTTGGGTCCCCTTGTGACACAAGGTTCGTGGTTTCTCCAAGACAGCTGACCCTATCACACACTACAATCAGTCGCGTGGAGCCCTGTGACTTCAGAGGCTGCGCTTAGACATCACGAGTAAGGCTGGGCAAGACTCAAGCGAAATGGAATCCGCGTGTAGGGGACTGGCGTCACTGCAGGTGCTGTGGGCGTGGCTGGTGAAACGTTTTTGTCGGTTTGCACCCGTAGCGCCATATTCCCATCTATCCATAAGTAACATACCGGCCATGTTAACAATTGCTACTATCTGACCAATTGATAGCCTAGGAACTGATCGAATCAAGCGGCAATGTGTAACAACATCACGACCACCGAAACCTGCGCCGCCCAGCGTTTCACCCATTGTTGGGTTCGTGTCTAATTATAATGCTCTTAGATACATACAGTCCTGGGGTACTCCATCATCCCCACACCTAAACGGCATGCTCGGCGTCCAGGTGCTCAGTATTATAAGCAGGTGCTAATCGTCGCTAGCGAAATAGTCAGAAAGCAAGCCAGGTGATCGCATGCAATATCTTACTCCGAGGACTCTCTACGCAGAAACAAATCTACTGCTCCCGAAAAGGCGGCGAATGCCAGCCCACCACCAAATACGGCTTTGGGCCCGGAATGTCGGGCAAGGATACCTCCTGCAACGAAGCCAGCAGCAACAGGATTGATCATGTCATTTTTAGCTCGGTACTGAGTTCGTGTCAGCACAGGTTGGAGCATTAGACCTAAAACTCTTACCCCTTCGATGACACATTCTATACCAGCAAATAATGCGCCCACTTTTCCAAAACCTTTACCCGTTCTCCACATTCCCTTGCCCATTTCTTTAAATATCTCGCGCGCTTTCTGGGTATTGGACATTCCTGCCTGGGTTTGTTGCCGTAGGTATGGATCCTCGTATGCAAATGAAGCAGACATTAGGGAAAAGAAGGCACCGATACCTAGGCCTATGGGGAGAAGTCTGATCCTGAACCTAGGAAATTTGTTTGTTGAGCCTTTGGCGACGCGACTTACCACCCACTCCGGCCATGACAGTCTTAGCTGCACAGGACTCCATTCCCATAACCATCCATTGCTGGTATTTTTTGGCTTGCAGTGAACTGCTCCCGGTCCTCTTCCTTGAGTCCTGGTGGAAGAGGTTCCTTCCCAGCTGGGTAGAGTGGCGCTACTAGTAGATGCATGGGGTGCATAGTTAGCGCACGACTCGTTGACCGACGCGAATATGCGCGGCCAGTCCCAGTGCAATGATGAGTAGTAGTGACAAAAAGTAGTCTGCAAAGCCAGCGTCACAGGCTCCTGCCAAACACGGTCACATCCATTTCGGGACGACCGCATGTTGACGTGTGGAGATGCAAGTTGTCCGCAACACAAATGCTGCCACTAGCAATGAGCAGCCTAGCATCGCTCCTGAGCGATACTGACCCGGGTGACCCAGACCTTCCGCCAGGATCACCTCCAACGTGTGAGTCCTCACTCTGCAGACACCCCATGCCACTGTGTTCAACCCTGCTACAGATAAATTCGAGGGCCCCTGGTTCGCGACACAGTTATTGCTTGCATCATCGATTGGACTAGTGTCATTCCTGGTGTTCTCGTATTTTCGTTCACGATGGCCATTGGTATTCGCTTCACGCACCAAGCTGAAGGGTCAGTGGCCTTGAAGTAAATGTTTAACCACGTTGTCACGTTCATTGCGATCATAGGATTCTCTCCTCACGAAGCTCATGCCCACTCCGCGTTCTTTGGTTGGATTTTACCAACCATTAGAACATCCGAGTTTACGATTCTCCAGATTGTTGGATTAGACGCAGCGGTGGTAAGTTACAAACATACAACTTTGCTGCGGTTGTTGCTTCACCCTGCACCACAGTTACTCAGTTTCTATAAAACTTCATTTTACCTGTTCTCTGTATGTTCCATCTTTGCGACGGTTATTTTGATGCCCATTAATTGGAAGGTATGATTTGGCAGTCACTAAGAGTAACCTGAAGTTCATGCTTTCCAGAACAACGCAGGAATTGGCGGTGGTGCAGATGATGACGATAACGATTGGCCGCAGTGGTCCACTGCGACATACGACGACCCGTCATCCCCTAACCGCGACTGGCTCGATCTTATCAGCGACGCAAACTCATACCTCACGGTGCATTTCCTGTTCACATACCTTTTCACAATCCTTGCTCTCTATTTCCTCTACAAAAATTACCGACGGTACATACGTGCTCGACAGCTCTTCTCGTTAGAGCTGGTCCATTCGATGCCGGGGCGTACGGTCATGGTCACCTTGTTACCGCTTCATCTACGTTCAGAGCGTGCTCTCGCGGAGTACTTCGAGAACATGGGGTTAAGTGTTGAAAGCGTTTCCGTCTGCAGAGAAGTAACGACATTAAAAGCTTTGTTGGACGAGCGAACGAAGGCGTTGTTAGAACTGGAGAGCGGCTGGACAAACTACGTCGGTAACCCTAGTGCGGTGGAATCCTATGATCCTTCGGAGAACGTGATTTCGCAAGTCGATCCATCGATCCTGGAGGGTCAACCCGCCAGATTGGTTGTCCCTCACCGCAAACGTCCCACTGTTCGACCAGGCTGGTTTTCCGCCAAGGTGGATGCGCTGGAGTATCTGGAAGCCAAGTTCAAGGAGGCGGATGAGAAAGTGAGAAAATGGAGACGAGTTGGAAAGTTCAAGGCCACACACGTCGCGTTCGTGACCTTTGAAAAAATGTCCAGCGCGGTAAGGTGCAATGACATATCCTAGCATCGATACACTAAGCAAGTCCTTGTAGCAAATAGCAGCTCAGACGGCACACTCTTCGGACCCGTGGCAAATCAAGACTCGTCAAGCGCCAGAACCACGGGATATCGTATGGGATAATATCGGCACCACCCCAGGTTCACTATTTGCACGGGAATTGTTGGTTCTTGGCGCAGTCGGACTACTGCTCTTCTTCTGGGTTCTCCCGATCACCGCTTTGGCTAGTTTATTGAGCTATAAGGAGATCAAGAAAGTTATGCCCTGGCTTGGGCAGCTTATCGACACGAACGACAAAATTCGAGCGATCGTCCAGAACTCTCTGCCATCAGTTGCTATAATCACTCTCAATGCCCTGTTACCGTTCATCTTGGAGGGTATGATTACTCTGCATAAGACGTCGTGCTCTTCTGAATAACCTGCCTCCTTAGGTTTGACTTATTTCCAAGGCTACAAGGCCCGTAGTATGATTGAGTACTCGCTATTGCGCAAGTGAGTCCTTTTGTCTTCCGCTCCAGAATGGACCTCGTTCACATCCCCTTCAGATATTTCCTGTTCCTTCTTGTGAACGTTGTCTTCATCTTCCTATTGGCTAGCACGTACTGGCAACTGGTTCGGGACCTAGCAAACTCACCTGCGAAAATTCCCGAGAAGCTGGCGGAAGCTCTCCAGAAGGGCCGAGCAAAGTAAGTGGATTCATCAGCTACTGATTTCTGTCATGTTACGCGAATGATATAGACACTTCTTCCTGTCCTACGTGATTCTTCAAGGTAAACCATGTGATAGTAGTATGAGATCGTTGCCTGACATTGGTCAGGTTTTGGTATCATACCTTTGCAACTGCTCAACCTCGGAGTAATAATACCCCGCGTAGTTTTACGGATTTTCGTGACCAGAACCCCCCGAGGTATGTACTCTTCGATCATACTCCTTTTTTGACTGATCGATGGCAGATTTTGCCGAGTTGAACGCGCCTCCTATGATCAACTATGGTGTCGTATATCCGCAAGCCATTCTTATTTTCGTTATCACGATCCTATATAGCGTAGTCCAGCCTCTTATCGTGGTGTTCGGCGCCATCTACTTCGGGGTGGGATACCTGGTCTACAAGTACAAGCTCTTGTTTGGTACGTCGACATTCACCTGACTATGAGTGGCAAATAAGTTGTCTTTGCAGTCTTTTTCAAGCCATACGAATCACAGGGTCAAGCATGGCCGATTACCTTTGTTCGACTCATATGGGGCATCGTCATCTTCCAGGTCTTTATGATTGGCATCCTCACCTTGCGGCAATGCTACATTATGTCTTCCCTTCTGGTTCCGTTGTTGGTCGGTACGGTGGCATGGTCCTGGTACATCCATAGCGCGATGCGTCCGCTAAGCCACGCAGTCTCTTTGAATTCTGTGTGTGAAGTGGAGAGAGGCGAGGAAACTGTTGTAACCAGGCTTAGGGAAGAACATCCAGTGTCACGGTCTCAGAGGTAGTGATTTTCTTTCTCTCGATGCCACGCACGCATTTATCTCTTCCAGTAATTTGAGTCGAAGAAGGTATGCCCAGAATGACGACACCCTTTACGTCGCTCCCGAAGACGAAAGAACGGACTATGTAAGCAGGCTGTCTGCCTCTTCTGAACTGAGATGTTAATATGAACTTGCAGTCCCAACCACCAATGGCAAATTGGTATTATGGTGTACTCAAGTATGTTCTCGAAATCTCGTTGGTATAGAGCTTGCTGACGACCCGCTAGTACTGGAAAACGTCGTTACGGGCACCCTGCGCTGACTGGCGTCCTTCCTGAGCCCTGGCTTCCTTTGAAGAAAGGGCAAATGCTTGTGAATGGCCTTCGAAATGGAGGTTCCAGGGCTGCTGCCGACTCGACACAGGGCATCGTGCTTAGTCTTCGCAACCGTTATAGCATGCTGAGAAACAAGATTCGGTCGTCCCGTCGGTCGCGTGATGCTCCCGATGGTGAGAATGCCGAGATGGCTTCACCCGATGAGGAACGTGGCCACACTTCTGATAACAGTACCACAAACCCATGGGCTGGTGCACGCGGTTCGCGCACACAATCAACTCTCAGTCACCGTCTGAGCTTTGATCCAGGTTCCGGGGTTATTATGTTACCAGAAGATGACGGTTGGCTGGAGGAGGATGATTCTTCCGGCGAGGACTATAGCAATACTAGCCCGCCATCGGGGGATGGTCAAGGTAACGTATCACAGGAGGACCTTGGCATGTCCGATGACCACCCACCTTCTACTCCGATGACTCCGTCGCCTCGGCGCCGTCACGCAACGTACTACCACCACCCTGATCGTCGCCGGGCGACTTTGCCTGGTGCCTTTCCACAGTCGTGACCAAAGGCAGATATGCGACCTCTAGCTTATGTTCCTGTTATTGTTCTACCATACGCGTTATGTTACTCTGGTTTCCAAGTACCCGAGAATCGGACAAGTCATGATGAGAGTTGTGGATCACCATGTACATAAAAGGCATTGCACCATGTCGGCCGCGTCGCGGGTGCGGTGCCTCTAAACAAACATGTCTCGATCTTCTTCACGTTCTCGGAATAATTTGCCATCAACGTCTGCTCGCATTCGTATCGCTAGCGATATATCAGAACGCGAACATGACAGAGAGGGACCTCTTCCTTCGAGCCTGAGTCTGCTGTCCGCCCGCAGACCGTCATGGGCACCAGCTCCGTACGACAGTCACAACTCTCAAGACAGGATCATAGCGGGTCTTGCTTCATACCGCGATGTACCGACGTTGAATGTGCCCAACCAAGCCGGCGACTCTTCGTCTCCTGAAATCGATGGAGGTAATTTCCGCAGGAATTTACATATTGACATGAAGGACCTCGTTGGGGATGCAGTGGGAAATGTGAGTTGTAATCCTCGCACACACATAGGCAATATGTTGCGTTCGACGACAGTCAGTTCAACGTGTGATGTTGCAGATGAGCATTAGTCCAGTTGGCCGCGATATTGTCCTCGCCGCGTAAGCCGCCCTACTCGATATCATTGTTCCGCAACTTGCGCACACCTTTCTTATATAGCCGTCGAGGACTATTTATCATTGACCTAGAGGCTCCCTTGGAAGTACCACGATTTCTACCTCAAGGTGGCACCTGGGAAGTCGCAGACGTTCAGTGGAATCCACACCGTGTCCGTGCGGAATACATTGTGTCGACATCGTCGGAAAAGCTGTAAATCCAAGTCCTCCAGTTCTTCATTTCCGTGGCTCATTATCTCCTCAAAGTCTTATATGGAATCTCTTGATGCCTGGAAAGATGTCAATAGAGCACATTCTACGTTCACATTACCGTGCTATAACTGACATCAACTGGCATACTTTCGAGCCTGAGATTGTATCTAGTGTCGGAATCGACTCCTGGATATGGACTTGGGACCTACGGGAAACTCGTAAACCTGTCTTAGGTACGCTGTACGCCAAATTTGTTTCCACCCACTCATGTCCCTTGCCACAGGCCTCTGTGCGTTCAACGGTGAGTTGCTGCCGCCGCAGAAAAGATGTCATCTGAGACCGGTTTCTACATAGCGGGTGGCACACAGGTAAAGTGGAACCGCCAGGATGCAAACGTGCTGGCGTCATCACACATGAACGAAGTTCTAATATGGGATCGCCGGGTTCGTATGCCTTTACGTGCCCAGTCGCATCGTCATGTTTTGACCGTCGGGTTAGAAAGGTTCCCTCCCCACTGCGCGGATACGGGCCCACAATGCAAAAATATATGGCATCGACTGGGCCCACGCCCGTGTCAGTGATATTGTTACCTGTTCTCTTGACAAAACGATAAAAGTGTGGAACGTCAAAGAAGCGATATCCACCGAAATGGCTCAGCAGCACCCATTGACCACGATTACAACGCGTTATCCCGTTTGGCGTGCGAGGGACCTACCGTTTGGAAGAGGCGTGTTGAGTTTACCACAACGAGGAGAGACGATTCTGGAAATGTGGGCCCAGCACAATCCACTGACACCTGCTGAAGTGTTTGAGGGTCACGAGGACGTTGTAAAAGAATTCGTTTGGCGGAAAAGCAGCATAGGTGCGCCGGAGCTGAAGTGGTTCCTCTCATATGTACTGAATAACATTCTGGAAGGTGGCGAGTACCAACTCATCTCCTGGTCAAAGGACCGGACGCTTCGCTTTTGGCACGTGGGCCCAGATATTATGGAGGTAAAGGTGTCGTTTTCTCTTGCAGAGAGATATCTGCTGACAAAATCTACAGAAATTTGGCTGGAAACCAGGCTTTGCCGCTGCAGAAGCCCAACCTCAGAATCTCTCTGATCATCGACAGTCATTCCGACATCCCCCACAAAGTTTAGATCACGTCCCTACGCTTTCAGCGCCTATTGGTTCCCGCAGCATATTGGCGGAAGTTCGCGCAGGTCGACCACCACCATCACACAAACCCACGAATCCGGTGCTACAACCTCACCATGGTTCGGCGGCCCGTGGTAAAGGCATCTTGCTTCTTGAGCCTGGGGCTGCTGCATCTTTTCCACGTGGCCATACTGTCCAGTCCACCTACGGCCACAACCACCGCCCGGTTCCAATCCCAACTACGACAATTACGCGGGGAAAAGCGATGGGCGGTAGATCGGCCAGGGTGGATCCCTTTGCTTGGCTAGCGAGCGTGAGAGTTGAGAATCGGAGGGATGGGAGCTCTAGTAGCCGTGTCAGTTCTGGCTCAACTGCATCACCCCAAAGGGAGAATAATGCAACAGCACGCAACGGGAAGCGTAAAAGAAGCCCTAGTAAAGTAAGGGAGAACAAGGACGGTGACGGGGAACAAAGCCTTTGGCCCGAGTAAGCGGTTCTGCGCGTTGCCAATCATGTGTGCCGCTAACCAATTCAAAGGATTACTTCTGTTCTTACCAAGCTAACCCCCTCTAACAAGATTCGTCTGGAAAAGGTTTGTGCAAAGATACGGTACTCGGAATTGATAACTGATATTTCCTCAGCACGAACTAACCAAACGGCGGACGTGCACGATTGGGCTGCACGGCCCTTGGGGGGAATCTTCGTCAGTGTTTGTTCGGGTTTCGTTCCGGTTCCCTAAGGGCTACCCTCATGCGCCTCACCCTGAGGGCACACCAGAGGTCGAACTTGAACGAACGCCGTTGATATCCCTACGGACCCGAGCTTTCATGCTCCGAAAGTTACGTGCTATGCGTGAACGTCACCGACCTTGTTTGGAAGCATGTCTACGCTTTCTCTTATTCGGAGACGAGGACGATCAAGTCAGTGCGTCAACCAGCTCGGAACCTTCTTCAGAGGACGAAGGCCCCGGACAACTTCCCCCCAAGTCAAGGAACTTCACGGCATCCGTCTTAAGGAATAATAATAATTTAGCGGAGCCTCGCACGTCTCAGGGTGTCTTTGGTCCAAACGGTATTTGATGTCATCATTCAATTAAGTTATGACGGTCAGCTAAGCTACATTGCAGGTGAATTAGTGTGTTTCTTTTGGTCACCGCCTCGAGAGGCCCGCAATTCTGAGGTTGCATCCTCAACAACTCATTCCTTATCTCCCCCGTCATCTCGGCCTCTTTTTCAACCGCCTGCCTTGCTTTCTGATGCCATTCGTCGCCTTGCACTCGCTGCCGTCGATCAACAGTCCGAAGGAGCGGACTTCCGACGTTCGAATGAAAGCGACCATACACTGCGAATAATGACGAATCTCCTCACATTTTCTGGGCAGAAGTCTAGGCATAATTCGGATGGCCATCCAGTCAATGATGGGCCCTCACACTATGCAGCACCGGTCATGCCTGCTTGCCGCAGTACCGTGTATATTAGACTTCCCGATGACGTCAGCTTCTTTCGACGCAAGGTAGCCGCCGCGTATGTTTTTGGCGCGGTCACGCTTCCCGGCTTATGTGCCACAAATGCACGTATCGCCCATGAACACGGTCAACTCAGCCATGAACGGGTGTTCAGAACGCTTGAAAGTCTGCTTCTACCGCGTGAGGCATCCGCTTCATTTAACATCTTCACCGTTGCTGGCTTGCATATAATCGAAAAACTGTAAGTAAACGAAGACTCCATCCGTATTTCGACGTGGCTAAGCCATCAGTGTAGGCATAAGCAGTTTTGTGTCAACTATGACATACAGATGTTGGCCATGATAGCCGTCATATTGTTAAAGGCCTATGCACGAGTCTCCGTACCAGGTGCAACACCTCCGTCGTGTTTTGTGTTTACATCCTAACGGAGGTTGTAGTTATCCGACGACCGTCGCCCAAGGAGCTTCCCTCTGCCGCCTCGAAGACGGACGACGACTACTTTAGTTTACCAGCGGTCAAGGACCCACGGGCAGCGGTGCTGTCCCCAGGTTGGCCGCGTCTTTCGTCTATCTCTCCAACAGGTCCCAGCGCGCCGACGGCCGCGTCTTTGTTGTCGACGTCGAACTCATCCCGTGGATCGTGGTCTAGTTTATTCAACACTGGTACGGTGAGGCAGCTAATGTCCGGTGTCCAAGAATCCACCGCGACTTCTCTCGACACTACGTCACCCAGACCGCCGCCGGCTCCGATTCCTATCGGGGATATCGTACCTCGACTGCCTAATCCTGACTCACCACGACGCAAAGCACTTGGGAAAGACCCGTCGCCCTCCTCGACGACGCCTCTGTCGAAATCTTGGTCAGAGTCGCACGTCATACCTCTTTCGCGACCATCGCTCTCGCAATCTTCCAACCAGGCACGTCGACCGGCCTTTTCGCAAGTTGTCGATGTCAAACAGGGAGCGTTGCAGAAGAAGCTGGTCATTGTCGAAAAAGAACCAGAGAGCAAGGAGTCTACAAGGTGGGTCGGTCGGTCCAAAGGATATTTCTGTTTGACAGTACATCATCACTCACAGTGCGAACTTTCACAGAGCCTTCCTGCAACCCGACCAACTTGCACGATTAGCATGTCATATCGTATCGTATGCCGAAGTTTTGCTTAAGTGGCAGCTAGATTCTAAAAGGCTGGAGCTCCTGAATGCGGTGAAAACGTCAGAATTCGTGAAGACCCCCCCTGTGTCGCAGCGAGAGTTTGGTTTTGGTACGTTACTCCCGACAACTCATACTGCAACTGCTATATAGCGTACTTATTGTCTGTGAAGATGTTCAACCGACATGCAAACGATGTGGTCATAAACAGGCAACAAATGTGGAAACGTGTTCATTTTGCGGTGCCCGACCCGGAAAGCCCTCGTGTTCGATATGTCGACTTCCGGTCAAGGGTACGTACTACTGCTTCTTGTTTAGTATCGTTTCCATGAGGTTGTTTCGTTGTAATAGGACTCTCAATATGGTGTGGACAATGCCTGCATATCTCTCACGTCAAGTGCTGGCGTGACACTCAATCTAACGTTTGTGGATCTGGGTGTGGTTGTCCGTGCGGTGGACCCCGCAAACCTTCCTCTAGACAAGATCCGAGCATACACTCGCCTTCACCCCTAGTGGTTTGATACAATTACCCTAGATATATGCACTGCATCTGATACCATACGGTCGAGTGCAAGTCGAGTAGTCCCATCACTGATGACTTTTCAAGTGAAAGGCGCGATTCGCCAGTGGTGTGAGTTCCCACGTAATATCGATAGGTGGGTGTCGGCGGGGAACAACCTCTGGAACACCGGGGTAGCAGACCCACCGACGTAGCTTCACAGCAAAGCCTTGCAACCAAGGAGGTCCCGGGCGACCGACGCGAGCGCAACGACACTTTGCCACGAGACTGTCAGGGGCTTGCCCCCGGGTGCACAGTCGACCTGATCTGAGCAACCCGGACACTCATAGTAAATAATGGTTATGAATTCTGGATGGCCGCGAGAGTAATGCAGGATTAGGTGTGCTAAATGTGATACTGTTGTCCTTAATTGCATGCGCTCGTGCCTTCGTAGCACTTACTCCTTCCCATTTTCTTCCATCATTTCAAATTCTTACTTGAATACATGCTTTGTACCTTTATGTAAACGTATCCTAACCTATCTGTTTTTCGAAGTAAGAGAGTCGCTGACGCCGGCAACGGTGCCTTTCCAGCGATGAACTTTCGACGGTAGTCTAACCGAGTCTTCACATCCTCATCGCCCCAAGTCTTCCTGCCAGCCCACCCACACTCACAGCAGACACGTTCCAGATCACCAGCTTACCATCAACTCCACTTGTGCTCACTTCGCACAACAGAACCTCCAGCTCCCTTCTCATGTGGACGGACACTCGTGATCGTATTTTGGTGAATAGTATGTAGTTCAGTGTCGGTCACGGTCTCCGATGTATGACCGCGCGTGTCTGCGTTCCTAAAGGCATTAAATGCTGCGGTGTTCAGTCGACCGACAGTGCCGACTCTTGCGGCTCCTGTCTTGGTGGCACTGTCGTCGAGCGTCCCCGCCAACGACCAACCACCGGGACCGCCTGAGTAGACGACTGGTTGGCAGTCGTGTCCAGCTGCCACGAGCGTGTCTTCCGCAGTCCAGGTAAGAGTCACGTGAGGTAGGGACTGCAGCCGGATCGTGTAGACCGTAGGACCACCAGGATAAACTATGGTAATAGAACTGTCGTGGCCTGGCAAGGCCACAGTCAGACCGCATCAGTAATGACAATCAAAACGCTTACTCGCGAACGCTAGCGTGTCTCCAGACGGCGAGAAACCAACGGCGTGGACCCATCCTCCAGTAGGGCTGGCATACTCTCCGCAAACAGTATTAAACGGTAATTTCTCGCCCCATACCGTCGGTGCAGGCCTGTGGAAAAATCCGCTCGGTTCCACAACCTCAGGTCAGCTGGGAAAGAATACACACCTCTTGTCCACGTCTTTAATGTAAGCCGAAAAGACACGCGCCTTCATATCGGCACTGCCTGCAGCAAGCAGTACATTATTGGGGTGCCAATCCACTGACAGTACTGTAGACCGGATAGGTTTCTTCAGGTGCCGTGCGACCCACCAGTTATTCTCGGGATCGAACGAACAGATGGCGATCGTTCTGTCAACCAATATCAGCGTTAACTGTCACAGGAACTATTGCGTCCAGCAGACATACCTCGCGCCACTCGCAACTGCAAATTTATCTTCGTTCGGGCTCCACCTCACGAACGTTGCCGCGCGGTTGATGCGCAGCAGCACGAGTGTCGGTTTCCACACCATCCGGCCAGTGTTTGGATCCAGAGACTGGGACCACACATAGGCGTTCCTGTCCTGCGAGGCTGTCACAATACAATTCGTACGTGGTGCCCAGTCGACCGATGTGATGACTTTGTCATGCTAAGTTGAATTTTACCGATGACGGTCGAAAGGATGCATAATTAGTCTCTGATATGTCCTTCCTAGAAAATGTGTACTCACTTCACTTAGTGTCTCTGTTACTTGCCATTCCTTCCCCTGTTTAGTGTAGATATTTATGTTGTTGTCATTCAGACTCAACGCCAACTCTAATCCAACGATCAGGAGCTGAGCGATCGGTGGACTCACAACCTGGGGACGTACGACTGCGGTCTGCGTTGAACGTGTGGCAAGTAATGGGAGCCTGAGCGATTGAATAAACTTCTGGGGCAGACATTGATAAGACGGAAAGAACTGCAGAGGACTAGCAGTCTACTACCGCAGGCTGGAGTAGGGAACAGAGGACAAGTCTACGTCACAGCCACGCTGGCCTTGCACTGGCCCACCACCGCGATGCACTTTCAAGGCTTCTTCACCGACTTCGCTACTGATTCACGTCGAGAGGGTACGATTGTCTTCCAGGGGATACTAACTGATACAGTCTCTTGACCATACCCGATGGCACACGAACAAGTTATGATCACCATGTTCTGGTAGGAACCCCTGCGATCTGTCATGTCTACTAACCAGGTATTCGCAGCGGACCAAGAGTGCCAGAAATGTCGCTAGATTGTATTCAGCGGTAAGTTCTTTCCCAACGACTGGCGATGGCGTCCCCACTCTCGAAGAAATGCCAGGCCACTAGTACGTGGCCCCCGTCTGAAAAGTAGCGAGGTCCAGCCCAACACCCTCCTCGCTCAAGGAAACCGTTCCTAATGACAAAGTCTCTCCCTTTCCAAATTCACCCTCTACTCTGCGGAAAGCTTGTTCTGTGGCCAAGATCGAACATTCAGAGGTTATGGACGAAATAAATCACAAGCCCAAGTTGGGTGGTTCGGTGAATTCTCGCATGGGCACGATTGATAGAAACTTGAAGTGTCACACTTGTGGCAAAGGCATGTTGGAACGCCCAGCCATTTTGGTCATATAGAATTGGCAAGGCCTGTATCTGTGTTTCATCCTGGTGTATTGACCTTCGACATCTCCTACCATCCTTCCATGCGCAGACCTCCCCAAAGGCTGATATCGCTAACTCCACTCGTTTAATACCATACTCGTTCGCGTAGTCCGACCCCAGTTTCACACACAAGATACGGCGCATTCGGGAACGCAAACCTGAAATGGCCGTCGCCTGGCACCACCACAAAACAAAAATGACGAACTGAGGGAAGATGATGTTGAGGCGGATTCTGACGAGCCTAAGAAAAGCCACGGCAGCTGTGTTCACCAACAGCCACTGATCAAGATTCAAGCAGGAACGCTTAGAGCTTTTAATCCGATACAAACAGCCAAAGGATGATGACGAAGCTCGTAGTGAGTGGTGCTCACGATGGTGCAATTTTAACACTACAGGACATCGATTCGCTGCACGCCCGTCAGAGGTGTACACGATATCCAAGAAAATGTCGGACTCTGACATTCACTTCGTCTCTCAGACGAGTATCCAAGGGGCGGAATGGATTATCATTCCCATATTACTAGTAACACTTCCACCTGTTTGTTCGAGCACAGCTGTCGACAGCGACGTCATGAGTGAAGAAGGTCCCGTGTACAAGCTGAGCGACGTCGTAAAGGCCTCTCTACCAGTGTACAACAATGTGAGCAGGAAGGGGCACCTGCTCACATCATACGGAACCTGATCAGTTGATGCAGGCAAGTTTGGCACTGTATTCTTTCCCTCCCCCCTCATGCATTTTGGTTGCAACCCACACGGACAACGATATCACTAGTCTTCCATACATGCTTCCGCATATCATTGGGGACAAATCGTATGTCCAGCACTTGAAACTATAGAAAAAAAGGGAATAAAGCTCTAGCTAGAGGTGAACTGCATAAGTGCTGTACATACATACCTTTCACTCGAACATTTCCATGACTATCATCGCGGAGTGGCAAAAGGTTCCCGAGCAATATCCATATATCCCATTAATCAAAAGCTGACACGCTATCATGAGCTCGAGTACGTATCAGAAATCTCGTGATGGACACCCAACGGGCCACCTGTGCCCGTAAACTGAGGTCCGACCTCACGCCGAAAGCGCCACGAAGTAGACCAGCGCAAAACAGGGTACGTAGAAAATGCCACATGGCAACCATCTATGTTACGCGTGAAAACGCGAATGCACCGGATACCAGAAGGACCGAGAAAAACAGGTCAAAAATGAGAACCGAGACCAGAAAAACCTAGATTAGAGACAGAGCAACGAAGAAACCAGAGATGCCATGGTATGTGTAATGTAGATTGCGAGCGATTGGATGATGTCTATGCGATGCGATGCTGTGAGAGTATTGCTGGGGAAGAATGTAGGGTGTAAGGCGGCCGGTTGTATGGCGCCGGAGGATGGTCGAAAGGCGAACAGGACGTTGAAAATGGAAAAAGGCTAGAGTGATCCCCAGCAGAAAGGGAGGAAGAGGAACCGGCGACACAGTTGGGAACAAAGCCGAAGAATGCGGAGCCGAATGCAGTCGAGAACGAGAACAGGAAATTCTACATGTAACCAGATCAGGCATGAAATTTTGGTTTTTGCTATACGGAGACGAACAGTAAGTATGACGCAAGAGCCCAAGCTGGAGATACACGTACCGACTTGCGCATCATTAGTGGAGGCGAGGAGTTGGGCGAGTTCTGGTGGTATTGAGGCTACAATGGTAGACCATTCAAGCTCAGAGCATCAAATTATGGCGAAGGGTGTACGTACTGGGTTCATGTAAGCAGGTACGGCCGGCGGGGGTGGGGTTTGCGGTTGGGACGCAGCGGTCTTGGAGAGGACCTTTTTGAGCTGAGGAGCATTTCACGCAAATTGGGACGCAGTCAGCGACTGCCAATGTGCGTGAGGTGCGAATTACCTTGGCTTCACTTTCCGCCGCATGCTGTGTGTACATACTCGGATGCAGAGAGACACTAGCCAGGCTTGTCGCTTGAGGCAAAGAGGAGAGTGCACATGACAGGCTAGGGAGCGCGACGAGCTTGTTGGCGCGAGTACCCTGTGCATTCGACGGCGGAACGGTGGTCATGGCGTGGCGGAAAGACAAAGCTTCGGTGGGTCTCAAAGAAAGAAAGCGACTGGACCGGGAAGGTCAAAGACAGACTGAGACACGGAGTCTTCTGCTGGTTGATGAAGAAAGAAAGGACAGGGCAAGAACGCGATCGTACTTATAACGCTTAGCAGGGTTGGTTTCCCGCGCAAGGATCGTCATCGGGCGTGCCACGCACAGATCTGGGATGCGTCCGTAAGCGCAAGATGACTTTTTCCAAGGTTATTTCTTCTCATAAAAACGACGTGTTCTCATAACGATGTGCGGCGCTGGGGACACACAGATCTGTCCATAGATCCATCTCGTTTTCGGGCTCAATGGGCGAGAGGGGCAGGTGGGTGCGCAAGGGAAATAAATTATTACTCTTTCCTGGCCCAGATATCGATACGCCGTCTTCAGTCCTCGAGATAAGCCCTGTAACACCTAAGCCGCTGCCTTTTTAGCTGGCTTCCTGCGGCCTGCAGGCAATTCCATCCTTATTTTATTGTACAGCATCGTAATATTGACAGGCCACGCTTCGCCTAAATTTTGGGGCCTCTTCCCCTGACAGGAATTTCTGGTCCACACACTTATCTCACAAGATGCACCCAACCACATCCAGTTGCGTTCCGATGTCGCCATGGACAGCAATTCCAGCCATTCCTCTTCGAGTATCCACTTTGTCCCACCCCCGTCACCGCGCGGCGTCCTAGGAGAGCCTACCCTGAGCCTGATATCCCTCGTCTTCGTTCGCGAACCTCGCCGCTGAGTTGTGCCGCAACTCCTATCACAATGTTGGCACGCCCACTCACCTCTCACTTTGAATGACACCCAATCTTATCTTCCATGAACACCCCTTCGTAAAACCATACTACAACCACTAACTCATGATCGGCATTCTGGCTTCTCGGGACTCGCCGAGCTGACCAACACATATGAGCGCTTCACGTGCGCAGCCATACACAAACATTCGACGCCACCGGCGTAGAACAAAGTCAAGCCTGAAGGCACCAGCGACCACGCTACTGTAATAGATTGTTAGGACCACTCATTCGGCATGCTGCCGCATCAGTTTGACACTAACCCAAGTCCTAACCCTGGCCAGCGCTCGCACTATGCCGAAGCGGGCCGTGGCGACCGCCACATAAGCTGACTGTTGCCCGATGTGAACGTTGGTATAACCTGGTATTCGCTCCAAAGCTGTCCAGTGCTTCGGACACTAGTTTAAAGGTCCTCGGCGCTTTGCTTACCCCCTTCTACGTCGCCGTCTGCCTCCGAACGCATTTGAGCTCCATCAACATGACTTAGCCCTTGTTTCCCGAAACTATGAAATGAAGTGGCGCTATTCTTCCGATAAACGGATCGCGACCTTCATTCGGAGTCCTTGTAATGTCCGATTATGCCTGTCTGGCGCATCTGTAGTTCAAATTTGCACAGTCACGCCATACGTCGTTATGTCTGCCAGCAGCGCCATGTCCCCGACACCGATTTACTTTGACGAACAGTCACCATCCTGTTTACGTTCAGGTCTTCACGTTCCTACCTGATAACCTGAGCCAACACATCTTTGCATATCATGGAATACCGCGTTGCGAAGACAACAGATATGCGCAGCATGTGTACGACATACAGTGAGATCGGATATAGTATTTTTGGGCCAGCGCCACATGCCCTGCTGGGCTCTAAAACTCTGCCCTGCTTGTCGTTGCTGCAGATACCCGTGGTATGGCCTTTGCATGATGACTGAGCAAGTTGCCATGGTGCAATCTAAACCCAATTTCGACGCCCGAGTAGATTTATTGACTCTGCAATAATGCTTCTAACAATCTTCATGGTTCGCTGTTTGCTCGTGGATCGGGAAAGCCGGATAGACCATGTCATTATCTGGGCCGGTTATGTCGTTGACCCGATTTCCTCTCCTCGGGGAGATACAATCCTCTGAATGCTTCCGATCGAGGGCTTCTGGTAAGCGCCCGAAGCCAATTACATGCAAGATAGCCACCACGTGTAGGGGACACAGTCACCAACGTCAGGTCTGATGTGGGATACGGTGTGAATTGATGGACACACGTACAACATATCACCGCACATCCGCAGTGGAGGGGTATCGGGCGAGTCTAAATTACGTCGATTTCAACCCCACCTTCAGATCTCATGCTAACGTGCAACGCCTTCGCACGAACACTTGGTAACAACGACGAAAAGGGAATTGACGGGTCGACGCGCTTCCTGTTTTCTTTATACGCCATAGACATCTGCCCTGTGAGATTTCTTTTGCATGAATATGGACTAGCCGTGACAATCATTAGTGATACAGGCCTCTGGCGACGGTACCCTTGAAGGTTCGCCTGGCGCGAGGTGACCAAAGGGTTGGCGTGAAGCTCATGACCTGTCTAGACTGCCCTCACGTGGGCCATACTGTTCCTGATTGCACACATGTCATTTGGAGTCTCAGTTACGTGCGTTCTCACCATCAGTAATTCGCAAGTAGTACATGGCTAGCGGCGTGCCATTGGCGCAATGCGAAGTGAACTTTGAAATCCATTCATAGTTGGTGAAAGCAAGTGTTACGGAAGTCGGAAGCAGAGAAGGCCCTTGGATGAAACTGTACGTACTCTTCTCAATCACCGGGTATTATGCTGCATGCAGTACTCTGTACAGGCTCCGTTCATTATATATTATATTTCTCAGCACTGCCCCCTCAATGTGCTGGCGATAAGCCGTGGATATCACTTACAGTTCCAATCATGCGGTCGTACGTTTTCTAATCAGAGGAACGCGGCGCTCAGTTCTAAAATCTGATGGTAGCCACGCGTTGTCCTCGTGCACTTACCTTTACCATACATCGAGTGCACATGTTTCCTTCATACTCGCTAACCCAACCATTGGCGTATTGCGGAGCACTCTCCGTTCCCATTGGCTGGAGGTGTGGTCAGCGGCATACTGAATTCGCCGTGAGCAGCGTTGTTCCAGCGAATTCCCCGCCCGTCTGGTGCTCCAACACATCGGTTTCTCTTTACAACCTACTTCCAGAACGAGGGGAGACATATCAAAGGCTCTCCGATCGGAATTATCGAACCCCGAAACAGCATCCGAGGTACGTACGAGACATATGTGCCATGTTACCTGCACCTATGGGTCCGTGTAGAACGTTTCAGGTATGACGCCAGTGTTACCTTGTGCATTTGTCGGACTCTCGACGGCGCACCTCAATTCGCCAGGTTTATCTTAGCATTGATAGGAACTGATAAATCAAGAAGGGCAATGGCTTTGGAAGGCTATAGCCTTGGATGTATGTTATATGAAGGCACATTCTGTATGGTTACCTCGTTTCCATCAATTGACTGGTATGCGTGTTTGCACACAGGTATATCTCGAGGACTCCACTTTATATCACGGAAAGCTATCCTCGTCTGCATGTTACTTTCGTTGTAAGCCTCAAAATCTTGGTGTAACTACTCAGGCTACAGTATGTCGGAATCGATTATTCTTCTCCCCGCCGTTGAGGAACCTAGATGCTTAGGGACATCACGTAATGTGTTCCTCACGGAGAGCATGCTGGTTTATCATGTGCAACCAAAAGTAGGATACTGTGGTACAAAATCTTGCTTCACTCTTGATCCCAGGGGTCCCGGGTCGTGATTTCGTGTAGGTTGTCCGTCACCATTTTCATGGCTTCATCACCTCCATTCCACCGGTCAACTAGCGATCTATTTGCAGACGTGCCAACCACCCTTGGTCATATATACATGGTACCCGCTTCCCCTGAACGGAATTGACATAGAGCTCGTGATGACTCTTTCCCCTGGAAGGGCTGTGTGTTTCCAAACCGCAGTCGCCCTTGCCGGCGAGGGTGGTTTAGACAATTGCGGTTGCTACTGCGCTGGGCTCGGCGATCATGGTTGTTTGACGGCGTTGTACCCAGTGCCATGGAAAGAGGATGGACTCGAGGGGTAATAATACATGGATGTGGATAGCACGGCGGTCCTCAGAGCAGGGAACCCAAACTTGCGCGCAGTAATCACGGAGAAACATGTAGCACAAAAATTAAAATACCGGATGGTGACTAATGGAGAGGAGGGATTGATGCTAACACAGCTACCGGCATACCATAGTCCGGTCCACGAGCGCAGTTAGCATCAGTAATATATCCTACAAGGTCCATGCTCCACATTCTGAACTGGTTGCACGGGTGCCATCCCACTTTCCTACCAACCCCACTATCCACTGTCTCCACGGAACGCGAGTTATGGGACTGGCACTTACGTGGATAGCGCACACGACGCACCAAGTTCTCATCCTCCCTAGCCACTTGACGTGTATGAGGTTTCGGGGTGGCGGTGAGTATATCACGCTTACGCAGTTTTATGGCTAGACCCCAATGTCGTACAAAGAACGGAATTTGACGTGGACGAACCCTACCCACGAGGTTAAAGTCACGGACATTGGGAGCGATCGCGCTTACAGTGGGCAGGAAGAGCTCTGAAGAGTCTCACTCATGTTAGAAAACACTCGATTTTCAAATAACGGCTCCTTTCTGCACCTAAGCGAGGTGAACATAGACATAGACAAATCGAGAAGAGAAAGTTTGATTACGCGCGGAGTGGAGTAGAAGGCAACCCTCGGATCAGCATACACAAAGTAAGGATATGGGACTTACGGAGTCGTTCGACAGGGATTAGTCCCGTCGACGGTAGCTCACTTGAGAGGGCAGCACTCTTCCCGCCTGCAGATATTGTCGCCGGTTTGGCCGGGAGATCGGGGAAAGAACGACGCGGTGCCTCGGAGATGATGAACAGCATTATCAGAAAAAACGATCAGTCGATAGGGTTCTTGCCCCTGAGCAGAATTTGCCTATCGAGTTAACCGCTTGGCCATACTTCTCTACTGCACGTTACACGAGGCTGGCGAGTGCGAGCATCTTTCTTATTGCGATGGCTTTAGGTGATCTCGCTTCGCCCATGAGTAAACCAGCTTTCGACGGTCGTGGCTGGTGTATGGATCAGACGAGAAGCTCGTACGCCGTGACTAATGCACACCCATTTCCATTAGCAAAAGAATGCTCAATCTCCGCGCTTGATAATCATCGGCAGCACCCCATCTGGCTCACGACTCGCGGAGTTGACTCGGGTCAATACTAAATGATGGTGCGACAGAGTGAAGGGTGCAGTCTAACGCTCTGGGGGATTCAGCATCTGATTTATCCCAGTGGACCTCGCCCGTGGTTGGGGGAGAGGGTTCCGTAGTGAGGTCGCTCGGGAATTCTGGCGCGATCTTTATCTTTGGAGTCGCCGTGGCGTCAAGTCCTGTAAGCTTGCGAACGCAAGGAAGGCTGGCACATGGAGAAATTTTATTCCCTCGATCGGTGCATGTACACAATGTGATGGACTCTGAAAAACGCGAAACGTAAGGGCTGAGATACGATGTTAGGTGATTGCAATGCAGAAAGAGGAGCACCCTTGAACCGTTTCAGCGATATCAGTGTTACTCGAAATTAAATAGATAGGGTTTGCTGCGATAGTAAAGACCCAGTTTTAGCTCGTAGGAGGATGTGACCTGTAAAATGTGTTTCTTTGATCCTAAGGCAAGTCCCGATTGTTATGAATAGTGGAGATAGTGGCAGAGAACACACCTGGGAGTGGACAGTTCGTTGATACTAGTGCTCGTTTCTGATCACATAAAGAAGTCTCACAGAACCTGCACTCGTTGCCTTTTCTACGTATTGTGCTCGGCCTTCTCCATTTTTGCTTGAAGACCCCTCGATATACTGCCAGGGGAAGGATGTCCTTCACAAGAGGATCAGCACGGAGTACGCAGTCCACCACAACGTCCTCCACCTAGCACAGTCTAGGTCGACACCGTCGCACCAAACCTCCGATCATCGTCTGGGAGTCGAGTACGTGGTTCTCGGGTAGAAGACGCAGGGTGGCAGACCCAAGGGACGAAGGCGGTCGTTCCAGTCACGACGCTACTACCTCAGGGGAGAATGTAAGCACATACCTGCTAATTAACGTGATGGCGCTGCGGCGTACCGCTTGGCCAAAGCCGGGGACATAAGCGTGTATCATTACCTACAAAAAAAAAAGCACTTCAAGGTGCATGATCGAACATCAAATTACGCACGTTCAAGAAATGCACATAAGATCATCATCCTTACAATCGCAGGCCTAGCTGCATACTGGGCGAGAATTGCGAAAACCGAGCTGACTGGTCGAGGCTTGAGGAAGGTGGCGTGGTGACGCCAGACTGGCTCCCGGAGACGTGTACTTACGTCACTTGGACAAGGCTGTTCTTCACTCTTTTTGTCTTGTCCCACAGAGAGCACCACAGGCACGTTACTACAGGCATGGATACCTTCTCGCGCAGTTTCTTTCTCTTACCACCACCACCACCACCACCACCACCATCATCATCATTGTCGCTAGGCGGTTTCTACGGTGTCCTCGCCGGCTTTGTAGTTTAAGTACTGCACAACTACATCGAAGGAATCACGGAAGAGTTGAGGATGTCGTCGTACATGCAGAATGTCGGCGTGAAGTTGTTCGCAAAGCATATCGAGGAGTATGCTCCACAGGACCCGATGTATGAGGTCTACACGGATGAGCGGGGTAGACAGAAACGCAGAAGGGTAGGTTTGACACGCTATCTCTGCCCAGTGCTAGCTCTAAGCTCACGCAACACATAGCGCGAAATTCCTCCTGGTCTATCCCAGCGCGATGCTAAAATACTGAAATCTGTCCAACGCCGTGCCCATTACCTTGACAAATCCTTCTCTTTCTGTGGCCTTCGCTTTGGGTGGGCCGTCATCATCGGTCTTATTCCTGCTATTGGCGACTTTGCAGATTTCATCCTCTCATACTTTCTCGTCCTGCGCAAAGCACGGCAGGCAGAGTTACCTTGGTGGCTGGTCAGGAGGATGTTGTTGAATTGTATCATTTCGGCAACTGCAGGCGTCGTTCCTGCTATTGGCGATGTGATTGTCGGCATGTACAAGGCGAATTCAAGGAATGCGATATTGTTGGAAGAGTTTTTGAGGATAAGGGGAGAGGAGTTTCTGAAGGTGCAAGCGGAGGCGGGCAAGGGGACAAGGGGTGGTAAGTTGTCAGAAAAGAATGTAGAGCAGGTGAAGCCCGGAGCTGGCATGGAGACTGCGTCTGGTAATCACCCATCTACGTCGTCTGCGTCAGGACCGAAGAGGGGAAGAAAGGAGGATGTGTAGGTCCAAATATTGTCGAAGAAAGAAGGAAGAGAACCGAGGCCGCGGAAATTTCTACATACACGAAGTTTGTTTTCTTCTCTTGACTGTGTATTGCCGACCATGGACCTGGAGGATCATGTTTGTATGTACCCATATGTACCACATACCACATATCTACAGTTCCACAGTACTCTGTAGACGAGTGTCAGATACATGTAGGATAAATCGATAAGCGTGATGTCAAGTCCAACTGTTCTTGCCACATCCACGGTTGTGGCGGCGGCTGTCTCCCGCGTACCTTCAACGATGCGCAAAACGGTCGAAATACAGCAGACACTTTTGACAGTTTTTGAATTGTTCAAGAGCTCGGCAAATGCTAAGTGCTCTAAGAGCACTAAGCGTTTTGTAGATGCTCAGTCGGTCCAGGTGCCAACCTGGACTGGCACCGTCCAAGGACCCAACAGCTAATCACCAAGGTGTTACATATTATACTCCGGCAGGTTTGGTGAGTAGGAAGTAGTGTCACATCTGAATTGCTTTTTGGCCACTTCACAACGGAGAATGCAACGTGTTGGCATGGCGGCAAGGGGCATTCCCCGTCGTTCCTTGCCCTGAAAAACGCGTTCCTCCGCTGCGCTCGACGGTCTTCGAGTTTTTACTTCCATCTTTTCTTCGTGAACCTTTGCAGCAACCTAACTGACCGTCGGAGTACCGACTTCAACAACAATGTCGACCATGCCTCCTGAAGTGCCACGGGAGTCGGTGAGTAGTCGCCTGTGAATGTCACCAAGTGGTCTCTCAGTTCATAGCCGTGCTCGTGTCCACGCAATAACACCCGACCCCATAATATTGTACTCCTGTCTCTATCCGTCGTCGTCCTGGGACTTTGTCACCGTGCCTTCTTCCACGTCTCATACCGACGTCGATTTATGACCCCAGACAGACACCTTCCGCGGTTATTACCCAACTGATCCCTCCGGGATCCAGTCCCAATCGGCTTCTATCGTCAATACACTCCTTGCAACAACGATATTTCGGTGCTGGCACATCCTATTGTTCTTCGGGGCATGGTCTGCGATGATCTGTTCGGTCAATCAACATGTCCATAATCTAGCTTTCCAGCCGACGTTACTTACTGTGTGAGTGTTCGTCCGCCCCTTTTAAATATTGCTCTTGCTCTGCCTCCTTCCGCTGATGAGAACGACGACGACGACGACGTAGGTTTGGTACGGTACTCGGTTTCATTATTTCGTATCGCACGACGTCGTCCTTTGAGAGATACAATGAAGGCAGGAGGCTTTGGTCCCAGATTGTATTTGCAAGCCGGACGTTTGCTAGGACCGTTTGGTTCCATGTTCCCGGTATGTTCGCCTCCCGTTTTCTTTCCTGCACATTCCGCTCATCGACCGTCGTAGATAACGCAATGCCAGACGTCCCGAACTTCACTGAAGAAGAACAAAAGTCCCGCACACTCATCGAGAAAAAGACTATTGTCAATCTCCTCGAAGCCTATGCCGTTGCAGTCAAGCACTATTTGCGAGGCGAAGACGGGATAAAATACGTCGACCTATGGCCGCTTGTGAAGTTCTTGCCACCGTATTACTTGCCAGCTACGATACCCTCTCATGTGGATCTGCCAGCTGAGCTGGGCACGGTTGTGGAGGATCAAGGTGGGCATGCGCAGGAACATCATCATCCACGACGGAGCCAGGACGCACCCGCCTCCCCAAGATCGACGCATTTTCCGGACCCCCTGCTGACACCCAGGAGGCCAAGAGCTGCCAGCTCCGCATCGCAACATCTTCCACTGCCATCCACGACACCGGGTGCTAGACCATCTACTCCCAGTACGCCATTGATACAGGAGAACGGTCTCCCACTGAACGGTGACGAAGAGAGGAAGAAATCCAAATCCTTTGACGGCATGCGAGAGAAGAAAGTTAGTACTGCGCCCAGTGGAGCATGGACGGCGGATGAATTCTACCTCAAGCCTGCCGAAATGCCGCCCAAGTATTCCGTGTTTGACTTTTTTCCATTCTCCCTGCTAGTCAAGATGCTGACGAAGAAGGGAAAAAACGTTCAGGGGAGGAAGGCTGCGAGAGTTCGGGCTACCATGACCAGAAGTGCAATCAGGAATGGGAACTCGCATCTGCACTACAATGTACCATTGGCGATATCATTGTATCTGGTATGCCTCTCCTTTTAGCCTCGTTTGTTGAGGAGATAGTTTGTTGATTCTGGTGTTTAGAGTTCGTATATCGCAGCGCTGCAGAATCGCAAGGCCGATGTAGATACACCGACCATCGGTACGCCCCCTCCTCCCTCACCTGGGGGCAACTCATTCATGAAATTTGAGTAGCCCTGCTGTACGCTACACTCAACCAGCTTGTGGACGCTCTCACTGCACTCGAGAGGATCCTGACGACGCCTCTCCCTTTTTCGTAATACCCTGGAGTTCAATCTTAGGTCTTCGGTATTGACAACATGATTTACAGGTATTCCACTCACTTGTGGCTTGTAACGGTGATTTACTGCTTGGCATTGGTGAGTGTTTATCTATTCATGGTGCGTGAGGTGCCCTTCTCCCTGCACACATTGCATACCAGTGCTGGTCGACCAGGTACTATGTGCAAGGGAAAAGAAAGAAGCGGGAGGCATCTTCCAGGATTTCTGATTTCCAACTGATTGAACTTTGTTTTTTCTTTATCTCCTGGTATTAACTCCGGGATCTGGGCGATCAAAACATCACATCGGCAAACGGGGCAAATACGTGCACGGGGGACGCGAAACATGTTGCTCCATGGACTCAACGATCAATTGAATTCCAAACATACAGCCATTCCAGCTTTGGAGTACCCTCGAGTGGCTGACCGTTCCTGCGACCGTTCTAGCGGTACGTGGTTTCGTCCCTGTGGCGGGATGTTACGTTTGTAGGCGCTTTTATCTGACATATTCACTTTAGAGTTTTGCGTTCTTCGGGTTTATCCTCGCAGGCGAGGAGATTGAGAGTACGTGTGCTTGTTATCGCTGTGTGCTTAGAGTTGATCACGAATGTCTCTGGCAGATCCATTCGGTAAGTGCGCTATTTGTTTTCGAAGGGTTTAGATATGTAAGATGACTGTATTCTTGTGTAGGTTATGATAAGAATGATTTGGTGAGATTCCCGCTTCTGCTCCCTTAGATTTTTTTTCCCGACCCGGACGGAATGGGAGCATTAGCGTTCTGTTGTTCCCTCGGACTCGGACTGGCGTCAGGTTTACGTCGTGTTCGTTTGCCGTTCACGACATACTACCATTCGCCTTTTCTGCATGACATTCTGCGCAGATGCTGATGAACTGATGAATTGGCAAATCAAAAATTTAGAACATGGACTTTTTCGTACAGAACATCATACGTAAGTGATTCTATATTTTATATTCCGCCCATTTCTCCTTATCTTCTTTGACCGGACCCTTCGGAGCCGGCCCTGCTTGTGTGATTGGAAGCTGTGGGGCATCAGCGGTTTCGCGTCGCATAATGCCCACACGCTGTTCTTTTTTTTTTTTTTTTTTTTTGATTGCATTGCCTCGTTCTTATATTGATGCGTATTCTTACTATCACTTTCTCTGCATGATTTAAACCAACAAACCACACGAAACGAAAATAGGCAAGGAGTTATCCGCTATCACTTCTATACCTACCCCCGACCCTGCCGTCTGGGCGTTCCATCCCGATAATGATGGGCTATTCTCTCGGACACCAGGGAGGGGACGCGGGGAGAACTTCACCGGATGAGTGGGTTAGCAAGGGCGCGGAAAAAATGAAGCAGGCTTTGGCTTTGTAATAGGGGTGCTGTCGAGATGAGTGTTCGGGCGGAAGGAATGGGGCAATACCTTGCATGTTGATCGTTTTCGCTTGCAGTTTGGTTCCTCAATGGACTCTTCAAGGCTTTTATGTGGTCACTACTACACTGGCTGCTTAATGCTTTTTGTGCATGTATTACTCGTGTCAGTAATGCTGCAACTGCTCTGAATCCATGTGAGTTCAGTTTGAGATATGCCAGCCAAGTACCACCGCAGCAGAAGAAAGCTTTAAGTTGAAGCAGGGTTCAAGAGAGGCATTGTTGTGACTTGTTGTGGTCAGTGTTCCAAAGGCTTCTAGGCCTAACAGTGACTAAGCCGATCGATTGACCAGACATACCTCATTTTCTAAATGAACCCGTTCGAGGGTTTCAAGTCGAAGTGCAACTCAGCTGGATCCATTTTTTGAGTGTGGCGCTGTGTCTACATTGATGGCAGGTGCTGTGTAGAGAAGGGAGAAGGGAGAGAGATATGTGCTTTCGAGGTGAGAATTGACGCTGTCGATTAATACGTCGGTGCCAAGTTTGACGACATACCATATGGTACGTCGAACACCAATACCACAGCATCTGTATGCGAGGCTTTCTCGTCCTCCACTGGTACATGTCATGGGTAAGACAATAGAGTACCAGTTGTGAGAGCCTGCAATCGTGCGTGGAAATGACGAGCAACTTGTAATACGACAAAAATTTGTGCGGACGTTGAAATTTTCTGGTAAAGCCATTTTCATTTGAGTAGTGGCAGCAAAGTTTGTCTTCTCTTTTTTCTTCCTTGTTATGTGTTTGAATCCTTGTCTGTAACTGGTCTGAACTACTTGTCCTCGTCCCCTCCAAGCTGCGAGAATAGAGTATAAGGATCCTGTCTTGTTGGTATACAATCATGTCCCAACCCCGTGTCCCGCCTCCAGCCGTGAGTATCGACATAGCAGAGCTTGACTCACATTTCATCTCAAGCCATCGCTCATCCATCGTTCATTGACAGAGCAACAGCCTGAGTCTGTTATCCCTGTCCATGGCAGCAGCCAATATTCCTCCCTTGACCTTCCCGGCACCGGCCTCGGCGGAGCCGACCACGGTCACTACTGCCAAACTCCTGCCGCAGGGTATGTATCACTGTTGCGAGAATTTTGTGAAATCCTGACACGGTGCCATGCTGCTGAACGCATACTCGTATTGAACTTCTACGTCATAGCTTTGACCATCAATGGTCACACTAAGCACCGCCGTCTGTCGTCGGCAGGTCGATCGAGGAGACGTTTAAGTGACGCTCGCGATGCCGCAACCCGTCCTTCGTAAGTCCTCCAACACGACAGCTCCATTGTCCCTCCCCTCCCATTCTTTCGCTGGAGTTGATTTGGTGCCTTTGGTTTATTAAATAGGTCGGCGTCCCTCTTGAGCACGTCGACGTCCTTGGCCGCTTTGTCTCTGTCTTCTCCTACTATGTCCAATAAACCCTCTATAGTCCAACCTGCCACCGGTGCACAACAGTCTTTACCTATCACATCGACGTACACTTCTATAGACGACACATCCCAGGTTGGAAGTGTGGACGACAAGACCCTTGCGACGTCGCAAGCTGGAAATGGCAGGGCTGGGAGGAAACGAGGAACCGTCTTCACTTGCGAGAGCTGTTCCAAAGTGAGTCTTTTTGGGACTGTTGGCGACGTCACGTCTATTGACATGGATGTACTCGTCCACCAGGTTTACAGGCACCCGTCTTGCCTGATCAAACATCGATGGGAACACACTCCTCAATGGCAGGAAGCCTCAAGGTTCGTCTTGAGCAAACACCAACAAGTGCAACTGCTGGAGGTGACGTTTTCCATCGCTCATTCTAATCACATGCTTACAGCGGAACAGGCAGCTGCAATCTTGTCACATTTATCACCTTCATGCGCATCATTACCCGAAGACCGCTCCCTCTGGCCATCTTTCTTATCAGGCGGACTAGTTCCCCCTCCTGCACATCTTAACTCCACCAACAGCACCACGGATTCCCCTCCCAACGATGCCCACGCAAATCTTTCTAACATATCTACGTCTCATCCGATATCCAGTTCTGTTCCTGTAACTTCCATGAGGATTGGTGGCGGCCACAAGCGTTCCGGCTCGACAGGCCCGCGGTTGCATGACTATGCGATTCCGCAAGGCACGAGTGGCCCCGGAGAGATTACGCAGGTCCGCCCCGGACTGTTGGGCGTGACGACCGTTCCCTCGTCCGCATCCGATACCGATCCTACTTCTCGCTCTAATTCTGATTCTGATTCTGGTTTGAACTCGACGTCGAACTCAACTTCATCTGATCTTTCGTCTCCAAGCCCAGGCATACGTGCAGACACGAAGAGTGCTTCTCTCCCGGTCCCGGTACCTAATGCTGGCTCAGCAAATGATGATGCGCTGAATCTGCTTTCTCTTCGTATTGCGAGCGTGCGCTCTACCGACTTGTGGGGATCACCCCGATCCTATGGCGTCTCTACATCACCGTACTCATCCAGTGGCCTCGGCGCATCCGTGGGTCCACTGTATGCGTCGGTTTCGAACCACCATACCCGTCGGAATGGGCATGGAAGATCATTCTCTGAGACCAACTGGTGCCTTCCGAGGTCATCCGTGAGGTCCAAGTCGAGTTCATCGCAAAGTCCATCGCCTTCGGAGGGAAAGAGTGAGGATGACGATCCTGACCTTGTCGAGATCGAGGCAGATGGCGATGACTCCAAAGGTTCTGCTGCAGGAGCCGGCACTCATGGTCGCCCATTGGTAGCTGGTGTAGCACGATACAGCCTCAGGTACACCCCACTCGGGTATGACACGATGGGGATGCCCGGTTATGGAGGCTGTAAGAAGGAGGACGTGGAGATCCTTGAACCGAGTGTACAGGAAGAAACAGACGAGGAAGGGAATTGCAGGCTTTCATCACTCCGTCAGAACGTTCTCAGGAACGCGAATGAGTGGGACGGCATGGAGATGGAGATGGAGATGGAGATGGACTAGTGCTGGTCTACCTTCAGTTCAGTTCTCCACCTTTTGCCGACCCTTCCTTACACCTCTTCTCTTGACCCGAGTAAGGCCATTCCACTGATAACATATCACATAAGGTGTTCCATTCTGCTGCCACGTCGTTGACCACTTCTTTCACTTTGACAGCTTGATGGGCAGCTAATCGAACTTGTACTTTTTTATCACCATCATACCTTGCTGCCCACCTTGCCGCGGTTTTCTACACCCCTCTTACATTCTCTGATCTCCCCTCCTGTCTTTGCAGATTGTTGTATTTGTTCTTCATATTTCCTGTTATTATCCCGTCATTCCTTTGACGTCGAGACTGGCGAATCAGGGGATGTGGGTGCTTGTAATGTAAGATATCATTTTGGGACACTTATCTTTCTTCCTTGCTGCTTTGTCTGTCGTTCGCTGTAATGTATTTCTAATCAATAGGTTGTAACAAGTCGAACGTTTTCTCGTGTGCCTGCCCCTTGCGACGAATTCTTAGTGTGATCGTGAAAGCGGCAACGCCAAGAAGGATATGGGATGAGGAAATAAATATACTAATGTCAGAGTCACAACCCCACGCTACGGGACACAGAAATATACTAGCACATCGACTTTGGTAACGAATGACCTGTCCGCAACGGTCAACCGAGGAGAGAAGGGCCCGCCAGAGGGAGGGAATTAACTCGCGGTTCAGTTTTTCTTGCCCAAGGTAGCCTTGATGGCTCTCTGCTGCGCCGCGCCCAGTGCAGCTGCGATATCTTTGCCGAGGGTATAGACAATCAAGCTTGGGAAAACGATCCAAAGTCTGTTAGAAAAGTTTAGCGCCACCGAGGGTGACAAAAGCACAAATATGAGCAGATAAGGAATGGGGGGATGACATACCCGTTCGGCAAGACCCAGTACACCAGCAACGTCCCCAAGTCGTTATGACCAGTCGCACACCATCCGCAATAGAATTCCTGAACCCAATAGAGTACTGTTTTCGAGAGGGTCATCGTAGCAGCGGCAAATCCAATGAGTGGTGCAACTGTCGCGCCGGACACATGAGTAAAGTAAAGGTAGGTAAGGTTGAGAAGCGTCTCGATTATGTTCATGAGGGCTTGTTTTCAGTGGGCATGAGTATATCAGATAACGCTACGAAGGAAGGATCGCACATTGGGCGTTTGGAAAGCCATCGTTGCGTTGCAAAGATTCGACGCCATATACCTTAGCATCGGGGATCAACTCGGGGTCACCTAGGAGAGAGGCCCGCTCACATAGTCGATTTCTTGGTATAACCCGTAGGGCTCCCATATCCAGTGAAGATCTCCTCCTACCATCGACCGCGGTCTGGACGAATGTTGAACGACACGTTTCCACTGCGTACGATGAAGACTCACCGCATGAAACAATAGGAAACATCCCAAAAGATGACTGGGGCTGTGAGGAGAAACCAGAGCGAGATCCAAACATGCGTCTTGACTGCCATTCTGTGGGTTTTGTCTGTGTGAAGTGTCAGCGGAATGAATGAAATGTTTTGAGTTTGAGTTTGAGCTACCACGGTGGTCGCTTGGCAATATTGATACTCCCGTGTTCCCATTGGTTCCCCCGTGACACGCAACCACACCACTCGATTCGACGTTGCCAGCGCGACTGTAGAACCTGTCGTCGCCATTGCTTAGGTTTCCAACCAGCTCCACAATTTCGGTGCAACGACAATGTTTCCGTTGTCTTTCCTCGGATCCAATTTTTTGTTCCTCGGGAGCTGAGGCGGATGAATTTTCGCCAATGCAGTCGTCTTCCGCCGGTACAACCGACTCGGACCGCGCATGCCTCGCACGCACGCGCGGCTGGGTTCTTCCTAACAATTCGCTCGATAGGAGGAGCGTCTTTGGGCGTGTGACAGTGGTGTGGTCGCTGCTACTACTCGGCGTGTGCTGGAGAAGGGGCCACTTGGAAGGGTGCCAGTGCCACTCATGATCATTCCCTGAGAACGAAGACGACGGGACTGGAAATTCAGGCGCGGAGGACAGGGCGTCCCACTGGTTGACATGCGACGCTGAAAATAGGGGTGTGCCCATGGGGTCAGTTCTTCCTCGCGCGTCCCGGCACATCCGATTCCTCGAAGGACGATAGGGAGAACAGAATCACCCGGGGAACTCGAACCAAAAGAAGGCCGACATTGCACAATCCGTCCACCACGCCTCTCACAACGTGGCTCTCTGCCTGACACGAGGACAAAGCGCATGTCCTTCAAGTTGCCTGTCCTTTCCGATATCGGTTTACGTACTTCTATCGGGTAGTACGCGATTTTGTGGCGCTCATTCGAAGCCTGGACATATCGCCGCGCACGTCATATGATAGCACATGACGATACGAGTACTACACAATTGGCTTCCGACCGTTCCAATCTATCACCAAACTCGGTTGGAAGACTAGAAGGCACTGGACTTCCATATCACATCATGGCCTCCTACAAACTCGGTGCTCCCCAAAATCGACGAAGACGGAGAATGTGGACTCCGTTATCGTCGTACTTCATGTCCGTTTTCCCGCTGCATTCGGCGAGTTCTCGGACACTCATCGGGCCGCGGTAGCGGGAAGTACTACTCGCCCCACATCTTGTACTGCGGGATCCTTCGTCTCCAAACGAATGCGTGGCACACCACACTGGATGGGACACTGTCAAGCCAAGATTGCTTAAGGCAGTGCACAAGTTCTCAAAGCACCTCCAGGGGGTCGTATTACTTGCTGTGCGTGTGCTGGTGTGTGCTCCATCGTACCATCTTTCACACGTTTGCAGCCGCACAATACACCTGGACGGTCAAAAAGGGTCTTGGCAGTTATGTTGGACCCTATGATACATTGTGTGCATCCGTCGTCAGGGGCAATGCTGATCATGACGTCGCAACGCTGGCAGATCATCATATCCGCCACGTCAGCACTGAAGTACTGAAGCCTGACGGGTGCAAAGCAAACACGCAAGGCTGGTGTATGATGCATAGGTGCTGAACCACATACTGTTTTGGTGTACCAGCGCAGACTGTATACTCCGGATGGCCGAGGGTGTGAGATGGATCCTCCCGCTTCTCCGTGATCTCCATCTTGCTCCTCTTGTCGGATTATACCTCTTCCTGCAGAGATACGAACCCCGACGGTTTCCGCTCTCAGCAAACATCCGTTGATCCCCGTGTGCTTTCCCTTTGAAGACAGGGCCCGCGGGTGTTGCGTATGTGCCATGCGCTGATGCAACCGTTAAGGATCAGGCAGAACTTTGCAGAATCTGCAAGTGCCTTCGTCACATGTGCCATAGAGAGAGCGTATCCAGGGCAAGAAATTCCAAGGAACGACCATCACGCACGTGGGAGTAGACTGGCTTACTGAGGGTGAGACCTAGCACCGGATGAATCTTGCTCGAATCCGATTATAATTTTCCAGCTTTCACGGCGACCCCGACGGAAGCCAGGCACATCGGGTTTCATTGGGCAGCCACTACAAGCGTCCGGGACTACGACCCTATTCTGCACCCCCCAGCAGGGTGGCCGAGCGCAAAAACATTTACTGGGGTACTTATGACATCTTTCGTCAGAAGGTTAATTCTTCGTATCAGTCTTCGAGGAAGCAGGTTTACTATGCCGGCGGCGCAGAGTGGCCAGTGCGGACACCGCGGATTCATGATGTTGACACCATCCGGCCGTGCTGGAGGTGTTTTTAAGATTTCGTGTTGGTTTTTTTGCGTCCGACACTTGCCGCGGTTCGCGGGTCACCAGGTATGTGTGTGTCGATATGCTTCAGAGGGAAATGTAGATCTGGCGGAAATGAAAATATGGGATGTTGTCCGAGGGATGGAAAAAGAATGTTGGGTGTCCAGAATCTCAGGATTACAGTGATCGATCCAATTATCGTTTGTCCCATTATTTTCACAACTGGTGGAAATTACAGCGTCGCCCGATTCCCAACAGTTACACCTATGTAAATGCAAAAAAAAAAGAAAATGTAGCTAAATGCTCAAAAAGCAAAGAATGTGAGAGCGAACAAGAGATGCATGTCCGTTAAAACCAGGTTACTTTTTTCTCTTTTCCCCCGATTGGGTTGTAAAAGGATCACGTTCGCATGGTGGTTGTGGCGAGTTTGAGTACAAAAGAGAAGCGTATAAAAAGGTAAAAGGAACAAAATGCAGCAGACCAACGAAACGCCGGTCGTCACCCCACCGACCCGCATTAAGCCCCGGTATGAGTGTTGTAGATGAAGGGGGAGGGGGAATTGGAAGATTTGATATGATTTGGATGGGTCGAGCAAAGAACCCCGTTTTTGAGGCCGATGATATGATAAGTAGTGCATCCGAATATGAGGGATGTTGCCCGCGCGAGCTGTCAAGGGACGGCCGCCTAAAGGTCAGGATCCCGAAGAGAAGTTAAGGGTGGGAAGTAGGAAGACTAACAATAAACAAGCGAAAATGGAGAGGAGGGCCAGCCTCGCACACGCCAACTGGAGAGGCGATTCCTCACCAGTCAGCTTGCTAATTTGGGGTGCCTCTTTTCCAATCTGCTCCCTAATAAGAGGATCAGTAAAGATGGAGTGGGAAGGGAATGAGGGGAGGGTACATACGCCGGAGCCGCCACTTCCCCGCCTGTCTTCAGCGGGCGAACGGACCATACGCAGTGAATCACTGTCTGCAGGCTGGGTTGATTGGAGCAGTGTTTAGTTCGGTTTTCACGGGAGAGCCGAATTACCCACCAAGGGACTTGCGACGGCTGCGCACGCGAACAGGAGAGCGATGACAAGACTTGTGAGTTGCATTGTGGACGACGAGGTGGTATCAGTGTCTGTCTGCAACACGGCCGGAATGGGGGGAGATGGGAGAAGCGAGACCAGACGCAGGCGTATTTATTGCTGGCGCTGGTAAAAATCATGCATGATGTCTTCTCATGTCACCTGTTCCTGGTTCTGTTCCTGGCACGGCAATCCCATATCCAGTGCGGGGAGCTCCTGCCTCTTTCGGACATACAGACGAAAATAATTATTGCTGCTAGCAAAATAACAATAAACCATGCAGGAGATCGACGACAGAGTCTAACCACTGCCGGGCCTCTCTATCGTCCCAGCATTAATATGCCGCCCCACGTTTCCCGCCTTACCCGCACGCTCTCTTGTTCACGAAGAAAAAGGTAGCTGCTTGCAATGGTCTTGCTTCCGTGGCTTTCTAAATTGATTGCCCAACGAGGGACTCCGCAGGTGATCAGATGAGATCTGCCGCGATTGGTCCATCCGCGTCCATTTTGCGTTTCTCCAAGCAATCTGGGCAACCTGCGCAAACGGTCAATTGGCATGACTGACCATGTTGGTAATACCAGTGGTAACAGTGCTGTAAGCGCAACTATTAACGGCCGCCGCCGCGCAGCTCCACAAACAGGCCCCCCCCCTCGCACAGTACCTATCTGAGGTCACTTGCAACCGTTCCCATTGTGCATCCTCGTCGACGATAATAAGTAGCTATGCCACCGCACAAGATAGCAACTCCCGGAATTCCTCGGGCTAGCCTATTGTCACTCCCACCAACACTCCGCATCGGTCCACTGTGGCTGCGTAGCACCCATACATATTTTTGGACGTATCCAGCACCATCGTTCCCTGGACAGTCTGATATCACCACAAGTTTGCTTGGCTGGATAAGATTTGCCATGTCTCAAAGCCAGCCGTCGTCACGACGCACGGACTTGGCCAAGAATGTATTCACTGTCAAGAGCGCCATCCCGCCGATTCCCCTGGGTAATAATTGTACTGACCCTCTTGTTGCTGGTTCGTAGTTCTCCTGTCGCATGCACTGCATTACACCATCATCTACATAGCCTCATTTTTGTGTCAGAAAAATTGATGTTTCCGCAGCATTCCTACCCTGTCAATGATATCCCCTGCTAAGCGTCCCAAGAATAATATCGACTTTGGCAGCGTGATAGGTGGAACGCCGCTGGCGAACCTCCCGGTTTTTGTTGTGACCGGAGGCCTGGGAGCCGTGCACTCTGGTTTATGTCACTCTACCACTGCCTGTCACAAGGCTGACCTGACGATAAACTGCACGTCGTATATCCGCCGGCTGATACTCTGCAGCGTTGCGAATAATTCTTCCACTTCATATCTCTTCGGTCCTTGTAGTCTTCTATTGGCCGTACTTCCTGGCTTTCATGTGGTCTATCGCATAATATAGGATCCTGTTCCTATGCACCATGCGTGTCCCTGTCATGTGTGCCGGACACTGTCATACGGGCTGTCTGCAGGATGATTTAATTTCCTTGGTCTGTTCGGAACAGGGGAACGTGGTGAGAATGGACAAGAGAACACGACTTCTTGGTTCTTGGGCAAAGGGACATCGATGAGAGCGGCTACGTAGGCGTGATCATTCTCACGATGGGCCGTAGGTTTAGGTACCTATTGGTCCCGGCATCCAACAAATGAGCCACCCGACGGTAGGCGTGCCTGGTAGTACCATGTGCAACATCCAAGTTTGTGCCCTACCGTGCCCTGATGGGATACGAGCAGCAAGAGCTGTCATAACTTGGCAGCGCCACTCGGCTTAGGCACATACAGAGCCATCGGAAAGCATGTGCACTGGAAAGAGGCTGTGCAAACGGTTTGAGAGAGGATTTGCAGGAGTACATGGTCGTCTGCCGAGGGGAGGGATCTGATATTCCATTGGTGACAATGCAACGTGTGCCTTCCAAACGGATCCAAACTTGAAGGCCATCCTCATGCAGGCTTTGCTATCCATACTGGATGGGCCCATTACTATGGCAGAATGCAATGTTAATTAACGGACCAAAAGAATAAACTTATCTAGTAATTGTAAGACAATCAATGTGCCTGAGTGGTCCTCAACTTCGCATATCAAATCCCCGAACGGATTTGTACATCTGGGAGGGAGCCATCGACACGCTGTAAGGAACAGGAGTCAAAAGGGGCCGGAAGTGTGACTGCGGACCTGGTGTATTTGCATTCGAACGTTCGATGTTCAACTTGATTACCACCAATTGTGTGGGAGCTTGCACGCTCTTCCCACGGTGTGGAGACGGGTCCTTTCTCGAGGAAGGCCAATCATTTGCTTTCCTTTCCCCCAGGGTTTGCTCGATTAGTGAAAATCTCAAAGTAATACTTGTCCTGTCCTGGCATCACCTGCTCATTTCCGCCATTGGCTGCGTTTATCGAACCTTGTCGGGCCAGCACCATGTAGCTCAGATACCTACCCAACCAGACTGTTAATCTGAGACACTGCGTTGGCATTCCTCGGCAACGGTGACAATTCTGTGCCTGCATAATCAAAAGCCTTACCAACGTTCCACTACTGCCGTTTGCTGTTCAGCGTTTGCCACGCTTTTCTTTACAATTTCTTGTCAGCTGGCCCCCTGACACGTGAACGTTTGAACCTTCATCTGCCCCTGATTTCCAATCAGCATTGTGAGATTCCTTGCTCAACATAGAGATTTGGGTCCTTGTACCCTACTCCACGTTACTCACACGAATAAGAAAGTCGAAATGCATTGTAATGGGTGTGCGCCTTCGCAGATGCCTTGGTAAGTAAGTAGCTATCTCTTTATTAGTCGTCTACTAAATCTATTGATATGGAAGACTGATTATGCCCCGATCTGGCCGGCCCGGAGTTTCCACTCTGAATATGAGGTGCCTGTGGCACGCAGTTCAATTCTAGGATTACATTCCAAAGAGGGCAGAAAACTTATCATGCACCATAAGGCATCTCATCCCTCGAAATGCTTCATGGGTACTAGTACTAGTGCCCGTAGGATGGTCGTATTTTGGTGTGAGTCGAGGGAGGTTTGCCCGATATTTTGTTCGACTGTAACAAGGTAAGCAAGTAGGCCCCTCAACTTCTAACGGCGATGACAGTTGGAAGAAATTCGCATCTCCGCTTTTCCTCCCTTTCTCACCTTCGGAGGACGATCGGATATTGATATGTGGTATCAGAAGCATCAGAGCGAAGACGCGGCCAAACGATGGATCCGAAGTTGGGTCAAAGAACATCCCTTAATGAGGGAACGGTTATATCGTGAGCTAGTGCACTTTTCAGGCCAAACTCAAGCACACGGTGATTCCCTGGCATCTGATATAAACTGTCCAATGAGAAGATGCCCTCACCAAACCATTTTCTCAGAGTACGTCATTCCACCACCTTCCACCAAACCAACCTTATTTCGACAGATATTAATCTTCACGGTGAAGCCAATCGATGTGAAGTAGCTCGACTGGCAATATGGATGTGTGCTCAATGGACACGTAAGCCCAGGGTACGCAGGGTAGCGAGAATGCTCCCACTTCTATCTTCTCGTTTTATCTGTTCACCGAGTCCCATATGTTGATAGGCTTATCTGCACGGTGGCTCTTTCCATTTTCTGCTGCGAGAAATCCTAACTTTTTATTCAAAATTTATCACACTCCTGAGCAGTAACTTGAGAGGTCCCCACGTCTGCACGGTTATATTCCCAACACAACGGTCCTGACCAGCCTCTCATACCTGGACAGAATATCCCCATCAAAGCGTTTGTAAGGAATACGAGAGTCTGATGGGTGCACTGAAGAGTAACGGGGCGGTTTATATCATCAACTTCGTTGGAGCGAATAGAATCCGTAAAGGAATCACTTCAGCAGATGCCGAGGAACCACCAAACGCCTCCAATGAATTACAAAGCCGTTATTGCGGGGCACGATGGACCAATGGGGCACCGAGATTATGTAGCAATTGTCAGCGAACAGGTCGAATCGAAGGTTGCACGCAAAATTAAGACGAGGAACTGCGAAACAAGTCGTGAAACGGAATCAACAAAGGGAGGCGGCGGCCTGGACACATCAATGACGATTGGAGAGCTTCCTTTACCTTTCTCACGGTAGAAGAGTATGGGCTTGTCGTACTCAAACGTGCCGACCCTGAGAACACTGCTACATGAATGTCGAGCGAGAGTACCAAATAGGCCCAGCGAATGGAGATGGACAACAGTGGGGGTCTCTAACAAAGTCATCAGTCACGTTTTGAGAATCCTGCGGACGGCCAAAGACTTGTGGAGAAGTAGCACGACTCTTGCAATCTCCGGTCCGCGCAGTAGCATTGTCTCCTCATGACTTACCGTCCAAGAGCAAATTGCTGCACCAGAAGTCTCCGTAATGGCAGTTCGTTCATAACATTGGCGCCACGCTCCCAATTAAGTCCTCGTACCGGCCCCTGCGTTTTGACCACATCATGGAAAGTTGAGAGGGAACAAATTTCTTCTCTCGGGCTTTGGCCTGCATAGGGGAGACTAGTGATGGAAAATACCTTAGAGTAAAGGTCGGAGGGCTGTCGACGCACTCGGTGAGCAGTCTGGCAACTCAAAATATTTTACCGTCTTTTGAGCCGATTATCGAAGGAATCCGATATGTCATCTTGATCTAGTAGGCAAGATAACGAGTCGCTGGGGACGATGAGCATATCTAGTGCCAGTAACATCGTCCAGAGATGTTGAATGTGTGTCATACCGTATTATCATTATTCGAAGGGGGGAACAAAGGGGGAGCGTTCACCCGCGGACACGATCAGTGCATGTGATACACCAGTCGGTGACTCACCCATATAAAATCAGGATTCATTATTTTAGGGAAATGTACAGCGACAGACAGGTCCTGAAACTTCGAAGGAGGTTCGTCGTCAGAGGCAATTGCAATTGCTGTATTCAGGCTCGAGCGTGCAGTTTGACTGAAAAAGTAGTTCCGGAGTTCCGTCTCGGCTATCGCTTCTCCACTACCAACGTACATCCCGGTCGGAGAAAAGGGATACGGGAACGGTTGTGCATCGTCGACCACTTGTGAATTCAGCACCGATTGCAGTTGCAGTGCTGCGAGTAATCACCTACCTGGTCAGGACACGTCAAGTTCCGCGGACGTAGTGAATACGAGCTTATGTCAGCGCGTAGGTTTGAAGCTTGCACTGGTCGCTGGTCAAGCTCAGGCTTTAGTTTGGCAGCTTCATGTCTGACCTTGGCACAGTGCCACCCGACAACGACCTCTCAGGTACGTGATATCGCCGCAGGTACAGCCAAAAGTCGCCACCGTTCCGGCATTTCTTTCTCTTGAGGTGTGGCGGTGCAAGAGTCGCTATACGACCGACGATTCGACAAACACTTGCCATACCTCTGGATAAAGAAGTTATTGGTTGGATCAGGTTGGAACCTGCCTGTCGAGGAGCAACCGTATGTTCGATCGATTCATCTAAAATTTTGGTCAACCTCTTCGCACCCGGTCCGGTTGGTTAATGGATGAGTCAAACCAAGTGCCTTGGAAAATTTTTTTGCATGTCTAGGCCGTACAGGCCCCAGCAGACCTCAGGGCGCCGCTCAACACTCTGCCAAGGTCGATAGCACCGATCAATCCTCTTACCGCTTCCGGATTCCGACAGCGCTCGGGACTACCGGTGATGTTGGATTAGACCTAGACTGTTAACCGATATCACACCTACCAGCGTTCCCTGGTGGACTTGGACGTCTTTTACCTCACCATCACCTATGTCTGTAAGATGGTAGGACATGTCTGACTTTTCCAGCGCCCATCAGCTTTACAAGTCGGTGTCGAAAGGGTCAAATTGTTGTAGGGACAGATCATCGTCCACGCCTATATCCTTCATTTTTAAGACAGGTTGTTGCCTCTTCGTACTCAATCCCACCCATTTAACGAGGACCTGGAATGATACGACAGCGATTCCTCCAACTTGTCTTCCTTCCTATGACTTTTAGCCGGAGAACGAGGCGCCTTTTGCCCGTTCTCCTCCTGGGCATAGGTCTCATTACATTCCACAGGATCTTCCTGGTTTCTCATGCTGTAGTTAACGGATCGTTTGACGAGCCTCGTTGGACCCCCACTCGTATCGCAAAGGGTCAGCATGGCTTGGGTGGTCAAATAATATTTCATACAGAGGAATCCGCTTCCCTTCCTTCGCACTTCTTTCGCCCAGACGGACTGCTCCTTCTAAATCCTGATGGTAGGCACCCTGTCTACGACCTTACAGAGAGAGCGGAAGCTGCATGGAAGGCAAAACTTGGCCAGGCTAGCACGACCTACGAGCAGCTCGTCGCTGAATATGGCAGGCGGTATGGTAGGGCGCCTCCACCAGGATTCCGGAAATGGTAGGTCCTTTACTTACACATAGGTAGGGTACTCAAGGCTGTATGTTGCACAGGTGGAAGTACGTCCAGGAGCACGATGTCCAGTTGCCAGACGAATACGACCAGATCTATCACGACCTCCAGCCATTCTGGGGCATCAAACCAGCGGATCTGAGGAGGATCCTGGCGGAATGGGAACATCACCAAGATACTTATACACTTGGAAAAGAAGAAGGTGGATCCGTACTCATCGTTGCAGAAAAGCTGCCTGAAGACCATGCTAAACGCGAGAACCTCTTGGTTGGCGGAAATCAGATGCTCAAGTTGCTAGCGGGCATTGGTCACTTATTACCACCCTTCCGTGCCGTCTTCTCTCCGCATGACAGTGCGTCCGTATTCATCGACTACCAAACGAGGTCTATGACATTGAAAGCCGCCGCCGCCGGTAATGGTAAGAAGGATCCCGTTTTGGGTGTCATATGTTTAGTTGTCCATGCATCTCAAGCTGTACATGTGTTAGCACCAGATACAAAGGAACTTCCGCGCCCTCGAATGCGAGGATGGGTCACCGCTTGTCCACCCGAGTCGCCTGCCCTTACTAAGCAGTTGTACACTCCAAAGGATGCCAAGTCCTTTATATACGACCACCGAGCTGCTATGGACCCCTGCAAACACCCTTCGTTGTTACGAGAACACGGCCAGTTCGTGGCTCACGACGTCGGACCGTACGGTCTTCAGACTCCCGTTCCACTCTTCTCTTATAGCTCTTCAGCAATACACTCAGACATACACACAACTCCGACGTTATCGTGGGTTGAGGATGTCCTTCCCCGTGAAGTCGATCCCGAGTTCAAGTTTAAGGTTGATAACCGGCTTCTTTGGAGGGGAGCGAACACAGGTATACGCCATGATTCCACGAAGGAGTGGAAGCTCTCGCAGAGGAACCGACTTGTAGCTTTGGTCAATGAGCAAAATGGCACAACAATTGTCCTTCCTGCGCACGTTTCACCGTTTGAGAAGGTTGGTACAGGGGACGAAGTAAACAAGGTGGACGTAAACCCCATACTGTTCGACGTCGCCTTCGCTGGTCGTCCATTGTCCTGTGGTGAGGACGAATGCCAGGAACTTTTGGAGATATATGATTGGCGAGGGTATCAGAACATTTCCGAGGCAGGGAAGTACAAGTATGTGTTGGATGTGAGTGATCATGATCCTCTCCATCCGCCTGATTTGCCAATGAAAGTGTTGTGTCGTAGGTGGATGGAAATGGGTGGTCAAGCCGGTTCAAGCGGTTGATGACATCGAACTCCTTAATTTTTAAAGCCACAGTATACCCTGAATGGTTGGTGAAGTTGACTGCCGTCTTCAAGGGGAGATCTAACCGATCGCGCAGGTTTACGGATCGCATCCAACCCTGGGTTCATTATATACCAGTCAAATATGATTACTCAGATGTACACGACCTGTTGACCTTCTTCCGGGGCGATCTTTTGGGAAGAGGTGCTCACGAGGAAATGGCTGGTAAAATTGCGGGGGTAGGACGGGAATGGAGCAAGACCTTCTGGAGGACCGAGGATATGGTTGCATATATGTTTAGGTAACGTATTCCGCGCTTTCGGTGACCCTTACTTAACCTCTTCGCAGATTACTCTTGGAATATGCTCGTGTAATGAGGGAAGATAGAGATGTAATATCCGACTGATAGATGTTGTACTGCTGTGCTTTTTATGCAGTAGCCCTAGATAGTTAGCCGCCTATGACGCGAACATGGGTAGTTGATGGAATTATTGCTTTTACACGGTGAAAAGGCCCCGGAATTACTCTGCCACCTCTGGCTTCCTTCTTTCGGCAAGGGTATACAAGCTATCTAGCTTAGCGGCATACATCGCAAAGCGTCGGTTATCCTGCTCATCGTCCCATTTTACCAAAATGTCTTCCAGAAGAGGATTTGCCTGCACGACTTCTGCTCTTGCAACCTTTGCATACGGTAACTCGTACTGACCAAGGAAATGGAATGAGACAAGGTCAGATGGGTTGTCCGTCTGGGACTGCAGAGTTTCCAACGCGTTTAGTCTGTCTTGCTCGTCCTGGAGCCTTCGTTGGATGGTATCCGGTATCTCGATATGTCCTGACCAGACGAGAGCGAGCCATGTACTAGTGAGATCTGAAAATGTGAAGGGTATGAATGATATCAGGGCTCCAATGAAGGCTAGAGTGGGATTGTGCGAGTATAGTATTTGACGAAAAAGTGAGGGGACCCACATAGGATGGGTTTCCTGACCAGTCAGAGGAACTAGCTGGCGTATGAATGCTTCATTCGGGGGGTTCTTGACCCCGAACACAGATATCGGCTTGGTTTCGAGCACGCGAAGGTAAGGTACGTGTGGATAATACCCAGTTCCGAATACAACGTAGTCAATCTTGGGAATGATCCCATCCTCAAGGTGGACAACGACCTTGTCCCCCGTCTCTGAAGGATGATATTCGTACCGCACAACTGGACCAACGTCTTTTATGCGCTCATCTGGCAATGAGGGAAAGATGGATACCCGCCGTGTGGAACGATACACTGGAAGCTGGGCTAGTGGTGCGAGCTGGGCCGCCATCTCGTTTGCCGAGTTGGCATTTCCAATAACCAAGATACGCTGTCCCAATCGTCAGTATGCAGAGCACCACCGTGTGGGAGAGTGATTTTCACTTTGCCCTCGTAATCTTTCGGACCTGCCCAAGAGATGGTGTGTCGAACCCTCCCAGCCTCCTTAATGGCATCAAATCCATCAACACGAGGAAAATATGGATTGTCAAACCACATGGTCGAGATAACGATCGCCTCCCGTCGTTCCTCTTTCTCTATGCCACCCTGCTTCCAGTCTTTGATAACAACTCTCCATCCAAACCCGTCTCTCTGGTCGATCTCCTCAACGCTTACAACCTCGTGGTTGAGCCGGATCTTCCCCTGATCTAGAAGTGGACGTGCAAAATCTCTCAGATATGCGTGCGTCTCCTGAAGAGTAGGGAACGGCTGGTCGGGCCTCGGAGAAGGTGGGAAAGGTTGTCCTGAGAACGCCAAGAATTCAGGGAGTACATTGCCTATCATCCCGGGATACGCAGGGGATGTCCAGCGGGGTGGCCGACGATCCGTGTGATGCCCGCCTGCATCATCATATGGGACTGTAGGATCATCCTCTGTACGATTCCTGGAGCATAGTGGCGATCAGTGATTTGCAATTGCCATCAGGAAATACTTGCCAGATCCCCCCTATATCATCCCGCCGCTCGACAAGTTGAACATCGTCGAACTCACCCCTTTCGAGACAATTTCGGAGTGTCACCAACCCGCAAGAGCCACCTCCAATAATCAGAATATTCTTGGGACGACTAACAGCCATACCCCAACAAGGAAATGGAAACGCGCACGAGCGCGGGATGTACGTCATGACCCCAAAGGGGCCAAGTAGAGTACAAAGCGGGAGCAAGGGTGGACGCGCCCCAATGGACGAGATATCAAATATACGACGTAGATAAAAGGTAGCTACCGCATGAGAGGAAGTCCCCATGGGACGAGAACGTCTGCTCGTCGACCCGCATCCTCGCCTGACTACACTGAGCTCTGAGTTTATCACCCTCGCTCGTTATCGTACTCGTACCTGCAGGTGGTTCCTACATCAGCCTCCGTGCACGCATCGTTGTTAACAGTCGCTAACAGGACCTACGAAGTGGAGCCACGGCGTTAGCCTGTTTCACTGGACAATTTCGGTTCCGACATCTACTACATATAGGGATAATCATACAGCTATAAGATAGCGCAAGACGGCACAGTAGAATTCAAGAAACGATGTGACTATGAAAGCTAAACTCTACAAGCCGAGCTTTTGGAAGAAGTCCCGTAATGACGAAGTACGGCCCCCTCCGCGCTGCCAAATACTCTTCTCCCATGTTCCATCCGCGACGTAAAAACTGCCAGGCATCTTCAACTCGTCGTGGCTACGCCTTTCTGTCTGAAGAGCTGAGGAAGGTGCGGAAATAGGGGTCACCTCGCTAGGCTGAACTGTAGACCGCTCGGGATGGAGCTCGGTAATTTGATCATTACAATTCGGCACAGTTTCCTTTACACTGGGCTCGTCGGGCCCACTGGAAGAATCCAAGGTCGTGGAATCTTCTGCCTTACGCTGGCCACCCACCAGGTCTTCGTCCGGACAAGTGATCTTAATGTTGTCGTTGGAACCAGGATCTTCGCTGCCAATAGACAGCTTTTGCAGAGCTTGGGAGACTTCACGTGCGTCTTCTGCATTGCTAGCTCCAGCCTTGTTATTATCCCGAGGATCTTCACCTCTGGTATGATCCTCACCCCACCCGCCACTGCCTGCGCTTGATACACTAGACCCCCTCGTGCGTGAATTCGCAACTTTACCAAGGCGGGCCAGCACTCGCGCTGACGTGATAGCTGAACGCCACCGCTTGCGGGGGTTGAAGTTCTCACGTAGTCCTGCACCAAGGTCGTGGTCCGTGGACGGCTCGTAAGCCGTTAGCCACTGTAAGTCAGTTAGATCTCCATAGTGTACCAAAAGAGCTGAAACAAACGTGGTGATTGAGGGCCTCTTCGGCAGTTGGTCGCTTCGAGGGGTCCGGGTTAAGCAGGAGCCTAATGAAAGATTTCGCTGCTTTTTGTGTCAGACAATGGTGTTCAGAAAGTAGGTGATCCACTCGCCTTCGCTGGATACCTTGCTCCAATAAGCTTCGTGAAACTCAAACTTCGCGTCTGTGGTCTCCCTAATAATTTCTTTGGGGTCGTCTGACCTGAAGGGAGTATAGCCACAAAGTAATACATATGTGATAATTCTGCTCAAAATTTGAGTGATGTCGCTCAAGGCATCAAAAGGCAATGCTCACCCAGTCGACCAAATATCCACAGCCTTCCCATGCCCCAAATGGTTTAATACTTCTGGTGCTACATAGCCAAGACTTCCAGCCAAAGACTGTAGTTGCTCGGTGGAGGAATGCAAATGTTTTGCACTATGGGAAAGCACTGGATGAGCCACTTCGGAGACAGAACCACGAGTCATACATTCCAAAGTCAACAATTACAACATCACTGTTAGGGTCCTTAGTTCGATACAGAATGTTCTCCGGTCTAGACATAAGAGGGATCAGACGAATCGACAAACACACTACGTGCGGAGAGGTACGCACTTCAAGTCACGATGTACTATATCATGGTCGTGTAGATACTTCACGCCGGACAAAATTGAACTAGAACACACGTGAGACGAGCTACATGAAGGGCTCTATCAAGTCGCGTACCGTACAACAACGACGGCGTCGCTTTCGGTAAATTTGCCTCGTTGGATGATCCTCTCAAATAGCTCGCCGCCGACCGCGAGCTCAAATGAGAGATAGTATTTGCTTCTTGACTCAAACCACTCGTAAAATTTGACCTTCACAAGGGAAAGATGAGACTTTATTTAGAAAGAGGAGTAGTCTCACAATATTGGGGTGGTCGAGGCCTTTCAACATTTCCATCTCCCCCCAGACAGCCTCTTCGTTTCCCTTTACCTTCTTCTTCGGAATGACTTTCAGAGCCACCTCCTTGGTAGTTACAGCGTTCTTCTCTGAATATGCAGAAGAGGACGACCCAGGAGATCCTGGCGTGCGTTGCCCATGGTGGAGTAAGTGAGGATGCAAGATGGGTATCGAGCTTGAACCACGAGGATGGCCGAAGGTACTAGGCGATGCGGCCGCTCCCGACTTCGCGACCTCTATCAAATCTGGTGGAACTGTCCAGGTTGCTCTCTGACCGCAGAAAACCGTCAGGTACCATTCAAATAAAAATATATAAAAAAGGGGGTAGTGGTTAGCAGAAGACGAGATACCTACCACCACCTTTCCAAAAGTTCCCGTACCCAAAACTTCGTGGACTTCATAGAGTTGCTTCTTGCAGAAACTTGGCGGCTGGGGCAGAAGCGCATCCTTCAACGAAAGGTGCCTCATCCTACGTTTTATTGACCGCTTGCAAGGTACGTGACGCCCTCTCCACACCTGGAGTCTTCTGAGATACTGCCGTTCGTAGGTTTCCAAGGTGGTACTGCAAGATAAGGGTAGCAACAAGACCGAGAAGTGTTGACCAGCGTGAACCGGCTATTTCGGTAGGTGGTGTGCTATACAGGCGCTCAAGCTCAACCACATATGAAAGTGAACCCTTGACATTCACAGCCCCGAGAGAAGTCTGGGAAAACATTTCCAAAAGCCTGAGTTGTCCTCTTCTTTCGACAGTCTTTGAATCCTTGTCACAGGTCCAGTATAATTGACTTGGTCTGACTTATCACCTTAAGTTTCTCGGACGATCTGATCGCTGGGGTGCCGTTCCGTTTACTAGGTTGAGCTCTCCGATGCTATGCGCTATATTCGGCTTACTCGTGGTCGGACGGAGCCGCCCAAGTGTCGGTGGTGCAGTACTCAGTATCGATGCCACGCTGCAGTGCCCCGCGGAGGGCATAATAACATGAAACACTGACAAGAGTTGCACCTTTTCCTTGGTTTCCCGATGCTAGAAGCTCGGTCGGTTATCTTCCACATCGCGTCATAGCTGCTCTTGTGTATGTAATATTCTAGAGTCGCGCATAAGGCGCTAACAGTATTAACCCACCTCAAGTAGATCCACGGATTCCCCCTGGTGTCTCATCCGGGCCTCATTGGCGTGACGTGCTGCAATTCTTCGGAGTGCGGTTGCCGGAAACCCCAGCCAGGGCTATTTATTTGTAAGAACGACGCCTGGTCATCCAGCCTGTTACGATGTGTTTTTAGCTTCGTAGCTACTACACAAACTTTGCACAAACTAGTCCGTTGTACCGGAGTAAATACATCATTCGCCCCGAGGAATTCAGTTACACTGCCACCTAAGCTCTTATTACGTAAGGATGAAAAGTCTGGAGAATGCCGAACTGGCGGCCTCACCACTTCAATTTCTAGGCCCCAACCTGCAACGCAACCCACTCTCGCCAGCGAAGACAATTGAATAACATCGCTAATATGGCACGCAGAGCACCACCGCAAAATTCAGTCCCAGGCTTGTTTGGTGCTTCCCCTCCCAGGCGTACCATCCATGACCCCAACGAGTCTGCGCTCTCCCGCTTCATACGGGAAGAAATTTTTGCTCCGGAAAAGGTTTCGGGAAACATTAGCATCATTACAGGAGTTGCTGTTTTTGCTGCCGGAGTGTTCTCTGCCAGAACCTGGGGCGATATTTTGGTGCCTGCGTAGGCCACCGAGTAGAGGCGGACCAGTCATAGTACTGCGTACAGTCAAGAGTCGTAGTTTTGGTGTAAGTTTCCCCTTTAATCTATACATGGATGTGAAATTCACAGTCTATCTCGTATTTCTCAGTTTCGCGATCTGCATTCTTGATGTCCGTTATTTTGTATCCTGAAAAAGAAACAATTTATTATCCCGGCGCAGTCATGTCTTCATCCTCAAATGTAGAGAGGAATAAATGATTTCTACCTTAGCTTGTCTTGTTGAACTACTCAGCAGTCTTGACAGAGAACTTGGAGTCAATGTCCCCAGTTGTTCCGTATTGGGTCATTTACTACCACGCAAACTACTTGCAATCCTCCCAAACTCCAAAAGACATACATCTAGAGATTGGGAAAATGTAAAAGAAGAAATTAAATCCTATTGGTTCCATGCAGTTCATAGCCACCGACCAGGAACGGAAAGGAAAGGAAACCCCGGAGACGTTTGCAATTCAATTGAATCATCAGTTGCAGTAAGTGCCCAAGCGTCTAATGATCACGTCCTGACGAGACAGCCGCCGCATTTGTTCTGTCTACCAATTCAAACATTTCAAGGGTTGAGAGATTACACGTCCTGAAATTTCAGCAAGCCTCTGGCATCCTTTACGTGGATGTGGCGATTGTACTGCGTTCAGTAAGTATTTCCCTGCAGGTTCTGGGTTTTAAACCCAGAAACGGGTACCGCTACAATTTTCAGCTTGGTCTATTTTCATAAAATGCTTTTTTATTTCTTTTCTTTTCTTTTTTCTGAGCTGGCTGTGTATTTCCTTCCTCGGTAGCTAGGAATATCCGCCGGCAGTCTGAGTTCCGCCCTTTGCTCAGCCCCATGAAATAATCTCTTCGTCCAAAGCTCTAGGTCGGGCGTGCGGTCTGGTCTGCCAGTACCTCCCTCTCAGCTGAGGCGTCATGGAGGCAAAGTTCGAGCTCATCAAAAAGCCTGGACATGCATGTACCAAAACTTCGCCAGTTTACATCGGTCACAGGTGCCCTGCGTTACTACCTGGATCGGTCTTCCCCCACGTGTGATGGGTATGGGCCGCAGTCCTTCCTGAACTCTCTTTTCCCTTGCTCGTCCAGGGTTGTTAGCGGTCTTTACTCCTTCGTTTCCCAGTGGATGGCCCCCCTGTGGTGGAGAAAATGGCGACCGGCACGACTTCCACCGGTCGGTTACCGGCCTCGGTTTTCATGCCCTCGTGAAGCGAAGAAAATGGTTCACTACTGTTTTGGGGTCGAAATTAGCGTGGACTCCATTACAAGAATACCAGTATGCCTCTCGCAGTCCTCCAGTCTTGAATGAGCCTTGTAATACATGCTTTCAGACCTCCCTCTCACCCCAAGCACCAATACATGTACCGAAGTGGCCCACGTGTGCCTTCACGCGCTTCGTGCCCAGACCCAATTCAATTCACGGCGATCATGCTGATGCACCCGGCCCAACAATCTTCCCAGGCCGCCGAACTGTGACGAATTACCACCGCGCTTACCGGGGCATGGTTTGCGCTCGGTATGTGGCAATGAGGATGCGGTGACGAGTTAGTGTAGATTCGGCGGGAACAAACGAGTCGGGGAAATGAAGGACAAGGCTGGGTATGTTGTACACTCCTAGATTATGGGTCCAGAGAATTTTAAACCCGTATAGTGTTGCCAGCTGCCATGGAGGATGTGATGTTCGCAGACATCAGCGAGAAACCCTGACCAAGGTTCGCTGCTGAGCTCTAAATATCATAAGCCGTGCTACTGGCAGGCCTCGCGGACGGGATTGGGTCTACGGCAGATAGATAACCCTATGTCAGTTTGGAAGATGTGGCGGTTTGAAAAATTATGACATGAAGGGGAATGGAACACGGCTAACCGAAGGGCTCCCGCAACGTGTCTCACTTGCCCGTGGTCTCCGCAGAGTAGCACTTTTCAAGTGTGCTCCACACAAAACTTCGAAAAATTTACGGTAAAATGACCTCCGTGTCCTGCGATAGGATTAATAAATTTTTGTACGCTGCTAGACTGCTGCTACGCATATTCAAGCTGAAAGATAACAGACTGAACTAAAATTTACCCTCGCATTGAACGATAAAACGACCTACAGCAGGACAAAGTATTAGTAACAATTTTTTGTATGGAAGAGTGACTCAATGGTAACGGCATCGCTATTAACCGGTCGATCCCACATCTGCACAACTTCCCGAGGGAATGAGCAGTGTACGGGTGCCTCCGTTTGGAAGTGACTTGTCGTAAGACTTCTTTCGTGCTTGGTAAAACACTTATTGGCCAATGAGAGGGCTTGCTCAAGTGCGAAAGAGTTGTCAACAGCCGCGTCGCGTAGCTGTTTCCCAGATGCCAAACAAAAATGACAGCCTTCAGATCTTCAGAACTCACAGCGTACCAGGAACACATTACACAATTACCACAGAACAGATCATTAGCAGTGATAAGGCATAGCCCATGCATAATCCATATACCAGTCGAACATACTTGACAATAGTATACATTGCAGGATGCAATAGTGAGGGGAAAGTGCTAACAGCGATAGCATGCGAAAAGCTTGGCATTCTCACAAAGAATGTGGTCGGTGGAAATGAAAGGCGTGTAGAGTCCATGAAGATTTTTTAGCCGTCTGCAGTCTCCCTTTGGTCAATATCTGTGTTGCTGTTGCGGGGTATCCAACCCTGAGCCAGAGGCAGAAGATGGATGTACACGAGACTGACTAGTCAAAGGTTGTGAGGAGGACACGACGTTCCTGACGGACTGATAGGGACCGCTGGCTGAGGAGGGGACTGAAACATAGTTTGACTGTGGAGCAGGTTGGGAAGGATAACCCATGGAGTCGTAGCTGTCGCCTGGTCTACCTTGCAGGGAAATGCCTTGCATTGCGGGGGCAGCGGGGTACTGTTGACCAGCAACCATGGGTTGTGAAGGTACAAGAGAGGAATAATTGCCCTGCGAACTGCGTTGTACCGGGAGGAGTGCGGAGGTGAGTGTTGGCAAGTTATAGGATGGATGGACTCTGGGTGGTCCACTGGACTCGGATTGTCCTGCACCTACCCACTGGTGAGAGGGCACTTGTTGCTCGTATCCATGGCGGCCGTCCTCTCCGGAGTGCACGGGTCCCCGACCACTCGGCCAGTTTTGAACATGGATGCGCGCCGATTCCCCTCTAGAGGATGATGGCCAACCCTCACCCTCGCCACTTGGTCCAGAAAAGTACGGTGGGTGTATTTGAGGTGGTGGGTAGGGCTGGTAGAGAGGTGTCGATTCCAGCGCGCCAGCAGGAGCCTGCATAGGAAATCGCAAGGCAACATCGGAAGATCGCCCGTGGTGAGAGGGGTGATAGGGTATGTCACTTGGTGGCCGATAAACTAGTGCATCGCCAGGAGGATGGGTGGATTCCCTGGTACGAGGTGCCACGTAACGATCACTAGGTGCCTCAGCTGTAACGGTCGAGTAACAGTTGTCTTGAACGCCGTATGGGGGTTCATCCGTGTCAACGGACGAAGGATCTTGGCCATCTGGGATGCAATCGTCGGCGGTAGAATGCAACTCCGACGAAGGTCCGATAGCCGCATCCGTCTTCCTACGTCTCCTACTATTGTTGGGTCTGCGTCTGTAAACATAGTCCGGGTACTTCTGGTTAAAGTTGTCCTTCAATTGTTTGGCTTGGTCCAAGTAAAATTGCTTTTCTGACTGAGGGTACATGTGAGTTCAGTTTTATACCCAAGATGGCAACGTTAGAATCTAACCGGGTCCATCGAGTTCCACTCTCGACTAAGTATCTTACTTATGTCACCAGTGCGCATAGACTGATTCTCTGCTGATATTTGAGGTCGCCTTCTGCGTGCAAAGATCATGAAAGCATTCATGGGACGTTTGGGGGTCCCATCGGGGTTTAAGGATTGTGAGATCAAGGAAGCGTCAAGGTCATCTGCGGAACTACGAGTGGTAGGAGGCATGGTAAAAGATAAAGGAATTCGTACCGTCCATGTCCGCATCCATTTTGTGAACATCCGAATAAACCAAATTTCCGATGTCATCAATATCAGAACCGCAAGGGGATCCCAGGTCATAGGAATATGTTCTAGCATTGGATGGACCGGAATGTTCCGCCACGGCGCCGTGTCTCGTGAGGTCGGGATTGGGGCGTTGCATGTCAAAAGAGCGGACCAAGTAGGCAAACTTTCCCAGACAAAGGATAACCAACTATAGGCGAGGAATCACGTAGCTGTGAGACCAACTAGTAGCTTAGTCCACTGAGAAGGAGAAAGGATCAGCGGAGGAGCACCAGGCAGACACGGACCTCGATAGGAAAGTGTTGGTGTCGAGCCAAATAGCCCCCGGCTGCGGACTAAATGATTGGGGCGTTCGTTGACGTATTCTGAAGAAACAATGGATTTAAGCACGGCGATGCTGGCGAAGTAGACATGACCAATTCTTGTCGGAATAAAACCGTGATCGTACACGCAGCAGTTTGAACCTTGACCACCGGTAACCTCCCCACTTCGGAATCGCGGAGTCTGGTGGACACCGTTTGCTCGCTTCTCAAGGGTCTATACTGCTGTAACAGAGGGCCAGCTCCGCAGGGAAAAAAATATAATGCAAAGTTTAGCGTCTTCTCAAAGCCGAAGATGGTACTGCTCGTGGTGTAGTTTTCACAGGAAGGCTCGACGGTTATTTTTCTTTGCGGTTTTACGCACCGGTCGGGAACATTGGCATTCCACTTGAGGCTAGATCCTAAAAAGACCTTTTTCCAAAAAGCGCCTGAGAACCCCATTTTTTGAAGTAAGCTCACGTATTAGCATATCAGCGAGATCGCCAAAAATTTATCTCACAGGTCAATCCGGTGGGCTCGTGTGTTCTGGCAGGCTGTATGTGACACAGCTCACTTGAGTTCGTGAGGCTTGGTCAGCGCAGGGCTAGAGTGCTGATCAACGTTGGTGTGACAACAACATGCTCCTGCAGGGTTTCAACGGGCACCAACGGCGGAGATCGCTGAGAATGTAAAAAGGATTCAGTTCCGTTTCGATGAGCTATGTAACTTCGACAACTGCGATTACTCTCACCACTTTAACTATCGGTCGCCGCCGGACTTTGCACCTTGCCGGTCTCCCGACAACTACTAAAGCTGATTTACAATATACAATAAGGTATGTATAAGGTATGTATAGTGGTGATCAATGCGCGTACTATTAGGTTTCTCAGACTCGCCAGGCCCAGATAGGCAATTACCTCATGCGTGCAAGACACTTCGGAGTCACACAAACTATGTACCTCGCCTCCTTCGTTCAAGCACCTGTGAGGTGCTTCCGTGTTTCATGGGACAAACGATTCCATTCGTCCACATATCGCGTCAGGGAGCACCCTAGAACCCTGTACGCAGCTTGGCTCACAGTGATATTATGTATACCCGTCATCTGATATTCCGTCAGCGCTTATCATGGTCCCCGCGTCGACGACGCAAGGACCGCTTCTGTCTGAAAACGTTCTGGTTGATTAAACATTGATCCCAGCCTTCGTCGAACCATCTTTGAAATATCATCCGATATCCTCGACCATGCTCGAGGGAGATCTGCGGTACCGCTGCAAAAATTTGAAATACTACCACTCTAATGCTCTTTGTGTCCATCCCTCAAAAGTGAGATGTCCAGGATCGTCTCGCAGAGGTCAACATGAAACGAGCACGTGAAGTCCTTCCGGTCCGCAGCCTGTGAACAGAAGATGCGTCCAATCTTCGTAAATTTCATCAACGGCCATCATAGAGCCCACAAACAACAAACGAATCGTTGCAACTTCACATGCACAATATCCTCGGCGTAAAGAGGTTAGAAGATACGACACAGGATACAGCGGACTCACGACGAATGACTGGCTTCTAAGTTCTCACAGCGACATACTATCACTTGTTATCTACTACTGTTTCTCAGACGATCACAAGAGCTTCCCCGAGACAAGATACTACGTACATCGTGCTACGGACCGCGTAGCCTAATGGAAGAGCCATTATACGGACAGTCGAGTTGGTACTTCTGCCCGAGGAGCAAATCGAAGCCGAGGTCAGAATATGGGATGGAGTTGTTCTCGCCCACCAGTTGTGGCATGTCATAATGACAACATCCCCTCCAAGTGTGAACTAATACCAAAGCTTGTATAGGCTCGATAAAACTTCTGATTAGTACAAGCTAGTACATGTTTTACAGATTCCACAGTAAAGTGTGGTATGGAGATTTATTCCTAGCAAAGAATAAGCTTTCCCCCACCCAAACTCAGAAGTAAAACGTGCCCAGCCTTCAGGTACCGGTGTTACAAACAAGGTATATTGATATCCAGATGAATGTAGCATGCACACTGGACGTCTATATAATGCATGCCAAATGAGAATTTACGAGTAGTCCGGTAGGAATGCTGAGGTGGGTCGCGGCGGAGTTTGTCAGGCCCAGAAAACATGGAGTACTGGCGTGGTTTCAACGAGGTCAGCTTCTAGAGTTAGCAAAGTGCCACTCACGAATCCTGAATGGCACGTGTACGGGAAGGGCGTGGTATGTCACGTCACCGCAATGTAACCACTGCCCCGAGTCTTTCTAGGGATAACACCTGGTCTTCACTGATTGGTGGGCAATCTTCCAAGTGGATGCACGTAATGCCTGTGGGATGCAAGGCCTCTTCGATTGGGATAAGAGTGGATATGGCGCCTGAAACAGTATGTGACCCAGGATCGACAACGTGTATCGTGCTGTCCTTAGCATTGCGAGGCTTCTTCAAGGGGCGTATCTTTCGACCCAAGACAGCCGAGGCCACATCCACCCCGACCACGCCTACATCAGCTTCACCTGACCTGGCATGTACCACCGAGAACAAAGATTCGAAATGGAAGTCGTTGCAACTCCAAAGAACCAGTTCTTCTAATCGCGGGCAAATGCGTACTCCACACGTTCTCGGTGCACAGCTGCCTCGCCCACCTGGAACAGAGCCATATGACTCCCCAAGCGCTTTCAACACCTCATCTACCCCAGTGCATCCTCCGAGCGTAAGGGAAATTATGCAGGGCATGTACGCCAGAGTGGCTTTGCCATGGCCAGGTGGGATATCGAAGTGAGAGAGTGTAAGGTGGGTGAGGTGAGGAAGGCGTGGATCTCTAAAGATAGACTCCAGACGAGACAATACGGGTAGACCGGATTCCTTGCGTAAATGTTGTCCCACGAACGCGATGTCAAGCTTCTCAAGAGAGGGAAACAGAAGCTGCCTGAGCGATGAACCAAGCGTATCTTCGCTGTGGCAGCTGATGTTAAGTTCCTTCAGCACGTTTAGTGTCACGGTATTTGAGAGCGGCCCCGCATGTGTGAAAGAATCCTGGTTGTGAATATGATTTCCGCGGAAGTGAGAGACTTCATAACGCTTCGTGGGAGGCTGTGCGATCAGAAGATCGAAGTGTTCCAGGCGAGGTAACACCAGAAAGGACAAGAAGGGATAAATATCTCTGGGATATGCAAACTTCCAATGAAGGCGCCTCAATGTGAGAATTTCAACCGCATTGACGGGTATACTACCCTCCGGGAGACGAGCGACCTGAAGATCTGTCTGAGTAATGTCCCAATAAAAGCTCACTCCCGTTATGATCAGCTCATGGAGCCGGGGAGTCTGGTGTAGCAACTGGACCATCTCTGACATCGTTTGTATGAAAAGTCCCTGCCTAGCGGTGGCAGTTCGCCGTGGTGGATATGAGAGCTCGAGGACCTGCACAGTCCGCAACAAGTAGGATGGTAGTCTTGCAGGTGGTACTTGTTCTAACCGTAGATCAGCGAGGACGCTGTCTGTCCATGTCTCATTCTCACTAGGCATTTCGTTCGTGGGTAGGTGGGGTAGTCGAATAGCACTGGGGTCTTGGGAACAGAGCGCAAGATCAAGATAACGGAGTTTAGGAAAACTTCTCTTGTGCATAGTGGAGAACACCGGTAGCATGGACGCCGCGAAGTGGCACTTAAATGTGATAGATCGCACTCGAGAGAAATGGGGCCCTAAGACCTGAATGAGTCCCTCCGAAGTATTACGTTCGGTAACAGCCATTTCCGCAGCATTTTGCATCACACCGTCCAACGGTGAGACGAAGGTGAAGGTGATTTCTGTGCTTCCTGAGCGATCTATAAAGGCCTGTAGCGGCGGTAGTTTGAAAGCAACGCATCTATAGGAGATGAACGACCAGAGTTGCGACGAAGTGAGCGAGAGTTGGCGCCACTTGTGGCATATGTGGGAGATGACCAATGGAGCTGGATTGTACGGAAGGCGAGCGGTCGTCTCCTCTGCAACAAAGACGAGAAAGATCTGGATCAAGAGTTCCGATGGGAGCCAGTTGATAGGGATTTTCTGGCTTTGAAGCTGCGCAACCCTCGAGTTCAGCACGGCCTTCTCTACCTGGACCGAATCCCGTAGTCGGGTCATGTCAGTGAGTATGCGAGTGAAATCATCCTCCCGACGTTGCAAGACAGCGAGCTGTGCAACAATGATCTCTATCTCCCTGTCGATAGTGTGTGAGTCGGGTCTTGCCATCCAGACCCCAGAGAGGATTGGTTCAAGGAAACTTGAGCAAGAAACCGAGGGTTATACGGCAACCCTCCCCAGGTATAAACAAAGGTCACATGTGAACACGAGGCAGCCCACTCGGTGTCTACCCCTATGTCCTCCAAATATCCCTCACCGAGTCCCAGCATCACGGTCAGTACCCAGGATGATCCAATTCTCCCGCCCGTCAATTGTTTTGTTCGATCTACTCCTTATCCCCACCTTTGTATGATAAAGACGCGGAAGAAATGTCAACTGTTCGACATCCAGAGACGCCCTCGGCTAAAGGAGACATGTAATCATAGGCGGACCAGCCTTGCTCCTTCCACATATCGGAAGTCCATGTTTCGAGTATATTACCCTCAGGTCTCGCCAGCCGCAGGTAGTAATCCCGACAGTCAAAACGGAGATATTCCTCTTTCGGCATCCCAACGCTTCCCCAGGATAACGATATCCGGAGAGCTTAATTCGTTTCTCGCGCATGGCTTTGTGTGACCCTCTTTGAGGTGTATGGTTCATGCAACGCACTGGTCCGTGATACTAGGTGTTCTCTGACATTTACTGTCCTGTTAGCTGATTGAAGTCTTGATTTCCTACAGTGGTTTGATCCCTTTTCCAAAGGGTTGTCAATCGGCAAGGCCAGCCCTCGTGGCATCTCAAAGTTGAAATTGATTTACCTCAGAGACAGGCAGCATTATATACCGTAAGTATCTGCAGATGATGATACGCCAAAATTGAACGAAGACGAGAAACTGCACTGTAATTTCATCATGAACGACATTGGGTCGACCATTACTCCGCCGTCCAACGACATCCGCCAGCTAAAGTAGGTAAGTGACTCGAAGGACTTACTCTGTAAGGTAACTCTAACACAGCTAACCGTGTCTGCGATCCTGACAATACACTGCTTTCCAGAGCGCGAACCGCGTGGTTTTCTTCATCTTATCTCTTACCTTTCAGAACCCGCCCATGGGTGTCACGCACTCCGATGTCAGCTAATTTGCTCTCGAGTCCTCACACATTCCATCGTTGTCTCTTGCCGACCGTTCTTTTCATGGATGGCATTATCCGGAGACCATTTCCTGCTTGCCGTGCCATCTTTTCGCCTCAAGTCGGTCGGTGTTATGTTCATTGAAGTGATCTTTAGCTGGTTACAGAGACCGCTGTTCGTTCCGTGGGCCGTTGATCATCGAAGGCATTTTCGCAAACCGGCGTTGCAGAGTTGGCTCAAGGCTTCCCAAAACGCATCCGTCTGCTACATACCTACGCCGGATTAGCAGAAGTGCCTTATCCATCATGAAGTGAACCAAAGGTGGACATGCATTTGTCTGGCGCAAGGCACTAGGCACCACTGCTGCGTCCCCAAACTCCAAGTGTCTCGCATTGGCTAATAACTTGAAAAGCTGATTGGAGAATATGCACCCTCCGGCTGTAATCTACACACTCATTCTCCAGCATCTTGACGGGCTTCGGAGTGTCAAGTCCTTTGTCTGAAATTGCAATCGATCAGACCGAGAAGTGGAGATAGGAAATTCTGATATTAAAGTAACTGCACCACGGCTATTTATTAAGACACGTTCCAATCAACCGTCGTCAAGTATCATCTGTGTAGAGTGAACTTACGGAAGTAGAGGCGATTCTTGCAGGAACGAGTAAACATGGTTCATGGTCGTATGTATATTTCTTTTCAATGCCGGAATGTGTGCTCGTCCCTGTTTACTCAGGCTGTCCGCTGTTGTGGTCTGACAGGTGCTTCAAGTTGTTGGGCGCGAGTTGATTAGAACGTCAGCGCCCATTTACGCGACATAACGTTAACTCACTCCACTAGATCTAGGAAACGTAGCGAAATTACGTGTGGTTCTCGTTGGTGGACCTCTACCGAGTAGCTTCCGAATCAGTATGCCGAGCCTTGCCTGCCTGCAGTTGACGACGCTGAACTTGGGGTGGAGGTCCGTTGATATGACAGAGGAGGGGGGGGGGGGGGATAGTTCTCTAGAGCCAATATTATTCCGACCGCGTAAGTCGTTCCAGAGGCTGCATGGAATAAAACCAAGAAGGTTGCGGGGGGAGTGACCAGTGGAGTAATATGTGAGTAATGCTTCCGTTTTGGGTCGAGAAGCCTGTGCGAGCAATTTGGTAACATCAGTTCTGCGCAGGATAAAAGGCCCTTGAGTGCGATCTGCAACCGCCCATCGTTTTCTTCTCATTCAACCACCGCCAGCTTGACCACCATGTCTGACACCGAGAATTTGAAACTCTACGAGAGACCTAGCTCCCGTCCAACCAAAATTGCCAATCCTGGTTCCCTGTGAGTTGCTGACATTATTCCGCCATTGCTGTCGTGCCAGATTCGCTAATCCTATCGTTCAGTGGTCTGTTCTCCTTCGCATCGACAACGTTCATTCTCTCTCTTTACAATGTGAACGCTCGCCACATTACTACCCCGAACGTCGTTCTCGGTATGGCTGTCTTCTGTGGAGGTCTCGCTCAGCTCCTTGCTGGCATGTGGGAGTTCCCCCGTGGCAACGTGTTTGGAGCGACTGGTGAGTTGCCTTGTTTCTTTGCTGCACATGGATGCTCCACGCTCCATGTTGGCCGCCCGTGCGCGCGGTGGGGTGATAGGATAATACCATCTGCCACATTGCTCCCGCCTGTCACACATCACTTGGTGATCCTTGCCTTCTATTTTTGTCAAGCTGCCTAGTACCTATCTCACACAGTTCGGTAATAGCATTCACCTCCTATGGCGCTTTCTGGATGTCGTTTGCCGTTATCCTCATTCCAGGATTCGGTGTCGGTGCTGCCTATTCCTCTACTGAGGAGTTTGAGCAGGCCGTCGGGATCTACTTGATCACATGGTTTGTCTTGACAGTCATGCTTCTGTAAGTTTTCTATGCTCTGTTGTACCGCTCGCAGTCTGAAATAGGAATCTGGCAGGATCGGTGCGCTCCGTCGTAACCTTAGTTTCATTGCACTGCTGTTCTTCTTGGCCATCACTTTCTTGCTTCTTGCTATCGGTGCCTGGACTGGCAAAACTGCTATCAACAAAGCAGGTGGCGGATTTGGTATCTTGACTGCTTGGATCGCGTACTACTGCGGCCTCAGCGAACTTCTTGTTAAGGGTGAGAGTTGGTTCACCCTGCCGCTCGGTACTATCAAGCAGGAGTGAGTTGATTGAGATGGGAGCGTTTCCTGTATGCGGCGTGGTGATGGCTCGATTTCCTCGGTGGTTATTACGTTTTATGACTAGCCCGCAACAACACACTCGTTTTGATATATAGTTTCTTGAAATTCCCGTACATTTATCCCACCTTCGTACTACCTGTAGTACCCCGTTCAATCCTCGTAACGTTCTAGCAGCCGTTGGTTGGAGGTCGTGACATCGAGCAGCATCGAGCGCATTACGTGGAGGTGCACATGTTGTAGTCAGATACCTGTTACCATAATGTTCAACCTGAGATCCATGGACTAGGGGCTTGTACAGTCACTCATGCAGGCCAGACAGCGCTTTGCTAGTGACCAAGCTCACACGTGGCACGATTCCTTGTGAATGCCATCACATGCTCATGGGCTGACTTTCTATGAAACTAACACATGTCATCGCCATAGGATGGAAGCAGACATGATCACTCCGGTCGGATCCTGCTGTGAAGGTGATATCTACTGATCCGAGATGTGGAGTGGTGAGCTCCAGACGGCCAGCTGTGGGTAGGCACATCAGCACGGATGGCATCGTGCGGCTCCTTACTTGCAGTGCACAGGATCATTTAGAACTACCAACTGCTGTGTATGTAGTAAAGTAGGTATGTAAGGAGCCTCGAGGAGACGAGAAGGTCCGGCACAGACCGAAACTCCGCTCTTCACCCTGTCCTGCCCGCACGCCCTCTGATTGCCATTCGCAAAAATAAGCGAGATATCTTTTTTTTTCTTTCTTTCTTTGTAGCCATCATGTCCTCCAACGTCCCCATCTCTCAAAACGACATCACTGCCCCAACACCGCAGAACACCCCTTTGACCCAGGCTCCAATTGCCCTAGGTCTATCTCGTCCAACGGTCCCGGACATTTCAGAAGATAGCGAACCCACAGAGACCGATGGTAACGATTCAAATCTCCTCCCTGGTGCTCATTCTGCAATGCTCGGTTTAGTCCAGGGACGCCTTGCAGATCTCGTCGGAAAGAGCTCTGGCTACATCGAGAGCTTGCCTGTCGAAGTGAAAAAGAGCATCGAGGCACTTAAGGGGGTGCAAGTGAAGCAGAACGAACTGCAAAATCAATTCAGGAGAGAGTGCCTAGAGCTCGAGAAGAAGGTACGTAAAATCGCATTATACAATCTCATCTGGTGACCCCTACCCCTTCTATGTCATCAGTATCTCGAACTCCAAAAACCGTTGTATGAGCGACGCCGAGCCATCATTTCCGGTACGGCCAAGGGCACACAGGAAGAAATCGATGCTGGCATACAGGCCTCATTGAAAGATAATGAAGAGTACTCGCCAATACCTGCGGATGCCCCTGGAGACCCTGCCCCAATCCCCGAGTTTTGGCTCACGGCTCTGCGTAATCATGTGGGGTTGTCGGAGCTTATTACCGAACGCGATGCTGGCGCACTCAAAAAACTTACTGATATCCGCCTTTCCTATCTCCCCAGCGATCAGCCGAAGCCAGGCTTTAAGATCGCATTCCATTTCAGCCCCAACGAATACTTTGACAACGAGGTGTTGGAGAAAACGTACCTCTATCAGGAAGAAGTTGGATATTCCGGCGACTTCGTGTACGATCGCGCGATCGGCACGGAGATCAAGTGGAAGGAGGATAAGGACCTAACGAAGGAGTTTGAAATCAAAAAGCAACGCAACAAAAGTAAGTTGATGACCCCGTTTTTGATTTCAGAAGTCCTAATCTGATATATCAGACACGAATCGCACCCGCCTGGTCCGGAAGACCCGGCCAACCGATTCCTTCTTTAACTTCTTCAGCCCACCCGTTCCTCCAGCCGGTGAGGACGAACTTGACGATGATGAGCTCGAAGATTTGGAAGAGAAACTGGAGATGGACTACCAGATCGGCGAAGATCTCAAGGAGAAGGTTCCATTTCCTTGCCTTCTCCATCATCGTACAGTTAATTGACTTTCCCCAGATCATCCCTCGTGCGATCGATTACTTCACGGGAAAGGCTCTCGAATACGATATGCTGGAGGAAGAGGACGACTTCGATGATTTCGATGACGATGACGAGGGCCGTTTTGACGACGACGTATGAGTATCCTTACCTGCAAAGCACACAGGTATGTTAATAGACTCCCTAGGATTCCGAATCAGACAACGAGCCTCCCGCAAGACGACGAGGTCCTCCAAAAGGCCGTGGTGGTAGCGGCGCCGTTAATCCCGAGGAATGTAAGAACCAGTAAAGGGTGGTTTTGTTAATGTTACCGTTTTATGAGTTGACTTTCGATTCCTCTCACGTTGCCATCCTTCAACTCTTTTGTATATTTCATCCGAGCGTGTTCGGTCTTGTACTCAGAAATCTGACCTTTTCCTCTCGCTTCTCTTTCATCTTGTCTTGCCACGTTGTGCTGCTGGTTACACATCACTTAATGAGGTCGAGTCGTTAATTGTTACGAGAGCTCCTAAGACAAGATATCCTGCAAGTAGCCCATTGCCGAAATACTACAGTAAGTCCTGAGGTAGTTGGAAACGTACCCAGAACAAATGAAAGGCATTTGGATTGCAAAGAGTGATATCGGGTCCTAGATAAGAGTCCCGGGTATAACAAATAGTACATAAGGATATACAATACCATCAACGAATGCTCTACGAAACTGAAGGACAGGGAGTTGTGGATCCAACGACAGGAAGCATTTGTTAGTACGAGCGATCAACCACAGAAGTCAACGACAAGTTGCAGGGATCTCGTTTGAAGCCTGGCATTTACTGCTCAGAGGGTTGACCACCTTCACTAGGTTGCTTGTCGATCGCAGCGGCACCGGGTGTTTGGTATATGTATGCTATGCCCGTTCCACCCTGGTAGGACACGTACTCGCTACCAAAAGGTTCCGCAGTACTGATGTTAGAGAAGACGTAGAAGGTGGTCTTCCCCCCGGCACTGTCGAACTGCTCCAGAATGGGCAACGGAAGGGTGAAATTCCAAGTGAAAGGCACGTAGTCCGTATTAGCACACCCGGCCAGTTGGGCTTCGGTAGAGGTGTGGTTGATCTGCGCAACGGACAGAAGGTTACTGTTGGTACCTGCGTAGAACGTGTAAGGCTCAAAACCGGTGCCGCGAGCTTCAGCGCGACCCAGGAAGAAGGCGTTGTATTCTGTATTGACGACAGATGAAAAAAATTCGTACAACAGGCAACAACTTCTTACCGCTCGAATTTGGGGCACGAGAACTCTCGTAAATGAACGTATCGCCAAAGGCCGTTCCTGTGGACCGGAAGGCACGTATAGCGTAGTTAACAGCGAGTGATTGAACGGGCTGTTGGGCGAACATGTGTAACAACAGCGACTGAGCGGTAAGCGTCACTTCCTGACCCCATGGGAATTGGACTGGAGCCAACATGACTAGCACGATAATCAGGAAGGTGCTGAGAGCAAACAAAGAATTTCCTACGTGTGGCCACGGGTCACCGGGATACCGCTGAAGAGACCTTCGGTCAACTGGCCAATAATCCAGCCTGCATATGGAGAGAACTTGTCCAACATAATACTATGTCACAACAAGTAAGCCTTATGAAGACAGCGTATATGTAGGGTGGGGCCACGCACGACTCAGTTCCGAATGAACCGGTTAACCCATTCAAATTCAGCGTGGTGTTGAACCAAGTTTGACTGTTATCCCACGTGAGGGTATTCTGTCCGATCGAAATGGAGTACGTGGAAGAATTAGTGTAGGTAAGTTTCTCCCCTGTGATGCGCGTGTAGAAGATCGTTCCGTTCGCGAACCGTGCAGAGACTTCAAACGAGCCGTTGGCTGGCACAGAATTATAGCAGGAAGGCTCTCCCTGCAACCAGCGCAAATTCAGGAAGATGTCCGACTGATAAATAGTTAGGTCCCATCTCTCCCAACCACTCGAAGCATCAGGACTGATGTTAGGGAGTGTATCGATAGCAAGGTCGGTGGGGCGCGAGGTGAGTGTGCCAGAACAATTGTTGTAGGGGCCAATAGTGGAACGACCAAAGCTGCCTCCGGGAATGAACTCAGCAGCGACCACAGGGACCAATGCCAGTAGGGAACGCAGGATGCGCATCTCGACAAGTCGCGAGTTCTGAGGGCTGATACTCAGGACCTAAGCTACCAGGGGGTGGGTTTTATGCATTTGACGTGCCGTGGTGGATCTTTTTGTAAGTCGGTTCATGCGCGGCGTGAAGGCGGTCATGACTGTGAGCCATCGGCTGTTAGGCTGCGTAACTATTTCCTTTCTACGGAGGCGAACTTGTCCCAGTTGGCAGTTTGGCGGTCACTTACTGACAATGCGGCCACCGCCTTGGCAGGACTGAAGGTGCTAATGCGCCCCCCTAACACTTACCTCCATTGGGTCCTTGAGGGGGCGTTTCAGGATGGTGCCAAGACAGGATCAGTTGTGCGTGCTCTCAGTTGGCGGGCACACTCACAGGAATATTACGTTGACGTTCTGATTGATGTGGCGTGAGCTCCTGAGATCCGACTGGCGGATCGTGCACTTAATCGCCTAAACGTCACAGTCAAAAATAAATCTATTAAACTTGGGACGTGGACCCTTGCAAGGACATTTCCTCGTCAGCCATTAGACATTATGGTACACCTCCGACAATGGCTAAGCTGGAAAGATAAAAGTTGTCAGAATATACCTTGGAACAGCCGCATCCCCGCACTGAAGTGCTGGTCTTTTCGAAAATGAATTTGAAGTCGAGCTTACATAAGTAATACCATCTTGGTTGATGCGATGATATACCGCTCTGGTCCGGTCACATCATCATGGCCAGCACTGCTTGACGTGCATTGGCCCCTGTAGTCAAATGGACAGCTAATAGTTTGAGCAGTGTAAGGCTGGTATTATGCTAGCCAACATTCGAACCGGCAAGGCATGAATTTTGAGATAAGAATTAGATATCACTGTACGATGTTCTTCGTGCTATTAGTACATTGGGTTACCGAGAGCGGCATATCTTGCCAGCCCCCTAGACTCTGGAGTCAAGATTTTTTGAAGCCTGATGTCTGGATCGGACTTGCAGGCTGCATGGCAAACAGCCGTAACACCGAAGTAGCCCTTCAGGACCTCGGGCAAATACATATAAGTACTGATTATCGACAGTGGGCCTTATTTCCATCCGAGTCTCGGCTGTCTGGACTAACACCCGTGGAATTCCATTTGATTTCGAAATGATACACGCCGGGCCCAGTGATTGTCGCCAGTGTGCTTGCGCTTGAATTTCATTCAAATCTATGCGTTGTTTATACGCCACCACAGCACGCCACATAGTCAATAGAGCACTAGTACTCTGAGCGCCATTAGTACTAAGTCGCTGTTCGGAATGCTTAGGTATGGTTAGGGCGGCGGGACCGCCCTGCGGAAGGTTTGACTTATGTAATCAAAGTTTTCGGGGATTGCCGTTTCGCGTTAATGACCTCGCACGAGAGTGTGCGTGACCGCGACCGAAACACAGCAAATATTCGTAGAAGGTCAGGTCAGATTTCTAGGTACAGTCTTGCAGGCCAACGGCCAGGTAGACCAGCACGATGCTGAAGCCGGATATGTCGGACTTCACGAGTTGGGATGGCAATCACACCCCTCGAGATAGACTTCAACACCCTATCCCGTCCAATCTTGCTTCCGAGTTGTGTCTTACTGCTGGAAATCATCAAGACCTCTTCGCGTTCGAACACGTTCAACTCCAACGTTTTGGACAGAAATCCAGTTCTGGGGTACCCTCTGACTTCGAGCTCCAGGTACCAATGGGCCTAGCTTGATCTTCCTCGCTCTTGCTCATATTGCATTTCGTATTTTGTCCCAGCTACTGCGACATCACGCGCGGTCATTTACCCCAACCACAGATCTACGCCGTTCCAGCCTTTCTAATCTTTCAACTCCATCGTCAATATCTGTACACCTGCCATCTGAACAACCTGAACTTTCGGTCCGTGATTTCCATCCGTGGCTCCCATGAATCTCAATATGTTTGATATAGCAAGGCCACGATGAAGTAATTTTTCAAGACATTCCACCACTTAATCGTTCGATTTGTGCACCAGAAATGTCATTGTCTCAAACTGTAAATTCTGAAAGCAATCGCCAAGCAATCAATGGATCATCGAAAAGCACCATTCCGACAAAGGATCACCCAGATGTCATAGATCTCACCCTTAGTGACGGGGATGTCGAGCAACTTGTGAGTCTCGTGGACTGTGACTCGACATTTTAACGTATTGTTCTCCTTTAGCCAGTTGTTACTAGGGACTCTTCTCCAATCGGTTGGATGGAACCGCTATTCACACCACCTCCCACTAGGAGGCGGCCGCGCGTCCTCATGGACCACGTGGCTGTCCCTTCACTTCCGAAGGGAACAACAAAGGCTGAATATACGCCGATGCCTGCTTCGCCTGGCCCGTCTGCGCATCCACCACGTGCTATGTCACGCGTTTCCGTCTGCGATGCACCTCAAATTGTTTTCAGCGAAAATAGTGTTTCCTACTCAAGGGCGGACAAAGGTAAAGGACGCGCTGATCCCCCCGTTCCAATCTCTTCCCCTGTATCGGTTCCAAGGAAGAAAAGGAAGCATATCCCGGCGTATCTTGGGGAAGGGGTTGACACGAGTGGGAATGCCCTTATTAACGCCTTCTGTACGCACACTGTGTTACCCCTCGCGGATACCGACACAGAGACGTTCCCCCATTGGAAAGCCATTATCACCGACTCGCGGTTTACATTTACCAGGCAGTTCAACAAACATATGCCAGCGTCGAGTCCTGACGAAGTCGGATTGGTCACGAAGCATCACCTTCAAGTCACAGAAGGGACACTTGTCGACTCACAAGGTGTATCTGTGCGCGTCACTTCCGCGGACTCGGGTTGTATGTCATTGCAAGAACGGCCTACTTGGGAATTGACTCCCCCATTCGTCTCGCCTAAAATCATCCCTGGCGATAAGCATCGACAGACAGAGCAAACACCACGAAAATCGAACCCGACATCCCATGATGGTGGTGTTCTCGAGTCTCGCCCTTCGAAACCATCATTGGCACCGTTCGGACCATCGGATTATCCACCAGCGATCAGCGGTTCTGGTTCCGACAGGGGTGTTGTGTTAGGAACTGATGAAGACGTTGACTTGAACCAATACTTCAATGAGCTGGGGGACTCACCGAATAAGCAATTGCCGACCTCTTGCGAGGACCACACGTTTGGGTCTACTTTCGCAGGTCCATTGCATCCCAACGAGCAGCTTATGGGGCTGTCGTCATTTGGAGGGGATCACTTTCTTGGTATGCCCTCCAGCCCTAGTTGTGGTGACCCTGGGCAACTTCCCGCTTCTGCGTCGCCATCTGTATTCTTGGCGGGCCACGACACAGATCAGGATGCACTACTGAGCTTTCGTGATAGTCATTCATCGAACCGGTGGAGTCTTGGAAACGACATTGATTCTCCTGACCTTGGTGACATTTTGATCTCCCAGGAGTCTGGCACCATTGATCCCTCCCTTCTTGGTGGAGAACAGGCTGCTCCATCGGGGGGATCCACTTCTGGAGGAAGAAAACAGAAGCCACGGTCGGCCTTTCCGGAGCCGATCGTCTACGTTCGCCGTCCGGAGGACGTGTCCGGCATGCGGGGTGGCAAGAAGCTTGTACAAATCAAGTTCCGTGAGCAAGAGAGCCCTAACATGGGTCATCACATAGAGGGGACTGCAGTTGCGGTCCCATCGAACTACACGACGAAGGAAGCGAAGGACCAACTACCTGACGACGGAGCTGGGGACGATTCGGATTGGCTTCCTAGTGGTTCAAGAGTTCCTTCAGCGTCTAAGCGTAATAAGAAGCCGCGTGTCTCTCGCAACTCCATTAGTATGGTCGAATCGGACTTGGAATCATACGTGCCATCAGCTGCAGCAGATGTCCCTTCAGTATCCCTCCGATCGAGTAGCGATAAAATCCGTATCCGCCTCAAGGGCCCTCGGCGACCCGAAGGAACCACAGATGATATTCCTTCCACCGAGGGGAAAACATTCTGCCATCAGTGCCGGAATACGACTAATCGTCCCAAGATGCGATGTTCGAACAACGTTCGTGGCGGGGCGTGTGGAAAACGGTTTTGTCAACGGTGTATTGAGAGACGGTATGCTTCTTTTTGCTCGTTTGTCTGTATTGTCTGTATTCTTATATCCTTTGTACCTCTGCTGTCAATTTGATCGTATAGATACCCCGACATCACATTTGACCGGTTTAGCGGCGGTTTCCTCTGTCCATACTGCACGAACACATGCAACTGTTCGACGTGTTCGCGGAAGAGAGGAGAGGATTTCGTTTCGATGTCTAACTCAATCACCGGCCCCCGCATTCAGCCAACCGTCACCGTCGTACGACGTAGTGCACCAGCCACACCGGCAGGCGGGGATGCGAGCGCCACTGCAGTGTCAGGGCCTTCTACACAATCTGCACCGAATTTCTGGGCACATGTGTATGGTTTAGAAGGGGAGCATCTTGGGTTCGCCTACCGGAAAGAAACGTCCCATGGACGCGGATCATCGAAGAAACGACCTCCAAGGGTCTTCATAGGACGTGCCCTCGAGTCCTGGAAGGTTCGTTCCGTGCGGAATCTCGAATCTATGCCAGACAAGGTTACCACTTTCATCGAAAATTCGGAGAAGCATGGCAAGGGAAAAGGCAAGGCTACTGACCCTTCGCTACGTTTATTCATCGGAAACCGTGCTGCTCTTCACGAACCATTTGAACCGATCTTTTCTGCACCATCATCCGCATCGTCACTGTTAACGTCACCCGATCTTGGCTGTGAAGACAGGCTATTACAGGTGCCTGAGATGGAAGGATATTGGCCTCAGCCCGACGTCGGTGAGTCATGCGTTTGGCAACCGCCGCCTCTTCTCGGGCTGGAACGCGGTCTCTCACTCCCTTTGTCGGATGAACAAGTAGCAAGAGCCATCCAGGTCGCGCTTGCCGCTCTTTCAGTGATCTTTGCAAAAGCAGTTAACGCAGATTTAGCTCGTCTTAATCCCCTCTTGATGTAGATTCTTCGGAATGCCAAGTCACAATAAACGCTTCCTGATGTTGGGACGTGACGCGTCCCTCTGCCATGGTGATACACCATCATTGTTTCTCTACCGGTGCGTCTACATAGTGGCTACATACGCATTTGGATTGTACACAACTGCAGCATAGTTGGGGAGTATCTACAAGACCAGTACACTTTTACATCGGAGCAAGTGAAAGCGGAACCCTTACACATACACAGAACATAATAGGAAATGTACCTGATCATTTTAACCAAAAAGCAGTCGGAGCGTGTACGCCGTCAGCCCCGTCATGGTTCCAATCATCAGAATGTACTGAGGAATCAAGTATGCTGAAAGATGTCCAGCGGTTCCTGTTCCGGAGTACACTTGCGTTAAATAGACCTATGCAATCAAATTAGAACAATTTTCCCAGGAGGGACTGTAACTACCTGTGTCGTTGCGGTAGGGAGGCATGAGAAGAAGCTGAGGAAAAAGGATCAGGGCGATATTCTCCCAGAGATTGTACAACACTGACATGCAAACAAATCTTAACACCTTATCCTCAGCACTGATAAAGCCGACGTGAGTTAGGCCTTGACATATTAGAACACCCAGGATGGGCATAACGACTAAGCGTGCGGTTGCAAGGGCACCGATGGACGCAAGAGGAAATTTCCGCCAACTGCCGCTCGGAATTTCGAGCCTTGCTATGGCAGATCCGAGAGTCATTAGGCCGATAGGGACAGAGGCAGCTCCAATGAATGTTGCCGTGTCTAGAAGGAAGGCAAGTGGAGGTTGACCATCGGGGGCGGACGGCATGTTCACTCCTGGAACACCAGCGACGAACAGTGCCTTCAGCGTCGGAACCACTGATATGATAAAAGATATCACAATAGAGAGTGACGGTGGGGATGAAGCGGAGCGAACCGCATTGCAGAAACCGCGAAGTATCCGCCTTGTCGCGGGGACGCGTATTTTGGCCGTTGTCTCTAAATTTTCCTTTTTACCCTCGGTCCCCAGGGCCGTTGGGACTGAGGTTGCATTTTCAGAATGAATATTTTCTTCCGTAGATATCACCGTTTCGCATGCCTCCAGGTCGCTGTCAGCACCTCCAGGCGTGGTTCTTTTGCTACGGCGGCATAGCATCCAAGTGCCAAGCCTCGCAAGACTGCCAATCACTCTTTTCTGTTTGAGGCGAAGTTGTGCTTGTATTTCTTCATCTTCTATATCTGGGCCATCGAAATCTGTCTCTAACCACCTCACAGCCCCAAATGTGAACAGTGTGACCTAGAAGACGATAAGTTATAGTATGGCTGAGCGAAGTATGTTTGTGCTGACGCAAAAAACCAGGAGAAAGGCTGCGAGGTAAGCTACTGCCAAGTTTTCATCCTGAGTACCATTAAAGGGTGCAGAGGCCATTAACGTCATAACTACCGATGTTGCTGTAGCACGATGATCAAGAAAAGAACAGGAGATGCAATTTAGGACACACGAATATCTCCTACGTTGGCCCATCCACCCGCGATAAGGATGCCGTACCGAAATCTGTGTGGAACCCAGAAGATTTGCTTGATAAGCCATGACAGCGTTATCCCGATGGTCTCATAAGTCAAGGCCACCAGAACGAGTGGACCTAAGGTAATTGCCGAATTCACTACGCATTAGCTGTGCAGGGCTGCGAGACTGCCTACCAAGCGCGCTGATATTCTGTGAATTAAAAACCGGAATAATCTTTGAGAACATCAACATTGGGAATGCGATACCCTGACAGGAGCGGTGCAAGATGTCAGGGAAACTTTGTGCCGACGCTGACCCAGGTACCTCACAAGTACAATCTGACCTATACCTCGTGCAACAGGCCGGAGAGAGGATTCCAAGCTTTGCCATCACAAATCCACATCCTACATTAAGGAGGCTGCGTCTGTGAGAAAACTTGAAGGGAAGGGCTAGGTTTGTTTCGGTGCTTACAGGCGTATAAGGGGTTGAACAGAAACCCAAAGGAGTGTTCCAGAGGAGATGTTCATGGGTGAGAGGGCACATACTCTATAATCGAGGAGCTGAATAAATACGGACCGAAGCTGCCATAGCCGCTCCCGCGAGTGACGACACTCAGGCAACGGGCGACGGGTCCCTTTGACAGGCGCAGGGTTTGTACTGTTACACTTAGTAATTGGGATTACAGTCTGCCTGTTAGCTGGCCAGAGAACGATGATTGGGGGTATCAATACGAGTACGTACGCGGTCAATGTATTGCCTGAGCGAATTCCACGCACACTGAGAGAAACTGAGAGTGTGAGACATCGTCATATATACTATACCGGCGGCGCATGCTGGCGACAGCTGTATACGATAATTAGGAGGTGTCAAGTCGACCACCCTGCTGAAAACCGAAGAATTAACTCGAAGAAATCCGATGAGTGTACTTCGCAGTTGTAATTTTGACTACGTACGGTCCCAGACACTATCTTCCAGATGGAGGTCTAGCTGCTATGCGGACACTAAATGTCAGTTTGATTACTGCTCTAGCGTCGGAAGTGTCGAGTATATATGTGCAAGCTAGTCTGTCTGTCAGGAACACTATCACGAGGATAAACGTGGGACCAACCTACCAAATGCGGTGTGCCCTTAACCAGTGCTGCTCCGCGAGTGGCTCATCAAGACAAAAAAGCGGGGGGCCGAACGTTGTTGCAGCGTGGTTTGACGACTTCTCGCTTATTTTGCTCCATCTAGGGGGCTTGAGCCATGACGTCGCCATACAAAACCCCTTCAGTTTACAGCCATGGTGCTGCCAGTAGTGCGGGCGTGGTATCTTCTCAGTGGCAAGCAGCTTACCAGACCCTACTAGGCACCGTGGAACCACTACAACAAGTCAAGCTGTTATCTGCACTCCGAAGTGGTTAGTTGTCGTAATCTTTCAACCGCCAGGATATACCTTAATATCCTTCGTCCAGGTGACCCTTCGTTGATCCACCCCTTTCTGGCCGAAATTAGCAAGGAGCGACGCGGATCACAGGACGGGGAGCTTAATACGGGTGCAGCAGCTCTACATCTTGCTATTCGCTGTGCCTCTGGTGAGTATTAAGTTCTCGCCGTCCAACCTCCTTCGCCCCTTACAGGTTGTAGTGGATACCGTACAGCTTCTATTATCACATAAAGCAATCTCTCCCAGTGGCGTGCACCCCCCTGGTAGTGGCACGACCGCTTTGCATCTTGCTGCTTCCCTCGGTCGTGCAGATATACTCAATCTTCTCCTCGACCAGCCAGATATTGATGATACTTTGCGGGACAGTCACGGACGCACGTGCAGGGATGTTGCAAAGGGAAAAGAGGCTATCAAAGTACTGCAAGGTAGTTTGCATATGTCTGATCAGCGCACAGTATTGACACAGGGTAGATTCGCGTTCATTTCTCAACGCATCTTACAGATCTCTCTTCCATTCCTATGTCCTTTCCAACGTCGACGCACAGCCAAGCCCATCGCTCGTTTCTCTCCTTGAGTCTCCCCGTGCGCGTGCACTAGATCTGTCGTATTTGGACGATACTTCTGGGACATCGTTGTTACACGAAGCGGCCCGTCGCAAGGATCTCAGGCTCGTTGAATTGGCAGTACACGCCGGTGCGGACGTGTTCGTGCGTGACAGACAAGGTAAAATGTCGTACGATGGTCTAGGGAAAGGATGACCGCGTGCGCGTCTTTTTACGACAATGTAGGTTTCCTGTCATTACTCATCTCATCTCCGCTGATATTGACATAGTTGCTAACCGCGATACATCCCTCATCGATGGTCCGGTATCCGAGCCCCCCGTGTTGCGGGGATACCTGAACAAGTACACGAACGTTGCGCGCGGGTACAACACCCGCTGGTTCGTGCTCAAAGACGGTGTCTTATCTTGTTCGTTGTCGTGTGCACCAGTTGAAGTGCAAACTTCTCACCTTTTCCTTAGATTATCGACACCAAGAAGACGAAAACATTGCAAGTAGAGGTGCTATATCCTTAAAAACCGCTATTTTAAAGACGGGAAATAGCGGAGATAAGACCCGGTTCGAGGTTCATTCCTTGCCATCGCGTAGTCATGCTTCTGGAGTTCAGAAGTGGTATATGAGGGCAAATCACCCTGTTGAAGCAGCGCGTTGGACGCAGGCTATCAGTAACAGCTATGGAGTGGGCCAGACGCCATGATCTCGGACAGCTATCTGTCCCCAGAGGAAGCGGTGATAGCGACCGCAGCGCATTAAAACTAGGGAAAGTGAGTCTCCACTTAGGAACCAAGCGGAAGGTGGATCTTGGCACACATAGTATCCGAGGGTCACAAGGATCATTCGTGGACATGCGAGAAGATGGCGGAGGTGCAATGCTCGGTGATGTCAGTGAAGATGCTATAAACGATGAGTACGACACTGAATACGAAGGGCGCTGTAATGATGGCTCGCTCTCCTCCCTTTCAACGTGGCCCCCGCACGAATCGACTTTCGATTTGCAAGGAAATTCCCTTGCTGCGCAGATGGAGGTTACGGTACAGCTGCTTTCAAGTTTACCCCCTCCGCCAGACACACCCCCGCGTGCGAAGGAGTTGCAGGCAGCATTAAAAGAGTCATTTTTAACCGTGCAAACGATGGTGAACGAGTATGTGCAAATGTCTAAGGAAAGAGAGGAGTGGTGGAGATCGCAGCTGCGGAGAGAACGTGAACGTCAAACTGTGTGGGAAGAAAGTCTTCAGGCCGTGGTCCGAGAAGGAGAGACGCTCGAGAAGGAGCTCCGTGCACGTTCCCGTAGGCGTGGAAGCAGGTTTTTCGATGCCACCTCTCTTGAGACCGGGGGGACATCTAAATCAATACCCTGGAGCCCGCCATTGTTGCCTACAGTTGTACAAGAACACGATGTTCTGGAGGAACATTCTTCTCACCCAGAAGAACGTCCAATTGGGCTTGTCGCATCGGCATCTAGAGTCATCACCTCAGCACAACCAGCGGCGCCCACGACGCCGACACAACAAAACATTTCACGGTTCCAGTCACCGAACTCGGAGGAAGATGAAGATATCATAGATACTGAAGAAGAAGACGAGTTTTTTGACGCCATAGAGTTCAACAACCTCCCGAATCTTGTCGTCAGCGAACTTTTAACTAGTCCGACGCACTCCGCGCTCACGCTACCTCATGTCGTCAACTTAGAGCCCTTCGTAGGGTACAGAGCGTTCAGGACCCAACTTCCTATCAACCGCGACAATCGACCATCAACCAGCCTTTGGTCTGTCCTTAAGCACAGCATCGGGAAGGATTTAACGAGAATCAGCTTCCCTGTGTTTTTCAACGAACCCACCAGCATGTTGCAACGGATGGTAGGCGTCCGTCTTTAACGACATACACTAGTACTTACTCCTTTGTTAGGCCGAAGACATGGAGTTTTCTGAATGTTGTCAGTAATCTCCCTGGTAGCAGGCAGGAATTCATATATTGACCATGCTCTAGTGGATGTGGCTGCTCGGGAATCCAATCCACATCGGCGAATAGCTTTCGTTGCTGCATTCGCAATGTCAAACTATTCTTCGACTATTGGACGTATTGCAAAGCCTTTTAATCCAATGTTGGTAAGTCTCATCGTTTATATTGGCGTGCCTTGCCTTACCACACCGCAGGGCGAGACGTTTGAATATGTTAGATTAGACAAGGAATATAGATATATGTCCGAACAAGTTAGCCATCATCCCCCAATTTCAGCCTGCTGGGCAGAGTCACCGTATTGGCGGTATTATGGAGAGGTCAGGAAAGCACCCGCATTTTACGAGTTTCATGGCTCACAGGTGCCGTCCGTCCAGGTCGACGCCCAAAATAAATTCATGGGAAAGTCGTTCGAAATTCGCCCGACGGGTGTCGCACATGCTGAGCTCCTGCTGCCGGAAGAGTGGGCTCCTCGGTACCCTAAGGCCAAAGGATTCGGTGGGGAGGGGAAGGTTGTGGAACACTACTCTTGGAAAAAGGTCACCACCAGCGTATCTGGGTTCATTCTGGGATCGCCTACCATTGACCACTATGGGGATATGATTGTAAGTGTGCGTGCGAATGAAAGCCGGCAAGATACCCTGACTGCAAATTTTTAGATTACCAACCATCGAACAGGAGACCGGTGTATTCTGACGTTCAAGCCGCGAGGTTGGCGCGGCAAGGACGCCTATGAAATTTCGGGCTCCGTACGGACCGCGGATGGACAAGTTACCTATGAGATTGCAGGTCGCTGGAACAGCCAATTGATTTGTCGTGCCGTGGGTACTGGCAGTGGGTTCCTCCATCCGGATGCGACTGTCAGTGGACCTGCGTCTCCAAACTACATGACGGAGTACATCTTACTCTGGAGAAACTCGGAGAAAGAACCGGCGCCATTCAACTTGACCCCATTTGCAATTACATTGAATGACTGTCCCAAAGATACTCTTCAGCCGTATCTCTGCACCACCGATTGCCGCCTGCGTCCCGACCAGCGTGCTTTCGAAATGGGGAAATACGAACGAGCAAATGACTTGAAGATCAAGCAGGAGGAGAAACAACGGGCAACCCGAAGGGCCAGAGAGGAAGGGCGGATACCGCCTCATCAGCCCAGATGGTTCACAACGCAGACAGATGGCGACACTGGGGAGCGAGTGTGGACACCCTCCCGTATAGGTGACGCACTTGAATATTGGGCAGAGCGAGAGAGAATCTGGAGATTGGGTGGAAATCAACCGTGGAAGAATGTGAACCCTATTTTCATCGATGATTTACCCTAGCATCATGGGTTTTTTTTGACTATCTTATAGTTGTTCTTTTCGGGTATTTATGTAAAGAGGTTACTTCGGCTTATAGGGACAAGGGCAAAGAGTGCCCGCCAATTAAGGGGGAACTCGCAAGTGGTGTCTGTGCGACTGAGGAGTGCAGATTGCCCTCGGAGTTTAACCTAGGGAGGACTGCGTTCCTTCAACACTAGTGCATGCCGAGGAACCCACTGTGCTGATTGGACAACCGAAGTTCTTGTCCAAGAACCTGATTCCCCCATGGATGATCTCAACAAGCTCGGCCTAGCGACAGCCTCTGCAAAAGCAAGGAAGAGTTATCGCGAGGGTGGAATACCAATTGGCGCTGCCTTGGTCTACCACGGCTCATCGCTTGATCTCAGCAATGCAGTCGTCCTGGGATGTTCACATAACCAGAGAATTCAGAAGTCGTCCCCAACACTGCACGCTGAGATAGCCACTTTGGAGGACGCCGGACGGCTGAAAGCGGATGTCTACACAAAGTCCACGATGGTGAGTTTTCAGGGGAACGAAAGTAGCGAAGATGTCGTTTTCTAATGCGACAAGATGGTCAGTACACAACGCTCAGGTAATTTCTATCTGCAACATGTAACACAGGCAGAAATCATGAGTGCATATAGTCCCTGTTCGATGTGCACAGGCGCGATTTTACTTTACAAGATACCTCGCGTGGTCATCGGAGAAAACAAGAACTTTGTGGGAGGGGAGAAGCTACTGAAGGAGCATGGGGTCGAGGTCAAGGTCGCCGGTGACACTGAATGCGAAGAGCTCATGGCACGTTTCATCAAGGAAAAACCCGAGGTTGGCAAGGTTCATCTCTATTCTACAAACTACGCTCGTTAAGACGTGAATCTTGCAGGAATGGAATGAGGATATCGGGGAGTTATAGTGCTGAGAAACTGCCGGACGTGTATCTATCAGCCTTATCGCTTGCGAGACAGGTGTGGTTATCTAACCGTTAAACTATGGCGCAGAAATCGTAGCAGTGACAGCCTCTCCAAAGCCGTCTTTTGTTACCTCGCGGAGGCTGAGATCGACATCTCCAGAACTTGATATTTTCACTTGGACCTGCATCTTCGTCTTGCCCCCCACAACATGCCGAGGAGACAGCGTCAAAGACGAGAGGTAAGTCTCCTTCGACAGCGTTTTTTGTTTAATTTCTTCGAATTCCTCGTCTTCATTTGGCTCCTCGTCCTCGAGTTTCGGTAATGGAAGGTGGTCGATCTTGACACCTTCCTTCACCTCCCAAACTTCGAAACCAACTTTTGAATCAGGCTCGGGGACATCCACTTGGAACGACAGCTTTCGCCGACAAGGAAGCGGCGTCTCTTTCAACACAAGGGGTATCCAAATCCCCCCCATGCTCCCTTCGGCTTCCTCTCGAGGGACGAGAAGACCTATGGTACGGGTTGTGGCAGTGGTACTTATCAGCTCGCTTCCCCTGTTAAATGCTGTAGGGAGATCTGCAAAGTGGCGGGAGAGGGTAAATAGAAGCTGTGCTTGCAGGGCACATCCTCGAGCCAGGATGGTTGTAGGATCACCGACACCTCCACCAACGACTGTACCGGCCTTGAATGGTGTTATGACAGACTCAGAGAATCCTTGAGATAAAGTTTCGTCCAATCCTGGAAGGCAAGCGGATCCGCCAATGTAAACGATTTCATCGACATCAAGAAGATCCATCTCTGCACGTGCGACGACTTCCTTTGCCCTGTCATAAACTTTGTTGTAAATCGAGCGGACTTCCATGTCGAAGCGAAGGCGATTGATAGAACCGGTATAATCCAAACCGTCTTTGAGGGACTCTACGGAACAGGTAGCAGCGCCTGGACTTGCACTCAGCGTGCGCTTGGTGTGCTCTACAGCAAGACGAAGTTTTGCCTCCGCACGCTTGTCTTGAAGGCCGGTGGCAGGCGCAACCGTAAGAGGTGTTTTGGTCTTTTTGGTGAACTCCTTGGCGAAGTATTTTATGAGTTTAGAGTCTATCTCATCTCCGCCAACACTGTTGTCCGAGAGGGTAGCCAATGAGCAAGCTAAACCCTCTTTGATGGACAACAGAGAAAGCTCGAGCGAAGAAGCTCCAAGATCAACCACGAGCTGAGTGCGGTCGTTTGGAACGTCGTCAGTACCAGTAGAGGTGCAGACGGTGACAGCCCCAACGTCGTCCAGTAGCTGGAGAACGTGGATCCCGGCGTCTTCTGCAGCTTTTGCCAACGCGTTGCGTTGAACGTCATCGAACCACGGGGGAACGCCAATGACAGCACCAAGCACCCGGTGTCCTAGGAAGTCCTCCGCAGACTTCAGCAACGAACCGAGGAAGATGGTCGTAACCTCTGATACTGTAAGGAACCGCTCCACTTCAACTGGTTCTGACCTAGGGGTGGCTATCCGTGACGCAGCGGGAGTGTTTGTGGCGGTGACTGGAAGCGGAGATGGAGCAGGTTGTAAAACTTTCACTTTGTAAGCCGGTGTGTCTGGTAGTGTTGGATGCTGGATGACCGGCGCAGACACGGAGAGTGTGGCTTGCGGGACCTCGGAGAACCTAAATGCAAACCCAATGTAACGAAAGTATCACAAATGGTTACATGCCACATACTTTTTCCCGAGTAGATTCCGAAAGCCAGTGATGGTATTTTGTGAATTTTTAACTAGTTGGTGCTTGGCGGGATTTCCAATGTACTACAAGTAACATTGGTGTGCTGCTAGGATGGGAAAAGGCAATGAAAATACCAATTCCTCCCCCTGAAACGCGATAGCGCAAGCGATCTGACGTTCGCCATCTTCATTTGCGATACATTCTGCTACCCCTTCCTTTCCTCGGACGGTAAGAACACAATTCTACACCTCGCGACTGTCAATCATACCTTAACGAGGACGGCGATAGATGCAAATGAATTGCCGAAATTTATACCAACTATTGGAGGCATGACAGACGACACGCCGCTGTGCATATCTGCACTTCCATTCTGGAGAGGTTCGTTCGCAGCCATTTTCCAGTGATGAACTGGGTTGCGTGTGTGAGTACGGGTATATGTCGTAGATGTGCTCGATTCGACTGCCCTGGCACACGTTTTAAAAATCTCTCTGCTGACGTAATCTTTGTCTACTTATCAGATCGGCATGAGCCGGCTGACCTGGTGCATTTTATCTTTGCAGCGATGTCCTCAGCGAGGAGACGGCTGCAGGCAGTCCAAAATGCTCTGATGACTGTGCATAAGGGCACGATTCCAGATGGAACCAATTTCTTGGTTTTGCCGGACGGGAAGAGAGTTGAGATGTCTGGAGAACTTGGGACATTGGACCAACACATTCTTTTGGACGGAAGAACCAGTATGCTTACTTCGCTTCTCGGGTCGCACTGCAGTGCTTGCGCTGTCGGGGCTTGGCACTCCTCATGAACACACTGCGAGTCATATACCCCAGTACCCTGTACTTGAGGTCCATGTTGTGAGGACCTCTGACCAGCGAATCAACTTGCCAGACATGTGGACCATTGTTTATGCTCTGTTCACGAAATATCACGAACAAGAGACGATCCCTATCGTTCTTTCGGCTTATATCACAAATGGTGCAGACTTGCGTTCCTACATTCTCCGCTCGGGGTTGGGCCGTGTATCCCCCAGTCCAGATATATCACAAGAATACTTGTTCCTTATGCGGGCCACGTTCTGGCAGGGGGCTGGGCAAGCAGGATTCCACGAGCGTGGTTGGCTGCCGCCTTCGGATTCCTCAAGCTATGCACTATCCCCCTTCCCTTTCGTCCAATCGTTCACGCGAACTCCGCTCGTCATAGCTGCACACCCTCTACGGCCACCAAAACCAAAGCAAGGTGAAGTACTCTATAAAAGATACTGTCCCACCGTTGGACAGACCTTAGACTTCACCTACTTTGATCTTGGTTCCGGGGAGGGTGTCAGCGCTCATCTTGAGGCTTTCCACAGGTGGCACAACGACGAGCGTGTTAGCAAGGGCTGGAATGAAGCAGGGTCTCTCCAGAAACACGTGGAATACGTGAAAGGTGCACTAAATGATCCATCAGTCTTACCTATCATGATGAGCTGGGACGGGGAATTGATGGGGTATGCAGAAATCGTATGGTTGAAGGTGTGTCATCAAATCTGGCCAAGGATTATGGCACTATTTTCATTTGAGAAAAGGAGAACCACGTCGCGGCTTATATTCCAAATGGTGCAAAAGATTGGGACAGGGGTATGCATGTCTTGGTTGGGGAAGAGAAATTCAGGGGCTCAGACAGAGGTTTGATTTTCTTGTCCACACAGGTAACTGTAATCCTAATGCAACGTTTCACAGCTCAAGCATGGTTTCGATCTATCCTTCATTATTATTTCCTTGCTGACCCGAGGACGGAACGAGCCATTGGTGAGCCCAGGGCTGACAATGCCGCGATCGTCAAGGTTTGCCTTGACGCGTCAATGCATATTGAAACGGTACGGCTCCGGTGGTAACTCGCAATGACACTCAACTGAACTACCGTGTAGATATTCGACTTCCCGTACAAGCGTTCTGCAATGACTTGTGTATCTCGAGAGCGTTTCTTCAAGATGGATGTCCTGTGATAAGTTTGCTCACTTGAGAATTAACTTGTATTATGCGGGCTTGAGTGGGAAAGACACGCTTGGCAAGCATCACGTGAAGAGTACTTTTTTGATCATGTGACGTACATCGACTGCGTTATATGAGTGGGCGATTACAACAACGCTCCTCCATAAAGTGATCGCAAGGGATCAATGTCGAGTTGTCCTCATCGTAACGAACTAGAAAGGCTTCAGCCACCAAAGTTGAGCCAGTCCGTACACCGGGAAGAATGTACGCAGTGTTTCGACAATCAGGTTAGTGCAACGGTACGATTCTTCGATGGGTCCCCGCCCATGTTTTCGTAGGACGGAGATACGGGTGTGGACGTTTGTTTGATATGCTTCAATGGCGCATGTCTTGATCAAACTAGACATCATGCTTCAACTCATGTTTCGCGATCGGGTCATTCATTCACCTTGAACATAAAACGTACGCCTAAATCAAAACCCCCTAGTCGTGTGAGTTCCTTGCCTGGGATTGACAATATCTGTTAGTGGCTAATCTTATGTACACATAGGGCGATCGGGAGCCACCTGCCAAGATGACGAAACTGGCTATCGTGCAAGAACGTGAGGAGGATAAATGGGAGCACCACACCTCACTTAAGTGCTGGAAATGTGATCCTGGGGAAGGGAAAGTGATTGTGGCTGATGTTGATACAGTAAGTCGCTGTAATCTCCGCGTGTATCCTGGTATCTTTATATTTCACAGGTGAAGCGGTTGACAGATGGTGTTATGGAGTCGCTGTCGTCCGCCCGCCAGTCAGAGGTGCAGGCGTGGGAGGAGGAAATAACCGCGTGCGAGCACACACTTCTCCTCGAACAGTATGCAACAGGCAATATCCCGGCCGAGGGTATGTAAGAACAGGCTACTCTACGTCAATTGACAACTTTTCCTCGTAGGGCTTGCCCATTGTGCCTCATGTGAACTAACTTCAAATCTCTGGCTTTGTCTCGCCTGCGGTGCACTCGGCTGTGGCCGTCCTCAATACGGAGGAACTGGCGGTAATGGTCACGCGCTAGAACATTTCAACTCCACTCAACATCCGGTGTGTGTAAAGCTCGGCACAATTACCCCTGAGGGTGGAGCAGGTTCGTGCATCTTCTCCTATTTGCGAGGACATCTGAAGGACCTCTGCATGATATAGATATTTATTGTTATGCTTGCAACGATGCACGTATTGATCCCGAGTTACCAACACACCTTGCTACTTTTGGCATCAACGTTGCATCACAGAAGAAATTTGAGAAGAGCATGACAGAACTCGTAAGTCTCATGTAGATAAAGACGATTTCCCTAGTCGATTCATTTTCCAACAGCAAATCGAACAAAATCTGGCCTTTGATTTTTCCCTTACAGCAGAGGACGGAAGCGCCTTGAGGCCTGTCTTTGGTCCAGGTCTCACCGGGCTGAGAAACCTCGGAAACAGGTAAGTACAAGCTTGTTTTTCTCATCCATTGTACCGTGAACTCAGAATTGGCCGAATAGGTAAGGGGTAAGACCACAGTGCCATACCTGGATTTCACATCGCTCGTTTTAGTTGCTATATGGCATCTGTATTGCAAGTCTTATTTTCCCTTACCCAGTTCCAGCAGCGGTACTATGGCGAGGTGCTCACAGGAGCCATTTTGGATGGCGTATTTGAAAGAGCGGCCACACACTGGGAGACTTGCTCACAGTCACTTCCTGCAGATTGTCTCGAGTGTCAGATGCTTAAAGTTGCAGATGGTCTTCTCAGCGGCCGATACTCCAAATTACATGCCGAGTCTCGTTAGGGAATTCCATATCAGTTGGGATGCATGCAACTGACCTGTTCCTTAGCCCCGTCCGGTGGATTAGCTCATCCGACTCCAGAACACACGCTCCCTGGCAAGCCGGCCTGAGACTTGCTGGATTCAAAGCCCTTGTTGGAAAGGGGCATGCGGAGTTCGCAACTATGCGGCAGCAAGATGCAGAAGAATTCTTTGGGCATCTCCTAACTGTGCTCCGAAGGTTCAACCATCAAATTAATTCCGGTGCCCCCTGGTGATCACCTCTTCTTCATATTGATTGTATTGAAAGTTACTGATAAACCTTAAGATGAGGGCGAACCGATGGAGGCGTTTGCATTTGGGCTCGAGCAACGATTGCAATGCTTGTCGTGCAGCAAAGTTAGGTACCGAGTGGATAACATGGACGTCCTCAGTTTTGGGGTTCCTGCACAAGAGTTTCCTGCAGATACTGGGTCAGTAGAAGAATTAACGTCGGATGATAGGTGCGACGGTACTGATGGACTCACCTAGAACGAAGTATGCTCCCGTAGGAGTTAATGCAATGCCTCGGTCTCCTCCTCGGTGCTACGGGCCAGGAAGAACTTGAGTACCAATGCGAAGGCGGATGCGGAAAGGTTTCAGCCGTGAGACTCCTTCGGTTTTCCACATTCCCGGACATACTCGTGCTGCACGCAAAGAAGTTCCAATTGAAGAATTGGGTGCCGACCAAGCTCGGTAGGGTTACATCCGAGTTTCATATACGGCGCTGATACCCAAGATACTTCTTACAGACATCCCGATAATTTTACCAGAAGGGGACGAGCTTGTGCTTGACGCCTTTCTGGGGCATGGTTTACAGCCTGATGAGGAGCAACTCCCGGAGTCATCCTCGGACTCTTCACCCAGCTCACTCCCCCAATTTAACGCGGAAGCGTTAGCCCAATTGGAGGGTATGGGCTTCCCCTTGGTAAGGTGCCAAAGAGCATTGTTTGCAACGCAAAATCAGGATGTAGAGGCCGCCATGGAGTGGCTTTTTAGTCCATATGGACGATCCTGGTACGCCCGTAATGTTGCTTATCCCTCTCTACACAGCTCACTTTACCCTCATGAATCAGATATCGACGAGCCTATCCAGTTCAAACTGTCAGGTGCTAACAAGGCCCCAGAGCCTTCGTCTGAGCAAATTGCAATGCTGGCAGACATGGGCTTTACACACGCACAAGCCCGGAAGGCACTCATTGAAACGGTGTGTGATAACAACGAGGTAGCCCGCGGAGATCTAATACAAGGTTCACAGGACGGAAACCCAGAAGCGTGCCGTGGAATGGTTGTTTAATCATTCCGATGACACGGGAGAAATCGCGCCATCTTCAAGTGTGCCCTTCCAGGAAAAGCCGAAACCAGGTTCCTTCGCGCCTGCCAGCGCGGTACCGGCTGAAGGCATTTATATCACACAAGGGGCCTAGCGTGCACTCGGGTCACTACGTTGCACACATTCGGATACCTCCGACTCGACTTGGCGATGCCATGGACGTGGAGGGAGAACGGCGAGTGGGTACTTTTTAACGATGAAAAAGTCGTGGTGGCCGACAAGACGAGCGTGGATGAACTGAAAAATCTCGCATACATGTACATCTTCGAACGGATTTAAAGTCGTCAAGTAACCGAAGCTCGTGTGTAGTGGGTCGTTACGGAGCGGGTGGTTCGAAGCAAGTTAGAACAGGCATATATATACTTTGGCTGAGACGTTAACTACATCGTGCGTTATAAGCCAAGGAATGGTGCGCGCAACACTCCAAAACATGAACGGTGATCCATAACGGATCTATTGGTTGACGATGGGTAAGGGAATGGCACATAATCTACTTCTTCCCTGCCTCGATAGCGTCCCCGTTCTTGCACGCGACAATCTTGATTCGTCGTGCAGACACCATTTCGTTCGATTCCATCTTGAAAACGGGATCTTGAACGATAAACGTCCACACGTCGTCGCATAACCGATATGTGTGTAGGTGGCCCTGGAGGACCATGAGTCACCCCCTTGAAACCCTATGCACGAGTACAGGGGGCATGAAAAATATATATACCTTGAGCGAGGTCTTCGTCTTCACCAGTTTGGCCATAGTGTCTGCCAGTGACTTGTCGAACTATATACATCATGACCGACAATCGACCATGAAATCACATTCAGAATCAACATTTGCATGACGACGCCCGAAGTAACGAAAGGAGCTGAACCTGTTGTAGTACTTTCATAGCCAACTGAGGCGTGATTGCTCCGCTCGTAATGAGCTCGTCGAGTGAGTCCGTCAGTGCCATTCCGATGCTGTCATGAAGCAGCAATGATCAGCGATGCTCGCCCTGCTGTGGGACACTTGGGGACTTACGACGATCCGCGATAGAATTCATAGTAGGCCGTGGCCATGGTGGTCAAGCTGTGAGATGGCGGTGGTTCTCAGGCGCCGATCAGCAAAATCTTGGACTACTGATGAAGTATATAAGACAGTGCTAGGAAAAAGCAACAAGGACATGTCCTGTAGAAAATAAAAGAAAGGCAGAGATAAAAGAACGATATTATCAGAACCCAGTCCATGCTACTACGTATGAATCAACAAAATTCCGTGTCCATGTACTATAGTTATGACCTATAACCCTCCACCCTGTGCACACCGTCCGGATTATATGGATCGTAGGCTACATCGCTTGGTCGCCCTCCGAAATCATCTCGGTACTGCAAGCTGACGCTACTTGCGTTCCAGGCCATACTGGGGTTATCTTGTTGCAACGGTACAAACGCGCTTGAATCGGAATGTCTTGTATGATCGGCACCGGCGGCCCCACTACCCATATACCCACTCCGCGTCGTGCCCATAGCATATGCTGCTGCAGGGTGTTGACGACTGGCGGCGCGTCGACGACGGGCCATGTAAATGCCAAACGCGGCACCGACAACACCGATTGCGGCGATAGCACCGACAATGGCACCGACAATCACACCCGTGCTCGGTTTGGACGATGAGGACTGGCTCGAATCACTGCTACCCTTGCCTTGTGCGGCATCGTTCAGAACGCTGGGTGGCAAATCACTGACGGCCGATGTCGGCTGTGTCTCAATGTTACCAGATCCTACGATGACCATTGTGCCATTGCTTGGGATGCCGTTCACAACGACGAAGAGTAAGGCAGGCCCAGGTTGGAAAATGTTGGGATTGGGAGGGGCTTGGGCCACATGAAGTACATAGGATCCATCGCTGTTCACGGTATAAGTGTTGTTCAGTTGTAGGTGGCGTTGGCCCATGTTCATGGCGTGGGTAGTGAAACCACCGCGAGAAAGCACGACAGTCGTGTTCGCAGCTGCGGCATTAGCCGAACCACTGTATGAAGTAGAGGGAACGGTGATATTAAAAAATGCACCACCGTAAGAGAGCTGGGTCGGAACACCAGTAGGCTGGGGGCGAACCGGGGCGGAGAAGTAGGGAGGGTAGAACACTTCGACGGTGTAGGTAGTTGGGAAAATTGTGGTCAGGTTGACGTCGATGTTGGGATTTGAACCTGCGATCATGACGGAAGCATCGGGAAGAAGCATTGCGGAGGAATGGTATAGACGGGCTATGTTGGAATTCCCCAAACCAGCATTGGACCACCGGCTGCCACTGGGCATATTGGGGTTGTAGATTGCAGGTGTACCGACCGGGCCAGCGGCCAAAGATTCACCGTAGGGCATATCGTTAAAGTTGGGTGTCATTCCGGTAGCCTGAGCATATCCGGCAGTCCCATTCATACCACCATTCACGACGAGCATGGTACCGTCCGGAAGAGCGATGAACTGACCCATAGTGCGGCCCTCCAGCATGTCATCGTCTTGCTGGTAAGCGGGCGAAGAACCGTCCTGAGGTTCTGGAGTGAGTCGTTGACAGTCCTTCGAGGCGGGATAATCCCAGGTATTGTAATAGGGGTACGAGTAATTACCCCAGTAAGTGTCAGGCATGTCAGATCCGCCGCAGAAAAGAATGGTTGGAGTCCAGTTGTTGGCGGGAGTCAAAGGAAGCATAGCGACAGCTCCTGATGCAGGGTATACACGAACCACGTTTCCAGGCATACCGGGGAGCGGTGTCTCTGTGTTCGTATCGGGGTCCCAAAGCACTGAGCGTAACGTCAATATGACTATTCTTGCGGGACGGTGGCACTACTTACTAGTCGATATGTTTGCTTGGACGAGCATTTTCCCAGAAGGCATCAGGTACGTATGTGCATACGAGTTCAAGCCAGAAGTCGAGACCATAAATTGCATTTCCGTTGCATTTCCTCGTGAGGGGAAGAACTCGTAGGTAGGTTCGGCTGCTCCACCTTCATATGCGGGGTCGGTGTTTGGGGTATTTCTGTTGATGTAGCCGCCGTTGACGAAACCACCGATCAAGGCGATTGTACCATCGCCCAGAGGCTCACACGCAGAATACCAACGACGTTTTTGCATGGCAAGGACAGTGGCGTTGTCAAACCACTGACATTGTGAACTTGACCAGTCGTCTGCGTTTGTACAGGGATTGAGAATACGAATGGCGTTTCCGCCATCGTAGTCACCGTAAGTTGCGTCGTATGCGCCTGAGCCGGCGTTGTTCAGGACTGAGCCGATATTGCCACCTGGACCGACGGCACCATTCCCACCAAAGGTGGCGTATGAGCCATTGGGCAAGTGCATGCCGGAGGCACAGAAAGTGTTTGTATACACATCCATCAACGTTGCGGTGTGACCGTTGATATCCCTTGATCATTGGAAAGGGTATGGATAAGAGAGGAACGAAGAAAAGGATACCGTATTCACCAAGCAGCACCCCACGCGGGATGACCGTTTATTTGGGCACTGTTCCCTTCTGCCTTGTCGAGAATGTAAACTTTTTCCTCGTTACCGAGAAACATCTGTGGTAGTTGGCGAGGATATTCGAGGACGATGCGATGTATGGACGCACCATCATTGCACTGACAAGAGAACTACCGACTTGTGAGATGGACCCTGCTGTTTGCGCAGAGACGAGATTGGAAGAGGAGGCTACCCCGAATGCCAGCCAGGGTAGCAAGGGGAGCATCGTGACGGGGTCGTTCGGTGAAGGAGGGTGTGAGCAGAAAAAAAGAATGTCAGCGTTGTTGTTGGCTTCGATTAGGCAGAGCGGACGGAGTGCCTTGTTTTTGATTATTTATTTATTTACACTGTAATAAAAATACAACAAATAACTCGACCCTTCACCATCCTCACGCCTGTCAATGGATCTGAAAGTCCCCATGATACTCGTATACGTACAGGAGGGCTCGCAATTTTTATTCTTAAAAACTAGACCACTTCGAATACCTTGGAAACAATATGTTTTGCTTTGTTCCAGGGTGGAAAATCTGAACAACCTCGGAACATTGATGCTTGACACATAGGAACATGAGATTAATGCCGTTGGCTCCGTGGCAGGCACAGAATCATCATCGCGCTGACCAGCAGCCTATCCGCAGGGTCAGTAATTGAGACGTCTCGCATAGATCATGATTTTGTTCTATGAATCAGCCGAGATAAGATAACGGAAGATCTAACACAGCTCCGTCATAGCTGCAGTCCGACGGTCCTAAGACCACTGTCCCTCGCACAAGCGATCTCCAACTACGAGCGATGCCCATGCGCCCTCCTATCAACTTCCCGAAGTGGCTGGAGGCCAATGCCCACCTGCTCCAGCCTCCAGTGAACAACTTTTGTTTGTATAGGGAGAAAGACTTCATTGTCATGGCCATCGGAGGGCCCAATCAGCGGAACGACTACCACGTCAACGAGACCGAGGTGACACTCAAACATAACCTCTATCCACCGATCGCTGACTTGCGGTGTACACAGGAGTGGTTTTACCAATACAAAGGGCCCATGGTATTGAAGGTTGTAGATGAGGGTAGATTCGAAGACATAGTGATCGAAGAGGGCGCCATGTTTCTGCTGCCTGGTATGGTGCTTCTTCATGATTTCCGTCGGTGATTTTTACTCCCGTGCATCAGCTAATACGCCTCACAACCCTGTCCGGTTCGCAAACACGATTGGCATAGTCATCGAGACAGTTAGGTCGGAAGACTCCAAAGGTATGCGATCCCGGACCGCGGCCACTCACAGTCACTGACCCAGTTCTTCTGCAGACACCCTGCAGTGGTACTGCCGCGAACCAGTGCATGCAGAACCTGTTATTATTCACAAAGAGTCTTTCCATGTGAATGATCTCGGCACGCAGCTCAAACCCGTGATTCAGCGATGGATGACAGACGAGGAACTGAGGAGGTGCAAAGAGTGTGGCAAGGTTGCACCTCCCAAGTAAGTTTATGATGGTTCTTCAGGGGCAGTTGTATATATGTACCTACTTCATTGTACTTTTTTTTGCTGTGATTCTGTCCGAGTGCTCTGAGCGTATCGGAGACTCCAGTCGAGCCCCAGCTACATTGGTGGAGTCTCGGGTTCAATCGTGGGAGCTGAGCTTCCCTTCGTCCACTGCCATGTCGTCCTCGTCATACAACCGCCCGATCACGCCCCGATGTTATAACATGGAAGAGCTGCCTGACGCGGCATCGGAACGTGCTCGTCTCCGCGAAATCTTGTCCAAATCCGACTCCAGCGATCTTGGAAGGGAGGAGCAAATGCTCTTGGAAACGCCGCTGGCCCGACACTTGTTGCGCGGGCTGGCGTATACGGTTGGATCAGCACTGGGTTACGATCCACCGACACGCGAAGAGTGCCTAACTGCGTTCGTCATTCCAAACAAGGTGGGATTGACAACTGGTGCAAGGGCGTGGTCGAAGCATGGCCATCGATCGCAGGGCACGCCAGAGCTACGCTCAAGCAGTGCAAACGGGGTTCCGAGCGGTGGTTGGTGGGGAACGCCTTCGGGGTCGGTGGCTGGGATCAATGAAAAGGCACTGTCGCTGTTCGGGAGGGTGGTGGATAACGCAAAATGGAGGAATTTGCATTGGCTGCCACATCAAGTACTGGTATACGAAGTGCGGGTCGAGGAGGGGTATGGAATGCGTTGGTCGCAGGATTGGAGCAGTGTGGTGGGACAGGCAGGGAACGTAAATCCACTACTACAACAAACTACCACTGCTACTACCACGCCTGCTGCATGGGTCTTCAGGGGATTTGTAGAGCCCATGATGGACGATGGTCACCAAGTCGGGTGGAGGCACTGACTTTGTAGTGACTGACTAGTACCGAGTATGGATGAAAACGCGTGACAGTCGCGTGACCGGAGTCACGTCTGCCTAATTATAATCCCAAAGCATCCAGAGCGCTGGCAAGGCTCTTTGCCAAATCAACTGCCCGCTCATTCACACTAGCACTCACTCACAGAGTGCATGCAACATTGAACATCCCCCTGTATAGGGCCAGACACGAGATCACTACTTTCAATGTCATCTACAGCCGAAGTTCCGCGCAGAGGCGGTCGCTACACTCATGCAGAGGCAATCCTTGGTTCAGGAGCTCTGCAACAGATTGGCTAACACCAAGGTTTTACTTGTTGGCGCGGGAGGTATCGGGTGCGAACTGCGTGAGTCTCCAACTTGGTCTCAACGTCGTTGCCTCGGGGACTGAGTGTCTCACCTATTTTCATCTCCGAGCAGTCAAGAATGTCGTGTTGACGGGGTTCGGACACATAACCCTATTAGACTTGGATACTATAGACCTCTCCAACCTCAATCGCCAATTTCTCTTTAGGAAGAAAGATATTAAGCAGAGCAAAGCCATGGTACGCCTTATGTATATTCCTGTGCAAGAGCACTCCTGAAGTGGTCTGCATGGGCGTCTTCAGGTCGCCGCTCAGACCGCAGGTGCATTCAACCCAAATGTACATATCTACCCTATCCACGCCAACATCAAAGAACCTCAGTTTGACATAGAGTGGTTTCGAGGATTCGACATCGTGCTAAACGCACTGGACAATCTGGGTGCGGCACTTCCGTTGGACGCAAGGTGTATCGCTCACTTTCATTTGTTCACTAGACGCGCGACGGCACGTGAATAAGATGTGCATGGCTGCTGGCACTCCGTTGGTTGAGTCCGGCACAGCGGGATATCTCGGCCAGGTGCAACCGTTGTTGAAGGTCAGTTCTATGTATCCAATATGGATCTTGTCATATTTCCTTTCCTACAGGATCGAACGGAGTGTTTCGACTGTGTACCGAAACCTACTCCAAAGTCGTTCCCGGTTTGTACGATCCGGTCCACACCCTCTCAACCTCTCCACTGCATCGTCTGGGCCAAAAGTTATCTTCTCCCGTGAGCTTTGATATCTCGGGCTCTATAACAACTTACCTATGGCATGGATAGTCAATTATTTGGTGAAGACGAGGATGGCACTGCAGAGTTAGATGATGCGGAGAAGCAGGGCGAGAATGGTGGCTCCAGTTTCCTACGTGATATCCTTATCTTATTGCTGACGTACGGATCATCATCTAGCCCAAGAGATTGCGGCATTGCGTAAGGAGGCTTTGGCATACAAAGCCGTCCGTAAAGCCTTGCGCGCCGCCGGCCCAACAAATGATGCACCCAAGACCGTCTTCCGAAAAGGTTCATATGTCGCTGAGTTGTGTTCTCGCATGTATCCTAACATTCTTTCTTGGGAGGTTTTTCACAGTGACATCCTAAATCTCTTATCTATGACGGACATGTGGCGGTCAAGAGCCCCACCAACACCGCTCGATTTCCATGCCATAGAAAATGGTTCTTTCGTTATTCAAGAGGCTGTGAAATCGCACACAGCGGCTGGTAGTGTCAACGAGACATCATCAGGCAAACCGGCAGTTAATGGTCACGTCAATGGCAACGCTGCCCCACAGATAAATAGGACAAACGCAGGCCTAAAGGATCAAAGGGCATTGAGCCTACAGGACAATCTCGCACTCTTCGTCTCAAGGTAGTTCTACCGTACACTGGGCTATGGAGGTGCTAATTGAATGAGTCAAGTACGAATCGTTTGGCTGCGAGATTGCAAGCCGGCGAAGAAACAATATCATTCGACAAGGACGACGACGACACCCTCGACTTCGTGACGGCTGCTTCCAACCTTCGTTCGGCAGCGTATTACATTGAGCGGAAGACTCGGTGGGAAGTTAAAGGTAGGTTTCACCGGAAGAACTTCCGACTTCATTCCCCTTTTAACTCCATCACAGAGATGGCTGGTAATATCATACCCGCTATCGCTACGACAAATGCCATCATTTCGGGGCTTATCGTCCTGCAAGCGCTCCATGTTCTTCGAAAGTCCTACGGCGCCCTCAAAAATGTTCATTTACAATTCAAGCCCACCGTGCCGCTCAGTACCGTCAACTTATGTCTGCCAAACCCAAAATGTGAGATCTGTCGGGACACATACACGACGGTGTTGTGTGATCCGGCAAAAGTAACACTTGGAGAAGTCCTTGACGGCATTCTTGGTGACGGCGATGGTGAGCGTGGTGGCACGGGTCGGCGAGAAGTCAGTGTGTATGAGGACAAGCGCATACTGAGCGACCCTGACTGGGATGACAATTTGGATCGCACGTTGGAAAGCTTGAATGTTACGAGGGGTAAGTTCCTGACGATCGTTGACGAGGAGGGCGAGTGGGGAAATATCGCAGTCGCATTGAGCGTGCTTCCGTAAGTCGTGTTCAATCGATGAAGGCTTGATGGCTGAACTGACCCCATGGTAGGGCTAACCATCTTGTTAATAGTCCATCATTAATATTACCGTCTCCTCTACCCAAACCCAATTATACACCACGCCACTCAAGTCCCTGTGCCCCCAGTGTCTCGCAAAAGATCTGCCCCCGACGACGAGATCGAGGAATTAGGTCCTTCAAGCAAGCGGCCGAAAATAAATGGCACGATGTCCGTACCAGAGATGGGTAGCCCTAGTAAGAAACTGGAGATTGGAAGAGGATGGACTGATCATGCTTTCGGGTGAGACGGACGAGGCAGATGATGATGTGATTGTGATAGACTGAAGCTAGGATTCTTTCTTTCTTTGCTTTGAAACGTCGTGTTATTCTATCTTTCCGCTGTAGCTGACACAATAGATTCATCTATCTAATTATCGCAGGCCAGGTTCGTGACTTTCGTTGATCGATGAAGAAATGGGTGCTCATCGTCAATTCAGTACTATCCCCGTAAAGAAGTGCGGTGTGACAGGAAGGTTACGACCTAACTCAGTATTCCTTTATGCAACCATCGAGTGTGGTCTTGTAACTGCCAACATCGTAGTGCGACCAGCACTGCACTGTGAGGCACGCTCAATTGCGCATGGTCGACCCGAACAGAATCATCGTAAAAAAAACAAGATCCAGCCTTTCTACTTCCGCAGCAACACTGACTCATCGCACCGGCTTTTAGTGCCGGAGTGTAAAGGTAAGCTCAGTACTTTTCGCATATTTCGGCATCACTGGATGATTGATCGCTTGGCTTTCGTTGCTGGGACTTTTCAGACATGCTCTGTGGTATCTTATCCACGCGATCACCCTTGGTAGATGAATCAATACTCGCGAGGCTGATCCCGAAAAATTCGTCCCCCGCACAAGTTCGCTGTCTCTCGCCTCGATTTTCTGGGATCTGCGAAACGAGCTTCCAATGTACAAACTACTTATCATTCTGCTCTGATGTCTAGGATGGCCTTGCACCGGCAGACAGGGTGCCCGGGGTTGTCGCCTTCACCGCCTCTAACTTGTCCATCGACTCCATCCAGGCAAGCATGCGCTCGCTGAGCAACTCACCCTCCGGAATTGCCCGGAGGTCTGCAAGAAGAGGGTAAAGGAAGAAGTCTGCCCAGCTCAACTTTTCTCCGAATGCGTAACCCTCAGGAGACATCGCTTCCTCGATGATAGTCAAGAATCGGCGCGATCGGTTGACGCCGGTGTTAATGCTTTCCCGGATTTCCGCGTCCGTCGCTTTGCCCTCATCAGTGAGAGCCATGCGCGGTTTGACAACACCGAACTCTATGGCAGGAAATCCTGAGTAGAGAAGCGTCAGGCACCGTTTATCGTCTGACACGGGACTAGAACCCGTGGAAATAGTTTACCATGTGATGCTACCATACTCACAAACTCCCACATCTGTTCCTCGATGAGAGCACGACCGTCGCCAGCAGATATACAGAGGGTCGGTTGTGGTGCCACTCTGTCGAGATACCTCACGATGGCGAGACTTTCTCGTAGCTTAAGCGTGCCTTCTTTCCCTCCTGGTTCCGGTTTCGATGGCAAGTGTGGGCAGGTATCCGAATGGGTGATATTCGTCCGCAGTCTCAGAATGAGGAAGAACAGATATTTGGTTAAAGGGTAGACTCTTGTAATGCAGACCAAGAGTGATCGTCCGTGTAAACGTACTGAACGGGGTTCCTATGACGGTGAACGACATCATCGAAGGCGGAGGAAGGCAGCAGCTCTAATGGGGTGCATAATTGTGCTAGCTCATAAACCTCCCCTCGGGTTCCGATTTGATGATGAGTCAGTAGTCCCATGGTCCACACTGCGCATCAGTCTACGGCGATTAGTCTGGATTCCAGAATTACCTTGTTTACAAATCCTCGACGTGTTTTCTCTTCATTACGTACTCTTTGATCAGGTTCCGTGCAAATACCTTTATTATATTCAACCACAATTCTTTCCCTCCATAAAGTCATAAAGTACAACTCGTAGAACAGAGACCTCGTCGCGGAGGGGCCGCGAGATAACTTAATGCATCTATGCCCCTCTCGGTTTCCTCAGCGACTCCGCAATTCCAAGGAAGGTCTCCGCAAGTTGAACCTAATAGGATTTGTCAGCGAAGGACACTGGCAATCGTGAAACCATGTACCGAGTCCAGAGCTTGGTTGTATGACGACATGACTGTAGCAGCGGCCGGTGCGAATGGGTCTCTCGGAGCGTTATTCTGAGCGTCTATCGCTATTTCTGCCATTCTGCGTAGGTATTCCGAAGACGTATCTGGACCAAATGATACCGCATGGAAAGACACGGCCTTTCTGCGAGGTGACATCAGAAATGAAGAGATGAAGAACTTCGAAGACTTCGGCTCGCACCCAAGGTGAACGGATGACCCACACAAATCTTGCATAGTTTGGTCTGCAATCCAGCTCTCTCCATCCGAAAGAAAGATGATGACAGGAGACCTGAGAAGCGACACATTCGTAGATTAGTTGGAGTCGGACCGAAGACTGTTCCTTTGCCTCTCCGTGCTCCAATTTCGCTCCATGACATCTTGAGCAGCAATAACCGCCGCTGTGAAGTTGGTCCCAATACCCGCCTGATGAGACAAGAGCATATCAAGCAGTTGGTCTGGATTGCTTGTCAAATCATTTTCGATGACAGTCAGGGCGCCATGATTGAACAGGATAATACTATAGGCGTCTCTGCGGGCTGCACTGTCGCCTGATCCGACGGCGGCTGCGCGGGCTGACCAGAAACTAAACAGTGAGGAGAGAACTGCGCCAAATCTGTTGTCCGAACAAGCACAAATTCTGGCCGAGGCGGGAGTGTTTTGCAACGGTCAGTCGATCATTATACAACATAGAACTAGACCTGAAATGGGAGTCAGCGTGAGGGTGAAGCCGAGGCATGAGTACCATTCCCACCGGTCTGCAACAAATATCCTTGCAAGCCAGTCAGTTCGGGTCATGCAAGAACTACGTAGATACCTACACATGAAATGCTTGCTGCATCACGACAGGATTACGACAAGCAAAATGATGACCGTCATTGGATATGTATCCCATAGCTGGGGTACCAGCACTCAGATCTGCTGGTGGATGGAACATCGGCAATGTACAATAGGAAGGTTGAGCAAGATTCCCAGCGTCGCCAGCGTGTTCTAGGCCTGTTTCCTGGTCAAGAGAAGGATCCCAAGGTACCACATCCATACCGCTTACCACTGCACATAGCATCGCCGCAGAAAGTTAGCATTCGATGCTGCTCGGCTACCTGAGCAACCTACCATTTTGCAAATACTGCTTGTTCTTCTTTCGAATACGGATCCTTGAAACCTTGGAAGTATTACACCAACAGTTGTAACGCGTTTCCAGTGCGCGTACTTACCACTTCTTTTCCAGTGCAAGTTGTGGGTAACGTAGTCCTTAGGCCTGTCAGGGTGAGGTAGCAGGTGTTTTGTGATGTGCTGAATCTCGTCGTTGCCAACGCAGGCTGCTTCCTCAGTGCGACAATAGTCAATATGCACGTGACGACCCATTGCCTGGCACACAAGATTGCACATCATTGGAGCACCCTCATCGTTGGTAGAGAACCTTCTCCCTTCAATTTCCAGAACTTCAGCATCGTCAGTTCCATCTATGGTCCATTGTGTACGAGACATAGAGCCAGTGGCGTGTTTCGTGCTCTTGCTGAGGGTGGCCTGTACACCGCCTATCAGGAAGTAGCAAGGGAAGGAAGTGTAAACTGATCATACCCAGTGGTAACGTACAGAAATACCCGCAATTTTCGCACCTGCCGAATTGAGCAGAATTAATCGGAGCCAGAATCCGTAGAACGACCATCACACGACTGACCTGGCCTCGCAAAAGTGAATGACCTTCTGATCGAGACTGTGATTATGAGAACCATCGTGTTTCGTTGCACCGGGGGGGATTGGCTTGATACACTTCAGTCGTTTTGCCACTGCACCACGTAAGTTGAATGTATTTCAGTACGACTACGTAACTGACCTTGCGAGTACTGCATAAGTAGGTCGTCGGTGAGTTAGCAAAGCTTCGGCTCCACGTGTGGAGTTGCCTACCTTCGTATACTGGAAGGTTTCGTGCCTGCCCGTGAAGGTTGCTTCGATCGAATGCGGTGCCGTTTCGATCTCACATATGCCCTGCGCGAAACACATAGCTGTGCAGAGATACTCTTGCCTGTCCAACGATAGGCTGTGTCAGCTTGTGCCAATCGTTGAAAAATGTAGGAGTCAACTCATCCACAAAGGTGAACTTCCCCATCTTTTAAACCATGCATGTGATCCTGATCAGAACATAGTCGTTTGCATAGTTGACAGGTGAGCGAGCAGAGGCGAGCTTCGCATTCATGACGGGAATGATTAACATCATTATTGGTCTATCAGCTTACAGGATGCAAGTACCCTGGGTTGACTTACCTCGGGATTCTGCATAAACCGGGGCACGAATAATCTGATCCGTCAGCAAGTTTAAGGCCAGATAAGCTACATGGCTGTGACATGCTAAATCAGCATATATGCATACGACCAAAGCGACGGATTCACCTTTCCGCAAGCGTGCACCGAGGTGGCACACAGATGTTCGTCATGGTGACCGGTAACCTACGATATCTGAGTTGCAAGTCACAGTGGCATGAGGAGAGCAACCTTACTTTAATAAACTCGTGAAGACATCCGAACCTGCCATTGAACTTGCAGGGTTTGCCACATAGGTGAGCATTCACAACACATCTGTGTAGTACTGAATATGCGCCACTGTGACAACTTGGTGAAAGTAAATGCTTACATATGTTTCCCTGAGTGTCCGGCAGCCATGTTACACTCTCGGAGTTCGCGACTAGTCTCTCGACAAAAATAGCATTCGTGAATGCACAGGTGATCAGTTTGACAAGCATGAGGGCCGCCGTGGAAGCGACTCTGGATGCACAACAGTTGACAGTTTGCGCAGTGCAACTTGCAATGCTGCACATTACTCTTCAGATCGACGGTGGCGCCTTCAAAATTCCGTCGAAGTTCCTCGATGCTTGCGTGTCCTGTCTGGAAACGCGACAAATTCTGGGAAAGCCACTCTTTCACATGATTGGTTCGTAAATTAACCACGCCCTCGAGGTATTGGGACAGGGCTTCCACCCACTCTGAATCAGGAATGTGTTGACGGTCGCGATAACGCTCCCAGGAACTCTGAAGGATTGCCAACGCTTGCTCACGAAGCTCTGACTGCGGGGCCATTCCAACTGCGAGGAATAAATGTGATTCAGTATCAGGCAGCTCCACAGGCATGTCGGTGTCAAGGTTCTATGGACAATTAGATTGTGCAAGACAGAGGTAAATAGGGGCTACCTTCAACGGCTCTCGTTCGGGAACCTCCTGGAAGCCAAAAGCCAATGCATTCGGCAACAGCGACGACAAGGGTTGTGCTCGATGAGACGCCATCGTCTCTGGAAGAAAGTGAGTGGTGCTAAGTCACCAGTACATACAGGAACGCACGCGACATTGCCCCCCAATCATTGGCCTGATGCAGTATTGATTAAAAGTAGACATACTACAAGTACTTATACGAACCTTGAGCTTCGCCATCAACGTTTTCACCTCGTGAAGGAATTCGCCTGCAGCATGATGCGTTACAACTTGTTGGTCCAAACGCCTCTTTAGCATTGGGAATAGTTTGTAGAATTCCTTAGACTCTATGACAGGCCTGTGAGGAATAAGACTGCGTCCCCCAGAAGTCCGTTTGTAATGCGCACCAGGGAATGATCGCCGGTTTTCCTGCATGAAGTCGAGTGATAAAGTTCGCTTCTTGCTCGTCTTGTACAATTCGTTGGAACTTGAGGGTGAATCTGACAACTTGTTAGTCAGGGGAATTCAATAACTTTGAAGTGAACTAACTCCCCCGCTACTTCCGTCCTGTCTGGCTCAACGACATCCTAAAACTGATCATCAGGTATTGATATCCAAGCGTCCTCAGCGTGCTGTACGTTGATAATGATGACCAAAGTCGATTGGAATAGTGACGGGCTTGCTGCGGGGTCTAGAACAGTAGCACTAGACTGGAAGGACTGGAACAGTCCTGCGATATCACGACTGAATGCAAAGTTATTGCGGAAAAGGACCTAGAGACATGTCATTTTCGTTTGCTGTTTTTTCCTTTTGCTGCGGGCACAGGCTCACCAAATTCGAGATTGCAGTGTTAAAAAGTACGAGCAGCATATCTTCTTGGGCGGACCGTTCGATACTGTGGACACCTGAAAAGAGATGGGTACTGAGAAGGTTCAACGAATGAATGCCAGTTGACAAACCCTCGAAATCTAGGGCTACGATGAGCTCCTTCTCGGTTGGCGTGATAGACATCCAGACTCCCTCAGTCGTACGCATCGCCGATCCCGCAAAAGAGGTATCCACGAGATGATTGAGAGTATAGCTCTTCCCAACAGATTGTTCTCCTATGGACGACACCACTCGAACAGGCTGACAAGTTGTAAGCAGGACCCGGCGTCATCGAATAAGTATTACCTTGGTCGCCATGTAGGACTGAAAGAGCGACTCGTACCACCCGAAGGAGATACTGTCTACGATGCGGCTCACTTCGGCTCCCAAAAGTGACCTTTCCAGCTCTGTGGAATATACACCATCTTTGAGCGGGATAAAACGATTTTCTTTCGTTAACGCAATGTGAATTGGGATCAAACACAGGAAATCGACAATCCATTCGCCTGCCCTATATTGTGAAACGTTCCATGGCGTGGTGCCGCACAACTCTTGCGCAAAAACAGAAAATGCCGCAGCTGACACCTTAATAGATTTGAGGATATCGCTAGTAGGCTTCTTACTGATGTGCTCGAAACTGTAGATCATGTCGGAGAAGTGCTGTGCAAACATTTGGAAATTACGGTCAGTGACAAAGACCAGAGTTCTCTGACTCCTAAGACTGGCGGAGGAAATAGTCTCCCGTTGCACCGCAGCAAGGACTGGGAAACGAATCCAGACTTCCGAATGACAATCCACCAGGCAATTGTGTGCTGTTATTTTTTCCGCTCGTTTAGACCAGCTGCGACCAACCTTCTCTCGGAACATGAACTCGGTAATGCGACGGGTGATGTCCAAAGCATAGGATTGGCATCGATGAGTGGAAAAGTCAAGCCACAAAAGATGAACAGCTGTCGTGGAGATTAGTGATGTGACCACGAACGGTTTGCCAATCGGAAGGTCGGGGATGTTAAGCTCAATGCCCTCCGTCGAGCCAAAGGAAGTCCAATGGTACGCGGTTAGCGCATGGCCAGCTCCATGGTCATAGGAAATTAGTAGGCACGATCCATCGGGTGTAGAGTATACATTCGACGGGACGTGGTAGAGGTTGAGAGTCGCGAGTCTATACAGATCAATAAGCGTTGGTTCGCAGAGGGCCGTTATTCGACTGACCGAAACTGCATCGTAACTAGAGAGTATATCCTAGCCTGGGCAAGAGAGTCTACTAACAGGAGCTCTTCACTGCCACTGACAAAGCATGCGTGACGAATGGATGTCCCTTCGTTGTACCACGCGGTCAAGTTGATAGAACTTCCGAGGGCTTGGAAGCCTCGTGCGTCGTCGTACACGAAGATGTGGAGTAATAGCTAAGGTCAACAATCGCGCATGAGACATACTGTCAAACCCGAAGTCGACAGACTACGAACCTTGTCGGAAGAGACGACGCTCAGCATTCGCTTGGACTCATCGAATGCTAGCACGAAATCTTGTCCGATCTTCTCGCGATTCAAACTTTTTCCGCGCCCTCGCCCGATCGCTGCATCGATGACGGTTAGGTGATCAAGATAAACCATCACATTGCCAACACGGTCCGAGACAATAAGCAGTAACTTCTCTCCCTCGAGTAACTGCGCACGCCTAGAAATGGGTAAATCTTACAGCACTTTGAAGAGACAGAAGGATACATACAAAACGGAATAACCTTGGGCTAACCTAAATTTATACTCGAAGCGAAAACGGGGAGAAGGAATGATGGATGGGTCCAGCTGCAAGTCATGTTTGTCTTGCTCCATGAGGCTCATGGTATGAACCGTAAAACATGTCATAGGATCTTCTTGGGTCTCTCGAGCACCGGAGACTTTGCATTGTGACGAAGGATTGTACGGGTGTTACGATTTACTCTCCTCGACTGATTCTATAAAGAATGTGTGTCTGATGGACGGTCATCTCAGTGGACACCTAAAAGCCTCGAAACTTACGGTCGCTTGGTTTTGCGCGTCGAATTATTGACGCAACGGATCAACTGTAGTCTAAGCCTGCGCTTCTCTTGCTCCTCTCGGCTCTCAGTATCAGCTTTAGTTCTTTCCTTCATCGTCTCCTCCTGAGTGTGTCTGACTAACCCGACGAGCTTCTTCACGACACCAGGTATCGTAGTGGCCAAGGACGGCTGCACATGAGAATATGCTTCCTGCACCAAACTTGTCAGTTCTGGATCCTCTTGGATCACTTCTGCGTTGACAACCTCCTTTAAGGACTGGCTATCCGAGATATCGTTCGCGTTGCCAAGAGCTTCCCGAAGAACATGGTCCGTAAAGGGAGTTTTATCTTCGCTTGGACTAAAGAAGACTGAGGCAACGAAGCGAACGGCACGTCGCACGAAGTGAACCTTGCCTTCTCTTGGATTATAGATGGCTGGAGCAGAGTAGTTATCGGAGAGCTGGGTGGTATGGGTAGTACTTGAGCCTTTGAAGGCGTCCCTCATGGCATTTTGAGCTGCTTTGAATCCCTCTTCCGTAGCAGCTTTCGCAATCGCATGGCGATGGCTTTCACTGATTTCGCCCACACGAGAACTAAATTCAACCAATAGGCATAATTGATCCTTGATGTCCCGGAACTTGGGGTTAGAGATTGTTTCCACCGGTTTGATGTTTCGCCGAAAAATTTCATCCACGTTGGGATAAAGCGCAGCGATTTCTCGGAAGGACACTGGAAGATATAGTAAGATAATACTTTTCATGCTTGCGGTATTGAACCTCACGTGAAGGGGTTGATTGATCCACTCCGGGATGGGGGAATGATGCCCGTTCGAGGAAGCTACATTAAGCTGGTTATGAATGAATTAATCATACCCGAGATTGAAATAACTTACGGATACAAGCTCAAGACTTTATCCGTGACAGCATCGTGGATTGCTGAGGTTAACTTTCTTCTTTGTCGAGAGTAGCCTTCATTTTTGCCAATTCATCCGTTTTCATTTTCTTGTATTGAGCGCCAACGGCGTTGGACTCGAGTGTCCAATTGGCACACTCCTCCGGAAAACGCATCTTCAAACCGTTTCAGACTAGTATATTCAATGCACGATCATCCAGGGATTCACTCAGGCAAAGACGATCGGACATGCTAAAGGCAATTGGTGCCATCAAGACTGCTGTCGGCATAGTCGAACAGATACTTACAGGTAACCTTCCAGCTGCAGAATTGTGAAGTGCCTCGCCTTGAAAAGATCAGATACACGTCCAGCCGCTAGATACTGTACGGTCATGAAACCTTGTGCAGTCTCCCCAAAGAGCAAAAAAGGCTCCGGCGGACCCTGCTCCGCAGACGCCTCTGATGCCGAGTCCCAATAGCTGATGTACCCGGATATAACCTTCCCCGAACATCCTTGAGCCCAAGAATATGAAGGTGCATGAAAAGAATTGAGTACCTTAAAGCATTCTCGTACTTGCACAGACTCTTCCTGTTCTGTCGTTCTGTCCACGATACAGTTAATGATCCTACCTCCTTCGTCATCTTCGGTTCTGGCATCGTTGTCATCCCCATCCCCGTCTCCGTCATTCCATACAATAGTCTGCGCGTGCACGGCAGAAATTAACGCAACAACCTGGTCACACATCTTTGTGAGGTATCTGTGAATCGTGAGCACAGACGAAGGAGCACTTCTACGACATAAACACGCCTCATGAAGGTCACACCATTCCGGCGGACTTGGGAGGGTGCAGAGTCATCCCACGTGTTTTCCTGAGTCTAGCATACAACAAAGATTTGTTCCGTTTGACCATACGGTTCTGTTGGTCAGAGAAGACATAGACCTGATCGAAGAGTAGGCTTCGTCGGTCCAGAGCTGTTTGAATCCGCAAGCAGTTGTCCAGCCCTAAGGAAGGCAAAGGGTCAAGAGCGATTGATAGGCAGCACTGGGCAAATAACATACAAAGCGTCGTCAACGACCCGAAGCTCTGAAAAGAATCGCACGATCTCTTCTTTGCTTCCATACACACCTACGGGTTTCATGATATAATTATCCAACGCCTTGAAGTCAACCTTTGTTATAGATGCATATGCGCCAGGGCACACGAGATTAATGAAAGCTTTCAACGAATTTTGAGAGATAATGATCTTGTCGACTGAGGGAAGCATAAGGCTGGAGTCGGTAATAGGAAGCAAAATCGTTACCTAGCCCACCGCTGCCTTGTTCGGTAATGAGATCAAGGATCCTGTACAATCCTCTGACAGAGGAAGCCAGATCAAGGTGGTAATCATCGACGTCCATCTTAGAAGGACTTGTTAGTACTCTGCCATCGATAGAGAGAAACCACCCACGTCGTCATTCATCACTGCTGTCGACTTCACATCTTGATCAGCTGCTGACTCGAACAAGCTCTCATACACTGAATCGTCATCACTCGATGAGGCATTGTCCACGTATACGGCCGAGACAGCCATCGACACGGTTGACCCAGAGTCAATCTCTGTAGTCTGCATGATACTTGGACCATCCAGAGCCATGGAGGTGATATGAGAAAGGTTGTAACCACCGACATCGGTTACAAAACCAGAGCTACCAGATTCCCCAGTAGACATGTAGAAAGACAAAGACTCTATGGAAGCAGTGAGCAACGGCGAGGTCGCTTGAGTTAGTAGTATGGCATTTACACACCATCCGCCTTTCTCTTCCCTTTGTTCCGAGGGCCATACACACGTACTTCTTCGCTGTCACTGTCATGAGAGGCGTCCATGAATGAATCATCCATGATGCTGTACAGAAGAAACGGTTGAAATTACTGTAAAGAAACCTCACTCTACCCTATTTAAAAATCCCGGAAGGTAAGGATCCACACACAGCTAGACATGAGGCACGTAATCAGAATTACATGCTGTTGTGAAGCTAAACTCAATACACGCCCCAGATCGACCACACGCGACCACAAAAAAACAAAAAAAGAATTGGGGTTTGGGGCACTGGGAGCACTAACGTAGTCACTTGACGGGGACTGCGGCATCGATGCTATGGTCGCAAAATTGAAGGAAAGGACTCTGTCAATTGCAACGGTCAAGCCCGACATTCACATGCACGAGGAAGGAGGCAGAGAACGTTAACATACACTAATTGACCTAGGGTGCTTTGAGGTACGAATGGAATTCAGGCCGAACGGGCGGTGTTCGATCGGCAATATTGATCTTGTAAGAACAATTCAGCGCTTGGCGCTCGTCAATAAGTCGTACGGCGCTTACTCCACCATGCGACAGGCATCCCCGATCACAATTTGTTCGACACGGCATGCGTGAGGTATCGGTCTGGTTCTGAGCGCTGAGAAGAAATGAAGTCAAACATGTTGGTGCTTCGTGTCCTAGGGATTTGCATTGATAAACTGGTGGACTACTTCAAAAATGCTAACTAGCCAGATGCTTAGACCAGGGCAGCGGAGGCCCTCGTGCGTGATGGTTTTGAGCAATCATATGCAACGCCCAATGAAGACTGCGGCGACATTTTTGAGTAACAAACTCAAAATGTGGGCCTGCCAAACAAAAGTCGGCCAGTACACACTAACTTAATAGCGGAAGAATGATCAAGAAAAGCAATGTTGCATAGGAGGTGCAGGAATAACACCAGATACGGACAGGAGTTGTTGCAAGATCAAATTATCGGTCGATGTGCTGGGTGACCCAGTAGTCACGCTGAATTCCAGCAGTAACCCCATTGACCCGGTGCGAACGCATGTGTCTACAGGAAGATCGAAGTATTGGGAGTCCTTCACGGTCAGGATCCAATAACAGCGGTCCATGTCTCAATCAAATCGATCGTACAATATCCTCTCACGGGAACATACTGCTTGGTGATAATCTTTATGGTCTCTTGAGCGACTATTCCCCCAAGGAAAGCTGCTGTCGTCTGAAGTTCTGCAGATGGTGCTCGAATACTGGGAGGACGACGTCTGGGTCAAACTCTCTCATAATAGATCATACCACTTACATCTCTCCAACGAAATCATCTAGGCACTCCGGGAGTTCGACTTCGTCGCCAACCACGGTTCTTACCTGCTTCCGAAGAGCCTCCGCAGATATCGGCCAGCCAGGACTTTGCTCCCTCACCGCTGACAAGGCTGACAGAGACAAATGTAGGCAGGCTGCCTTCGGATTCTCAGTTAAAGCGTTGGCTGTTCATAGAAGTATTTTCGAGACTATATGCCACTGCAATAAAATAGACATACCAAGAACTGTGTTATCGAGGGTATCCCATCGAGCCCCCCTAATAACGTGAAGGGCATGCGCGTTTTTCACGAACAGATTGATCGTCGCGTCATCCACTGGTGCACGCAAATGGCTCCTAAAAGCGTGTTTTTCCTCCTCAGCCCGTGTCTTGTACAACTTCTGCAAGTGGATGTAGTTGGCTGTGTCAGCCTTCATGTCAGGTAATGTGGAAGTAAGGGGAAGGGTATGGGTTTCAGATTGTTCCGTAAACTTCTTGAGGGCGGCGAGCAGATGAAAGAACGATGAGGGACTTTCGCTAAGAGCCTCAGGAGAAATGGCTGGGTCATCAAACAACGAGGCAATTCCTGGGGGGACCTAGAAAACAACGTAAGTAATACAACCAGCCCAGTCACACTGTCTTACGGTTGTTTCAGTCCAACAGCGGTAAGCTTGTGCTTCTGCTTCATCAAAGTTTTCCTCGTCAGGCTTGACTTTGAGCGCAAGGATACTCTTCTTAAACTCCTGCCGTTCTGAGTACGTCTTGGGAGGGTTACCACCATGCTATTTCGTCAGTAGCTTTAGTATTCAGTGAAACTGAAGTGAGATGTGGATTCACCGATTTCTTCCAGTCTTCCAAGACACGGACAAGAATGACGACATACGGTATGTGGCTATGTTCTGTCGGATCCATGGATGCGAGATCGAGAGAAAGTGCATGTTCCTTCAATGCAGGGAATGGTTTGTCGATTCTCAGAGAAGGTAGAGTTTCTGAATGGCTTTCGATGACTGTGAATGGATGATCAGGGGATGAAATACCAAGAATGTCAGGTTAAAGACATACTAGTATGTTCATGCACCTGAATAAAGAATTCAGCCAGAAATCCAGCGGAGCGAACAACGATGAGGGTCGGATGCAATGGATGCTCCCATAACAGTGATGACAGCTTCACCAGAATTTGACTATCTAGATTATGGGCGATAACAACTGTGAAGGAAGCTAGCCAATCTGGGTCCGACTCAATGACACTCCTCAGATGTCGAGTGTCCGCATGGCCGTCGACACTATCATTGAGTTCGCGAAGAAGCCTAACTGCTTCAGACGCTCTTGGTTTCCCGACACTTTCAAATCCTTCTAAAAAGAAGTTATTGCCTGCGTCAGCGTGTGAGGTTGTGGCGTGATCCAAGATAGTGAAGTGACCGATCCCAGGGAGGACAAGATTCTTCAGGATCGAAGTGGAAGTAGCAGAACCAGACAGAACGAGAACCCTGGATGATTCAAGAGCACTTTGTCCCGTAGCAGCCCATAAGCTAGATGGCAACAGCTTCTCAGGACAGGAGCAGCCATAATATTTGAAACGACTCACCGCAGCTGGCGGTCATATCTGCGGGCCTTGTTATCAGGTTGTACCCTTTACAGAATGCAATTGATCAGCGAGCCATATTCCAGAAGAGACCTGCGTACTGTAAAGCCGTCGTTGCACTTTCGATATCTTGGGACGCCATAATGGATGGCACAAGCTTTCAATTATCACATACTAGGACACGGGCGTGACGCCTGACGTAACAGCATCACGGAGCGATAACGTGTCACGTTCTGGTAGAAATACATACGACCATGACAGACACGCGTCAGTTCGGAGATCTTGCCACTCAACTTGTCCTCGAATCGCGTCGCTCAACGCTTTCTGATACACTCTTAAAGTATAACGACAATCTGGTTCGATCCGTCATCAGGGAGCAACGCGATCTCGAGAAGTTGACGGAGAGCGCAGAGGAGGTCAGCCCTGCTCTCTTGATCTACCAGACTGCCATCGTACGAAACAAGCGATGCCTGCTGGCGTACCACAAGCACCGCATGGATAGATTGCGCGATATGTACTGGGTTGCGGGCGGCGCGCTTCCACACATCCTCAGCAATCAGGACATTCGGAGCAAACTCTCCCCACATGAAGTAGATTTCCTTCGCCAATACAGTGCATCGGTCATGGATTATCGTGCGGAATTCTCAAACGAGCTGGATATAACTGCCAGCATTACCCACCCACCCAAGGATTTGCATGTCCTGGTACGCGTCGTGAGAGATTGTGGGGTCATACAAACCGAACTTGGAAGTATCGACTTTCAGAGGGGTCAAAGATTCATGGTCAGAAGAGCCGACATAGAACATCTGATTGTACAGGGATATCTAGAGGAGGTGTAGTAGTGAAAGTGAGCGCAACTACGCAACTGGAGGGTCTGGAGAACTTTGCGCTGACCTTCGTTCTATAAAGTCGTGGCTGTGCTCGCACCATTTCGGGATTCCTGTTGTGCTCAACGCTGGCTTCGAGCAAGCACATCATCCATCATGATTGCCACAAGACGGTTCCCGAAGTCCACGCCCATTTTTCTATTCAGTCATTCTCGAACCACCCTGTCTGTCTTTCGTCAGGGACGAGTACGACATTCTAGTTCTTCGTCGCCTTCGTCTGGCGACGACGTCGACCGGAGTAACCCCGGCGCGATCTCGGATCAGGAGTGGGACGTCCGGACAGGTGTGCTGCAGTCAAGAGTTTCTGTGGATGCGTTCAGATACTACGTGTAGTTTCTTGTCGTGCACTCGCCTTTGGCACTTCCTAGGCCGTGCGATCTACGTTCTACAACAAACACTCCCTGATTTCTTCCGAATTGGTCTGGTGTCGAACGTCGATCCCACACGGGGACCAGGCTTAGTTTACAATATTTCATCAGAACAAACAGAAGTAGAGAACATTTACAGCCCAAAAATACGGCTGTCGTACACTCCCCCTGTTGCCCTTCCTTCGCCCTTCCCTAGGACTTTGTCGATAGAAGGTGAGCTGCACAACGATAGCTTCTTTTCGCCGTGTGTCTTGAGCTTTCAAATAGGCTTGCCTCTTTACTTGGCATCCTCTGTTTTCATCCGGCATACAATGAAAACGCTTTATTCCGATCTGCGAGTCGAGCTTCGAAAAGTAGTCGTACAGATACCTCCACTGACCCCTAAAAGCAATGCAGCTGGCCATTCACGCAGCACCCGAGAGAAAAGTTTGTTCATAGGACTTACGGTTCTTGGCACAACACGTGTCAGCGGCGGGCTAGGTGAATGGCAGATGTGCGTTGATGCTTCGTGAATATGCCCGTCACCGTGGTTATGACCAAGCTTACAGAGACTCAACGTATTCCTTTTCGCCGCTTACTGGACTAATAAATCTCCATACCATCAATTCGATACAGCCCGCACCTCATCAAGCGGCGTATGACGCACTCCGCGCTTCCTTTAGCAACGTATTTGGGTTAGGTGGAAGTATGCAGCCAGGCGAGGCCAGAGCTGTCGACTCCACGAAGGCACGAGTGTGATTGGGATGTGTTGGATTGTGTACATCATTCTAAATGAGATACGAGCAGAATAATGGAGTGTACGGTAATAACATTGCACCCCTCTCTGCTGCAGGCGGTAATGGTTACGATGTTTCACCAGGTCCTCAAGCGAGTCTCTGTGCTTGTGCCTTGGCGATACTCATATTCACACTAACGATCCTGCTTAATGCTTGCTATGTCTCATTCAACCGATGCCTGTACCCGTTGAGGTTCCATCTTCATGATGGCAGGCGTTTAGACATATTGATTCCTTGGTTACTCGTGATTCACGAAGATGAAAATCTTCGCCCACAAACCGTTCGCCATCAAGATCCCAATGTCTATGCCAGCCTAAACTCCAATACCGCAGTCCCAGCAAGGTCGTAGACATTCGCCAGCCTTAACCCGGAAGCGGAGCTAGGAAACCGGGAATTAGACAAGTCAAAAGACTGGTGACAGTCTCTTACGCCAGCGTGATCTGATCACCAACTGTTCGCTCTTTGGCATTATGAAGGATCCACATATTCAGATCTTGTTGATACTTGCGGCTATTTCCCGCCCCGAAGTTCGGTAGCATCGGTTCCGGAGCCTTGACAAGTAATCAGCTCAACGAACAATAGAACCTCAGGCGGATGACGGACAATATCTATTCCCAGTTGTTCTTCATCTGGGCGACGATTCGCACCGGCAATAACATAGTCGTCTGTCGCGAAGTGCTGCGTTGGCGTTGGCAGCCGCATCAAGGTTGAAACGACATACGAATGAGAAGGCGGCTGTGAGGTTCCATAGCTTTACTAATGTTACGGAGGATAACCGCAGCCTCAGCATCGGGCCAGTCGTGAATGATATTTCGAAGCTTCACCGTGGAAATAAGTATCTCACGTTTCAAAGTGGATATCAACCTACATAATAAACATCTTTGCCTGGTACGGGAGCTTCTTTGGAGAAGTCGAGAGTGAGAAACTCGACCCGTTTCTCTCGGAGGGCCTCAAATGCTTCCTTTTCCCAGACCTGCAAGAGGTGAGAACTCGGCTGGAATTCTAAATGAGGTTATGAACGCTTCTGGCCGCCTCCAAAACTTCAGGTAAATCCTGGTCAGTGATTTTAAGGTGCGGATGGGCTTTCGAAAGGGAGATAGAGACAGAGCCGACACTGGCGCCAACGTCACAGACGGTAGCGACATCATTCCAAGGGTAATCTGAGGGGTGGTTGACGATATTATGCTTGAAAGACAACTTTCACTCACGGTGGAGAATTGACAAGGAACCCATCACAGGTCCAAGAGCAATCATAGCATGGTGGTAATTCTAAGCAGCACGTCGTTGAGGATTCAATACAGAGAAAGATCACCGCATACCTCCCGTCTTTTCGCCTGTTAACTTCATGAGCGGGTGCTTCCATAGCATCAACGACTTACATCTGCTTTCATCCAGCCAAAGAAGCTCCCCTTCAATCCTTTCCGTTTTAAGACGTAGATCATAGGCGCCTTATCGGGCTCGTATGACATTGCATACTCCGGCTCCGTTAATGTTTCGTAAAGGACGCCTGTACCCTGCGATACATCTTGAGCATGTATACAGGTAAGACAACCACAATCGTTCGAGCTCTTCATAATGAGGGAGAGGCGGTTACTGGCGAACACATCCGTATCAACTAAGTAGATGAGTACCCAATGAACGACGATAGATAGATACAAAGTAGGTCATGATTACCTTCGATGAAACATCTCTTGGATGCAAGGACGCGGAGAATCCGTGCAAGTTTACCTTTCTCTAGACCGACGGTCTGGGACAATTCCCTGATATGCAAACCCGACGGATACTTCTCCAAGATGTCTGCGATTCCTTTCCGTATAGCAGCACCGGTACAAGCCCAGTCATAACATTGGGCGAACCATGAGTCGTTAATTGAGTGACATATTGGCGCTGATGTACATGACTTACGTTGGCGAGAGTATGTTGTGGGGGAGCCAAAGATGCACAGAGCTGTTGGCATGCATCTTCCAAAAGACGAATGGCCTTCTTAAGGGCCACGGTGTCTGTTGCGAAATCAAGGGGGTGGAACTCTGTGGAGTAGATGGTCGGAACGTTGTTACCGTGCTTCTTATACTCAGTTATAGCTAGCCGTGCCGACGAGTTTATGATTTCCAAGAGTGCTTCGAGCTCGACCTCCCCGGACAATCTTCAGCGATGCTTCGAGGGCCGAGAGATAATGACTTAGAGCGTGTCTAGTGGGATAATTGCAACCTTTCCACGGCATTTTAAGTCGTGGAGGATCCCTCGTTCTCGCTTACTGAAACCTAAGTGGCTATCATATATATACTGTCTATGAGATATTTATATTAGCTCCCAGCGATGTGAAGGGTTATGAGAACGTACCATCCATAACCAAGTACTTTACAGTATTCAATAATTATTCATTGAGGGGAAAACACCTCAAATGCCTCGTCTAAGACTGACATCAAAACAGCAATGTTGTGTCTAATTAGATTATATAAGTGGGAGTATCAGGTGTCGCACCGCCACTGCAATATAGTCTACATGCAAAGTGGCTGGGTTCTCCTAGAACCGCTTGAGGTTCGTTCAGTCTTTTTGCCCCTGCCCACCGCACTCCCTTGCTCACCAGTCTCTCATTAACGTCCGTCCCGTGTCGACCCTTCCACGCTGCTTGACGCGTCGCCTTGCGCCCGGCAAAGCTGACCTGTTCGACACCAATCCTCCCCTCACAGCACCCACGCAGTTAAGAATGCCGCTAAAACATTCTACATCAACCGCCCATGGCCTAGCAGCCCCCAAACCAATATACTTAGCTAACGAAGTCCAACAACTCGTAGACGACACGTATCCTACCCTCACTAGGGGTTCCAGGTCCGGCTTCATCTCCCCAGACGACAGTCCACTTACTACACCACCCGAGACGTATCGCCATGGACTACCTTCAATGCATACCTTGGTCATTCATACGGTGGCCCCGTCGGAGATGCTAACTGACCCTAAGGCATACTTCATGAGGAGGGAGACACGGCCGTCCGTCTCCACAGATGACAGTCCCCCTACTTCACCCGAGGACGCTGACGTCGATCCAGAACAAACAATGTATTACCATGGCTTGCCTTCGAAACCCACCTTGGTCTTTCGTACAGGGCCCCCATCGGAGAAGCTAACCAGCCCCGAGACATACCTCGTGAAGAGGGAGGTCAGGCCGGTCTTCGATGACAAGTTCGCGGCTGCATGGGAGGACGTGGGTACACACGTCTATCAATACCTTGACTCTGCCACTGTCAAGTGGACGACAATCGATGTCGTCCGCTTCGCCGAACCCGGAAAGCACGTCGGTCCCATCGTTCTATGGGTCGGTGTCAGGCCTGGGTCTCTCTCCCGCAAGCTTGCCCAGGTTGCGGCCCTTGCCTGCGAGAATATTCTTCTCTCGTTTCAGATCGTCGGCGTGGAGATAGCGTTTCGTGAGTCAGTCTTCCGGCGGTCCGGCCCCAGGCTCTTAAACTACGTCGCCACTGCAAACCCAACCGCCAGCGTTTGCAGTCCTCTCACCGCGGCACTCGGTCTCCGCATCGCATTGGTCTCCACTCCGTATGCTGAGGGCACCGGCGCTCTCTACCTCTCCGCAGGCTGCCACAGCGAGACGGTCTACGTTCTCACGGCCCGCCACGTTGTCTTGCCACCTAAAGATACGCAAAACAAGCTCTATCACCGTACGCAGAACAGTCAGCGCCGTATTCAAATTATGCTTCCCGGTCCCGTGGCCCTCCAGGGCGTGCTCACGTCTGCTATGGCCAAGATCGCCGATGACACGTTCATGGTGAACTTTTACCAAAAGCAGCTTGACGTACTCAAGAAGAGGGAGGAGAGTGGGGACACGGGCGGTGTCGAGGCAGAACGGGCGGTGGTCGAGCCTAGATTGAGGGAGGCGGAGGCGTCACTCAAGGCGATCAACAAATTCCACAGCGATGTCACCAAGGTCTGGAGCAAAGAGAATAATCGTGTCATTGGCCACGTCCTTTATGCTCCTCCTATTACCGCCGGTGCCGGCAGCAAGCACTACACCGAGGACTGGGCCCTGATCGAGCTCGACCGCAACAAGATCGACTGGGCCAACTTCAGGGGTAATGTGATTGACTTGGGTACGTTTTAGTCTATTTCATTAAGTCCGTCTATTCTAACTGCTATATCCAGGCACCGAGATTGCGCCAGGAAAATTTACGTCGATGATGCACCCCCACCCCACGGCCCCCCCCGTCGTTTGATTATCCGAAAGGGACCAGACTCTTTCCGATTCAGGGCGTCGTCCCGGAAGACGAGCTCACTCGCCCGCGAATGCTCGACGCGAATGGCGAGCCGTGCCTTCTTCTCATTAAAAATGGCGCCACGACGGGCACGACCATTGACCGTGGCACCGGCATCAAATCGTTCGTGCGCGACTATTCTTCGGACGGCACTGAGCAAACGTCGATGGAGTTTGCGATTCTTGGGAATGATGGAACTGCGTTCTCCGCCGGAGGTGACTCTGGCGCCATTATCGTCGACGGAAAGGGGCGTGTCGCCGCCCTGCTCATCGGTGGATCCGGCCTGACGGAATCTACCGATATTACCTACGGAACTCCTTTCGAATGGCTCTTGGAGCGTATCAAGGGCAAATTCCCCAACGCTCACCTTTTCCCCACTATGGCTTAGGCGTCGCGACGTCGACCTACAATGGAGACGTCTGAAGCATGTGCGGATATTGGATTAGCCTCGTAAAGTAGCATCTGGTTTTCTCTTATAACGTAATCGCGTACTACTGTATTCCCCTCCCCCAAGATGACTTGCACGAACATTGTAAATCCCCTCCCCCACTCCTCTACCCCTTTCGATTTCTGTATGTTGAGTCAACAATGGTGATTTTGTGTTTCCCTTACGCGCGCGTGATACGGTAAAGTTTGATGCCTAGGTAGGATTGACTTCGGCACATAGTACTCGAAGTTTCATTCTCCGACACAAGAAATGTCCTGCAAGAGATCGTTGGGGCCTTGGAAGGAGCCTTGGATTCAATTTTATTACAATCTCATTTCGATTAGAAGTTTAATTGTGGGCATTGCAATCGGTTGTAGTGCATTGAAATTGATATACAAATTTTCCGCCAACTAGTACACTAGGATAAGGCCGTTTTGCACGGCAGGCACGTTGTTGGCCTCGTAGCTAGAAGTTAAGACAGGTAGTGGGGTGTCGGCACGAAGGGGCACTGTAGGGTTTCTGCCCAACATTGACAGTATGCTCTCAAGTTCTGTTCGTTCTTACGACAGATCCAATATGTTTCTCACTCAAATCAGCAAAACCCTTCCTTTGGAACAGTCCCACAGTAACTACAGCAACATGACGGCATATGACCATATGAAAGCTTGGCGAGGCCATATGGCGCTCCGTTTGGGTAAAAAATAATGTGCGTGATACACAGACGTATGCGCGATACACAATATACGATGTGACACAGAATACACAATGCGCGACACAGGACATATAATGCATGATATGTGATAATGTACTCGAAGACGACGCTTAACTCGTGCTTGTATTCAACTGATGCCCTCCAGCGAAACAAGCCTACAGTATTTGCTAGTAGAATCTAGATTTTCCCGATGCGGAAACCACACGAACTCGGAGACATAATGTCGATTTATCGATTGCATGAGGGTACACATTGAACATGGAGTGAATACAACGGCGAAATTTATGGAAAAGCATATTTGCATGCATCCGAAGTGTGGATTCTGCATGGACTACGGCCTAGCAAATGATCTTCCTGAGGGGAGGCCTCGAATGGACTCGAAGTTTGCAGCACCAATCATGGGTTAGGGTTAGGGTTTGACTTCTGGCACGCCCACAGAATCACGATTCACCAAAGGCTTCCAACCATCGATGTAGTGATGTTCCCATCCCATTCCACCACAGTTAATGCCAGTCATCTCTGCAGCATGATTTATGATGTCCCATACTAACAGGAGGAACGCATACAAAAATTCGGCAGTGCTTGTCAAGGAGTTCTTTCAGGTCAACTAGCACTTTGAAGTTCTAACGTTTCGAACCGTCCCATGGGTGCTTCATGGGATCAGCAGTACCGTGTACCTCTCTTCCTATCAAAGTACCATAGAGTCCATGCTACGTAGTTACCTGCTAGTTCCATAAATCATCTAGACTGTCACTCCCCGCATTTACTTGGGATAGTTCACCTCCATAAATGGCCAACCATTCGTGCACTCCCGACCTCGCACCGCATATCCTGTGTCGTGCATTATCCTGTGACGCGCATTATATATTGTGTACCGCGCATACCTGTGTGTATCACGTGCATTATTTTTTACCCAAATGGAGCGCCATGAGGCCATGGACCCACAGCCACACAGCACGTCGCAAGGTTCACACCCGCTGAGCGAAAACTGGTTATCACACTGTGACCTAGCTGACGAGATATGACCGGGACCAATTGAGGGAAGACTGGGAAGTATGACGCGGTCATGCCATGTTGAAATGCTAGTGGTGAAATGAGATGGAGGCGTTGCATACTGAGACTACAAAGTTCTTCCCAAGTTCGTCTACATACGAGTTACTGACAGTCGGCTCACAGGAGGCTACAGTACTATGGGAGTGTGCTCAGCGCGAGGAAATGGCGACGATGGTGTTGAGAAGCCACGCGCACGAGAGCGGCTTAGGCAGCGTCAACGGATCAGCAGAAGCGCTACGTTTCGAGATGAAGGAGGATTCTTTAGGTACAAGCGAACTACTGACCACGAAGTTACAGGAAACGGCGAGGTTCGAGCAAGTCGAACCAGCGGCGGTAGAAGAGCCACTCACGACGAAAGCACTACTCGAGTTCGAGATGAATGATGACACGCAAGGGGATTTTCCATGTTATTTTTACCAGGTTTCCCTACCGGCTATTGATATATTATTACAGGAGGCCTACCTAAGAGATCGAGGCATCGAAGGAGGTGTCGTCGAAGCTCTCGCAGTCAGCATAGACGTACATCGATTGTTGGACGAGTGGTTCATATCGAAAGTTCCACTCGAGTTCGAAGTGGTAAGACTTGAAGAGCTTACGAAGTCTGCGAGGGTAGAAGACAAGGCGGTCGCAATGCTCGTGAGCAGCGTCGAGGCAGAGAAGTTGGTATACGAGGGGAGTACTGACTCACAGTATGTTACAAAGTAGGCTACACGTCCAGATCGCGGTTGTTGCGAAGAGGATTAGAGACGAGAGGCCATCGAGGTTTATCACGCGAAGGAAGCCGCCCGAAAGGTACTTACAGGACGAAGTCAACAAACGACGAACGGCGAAGTTCAGCGCCGTTGTATTCGAAGTCCGTGCAAGTCACTGCGGCCGTAGGACACTCGCAATAAATGTTTTATTCAAGAATTTGCCGAGAGTATCGACACACACCCTTGGTATTGGGACCTGCAAATAAGGTCCAGCGAGTTTGACTAAGCAAAGGTCACGTGACCGACATGAGGACGTGCGTGCACAAGTACTACGCACTGACAAGACTCGCGTTACAAGTCAACTACGCAAGATCGTTACAATCGAAGAATACGACGAATGGGGTAGACAAGCGCGAACGACGACAACACTCGATACAGATCGAAGGCCGTGCGAGGCAAGAACTGCCGTCCAATGGAAACGAAACGCAATGGAGACCGCCGAGCTTGAATGCTCGAAATCTCACCTAGATTTCAGAACGTTGTACTTAAAAGTACGTTGCTCTAGGGAAAAATGGTTGCGACGAAGTGCACCCGACATCCATACGATCGCGATACCAGAAGCTACAACGACGTACGAGGGTGCTACTACGAGTGGGGCGAGTGGCCAGGGCAAGCCGAAGGCATAGAGGCGATGCTGGCAAGAATAGGCTATCAGCTCGGACATACGGTATAGGATCATTTGGGACGAGTACGACAACTTTCGTTGGGACTACAGTGTCGATCTTCGAGGATACGAAGGGACGCACGACGTGCGAGAGACATCGGGGCCACGCCTAATGGGCTCGACTTCCCAAGGTTTAGCCTTTCCCTTGAAACGTTTTACTTACAGCTACCACGTTTTAGGGGATACGAACTTTTACAGGGTATCGACGAGGTTCCAAGCTACGAAACGCCGACAGTACGAAGGTTCGGATCAAGACGATCCACAATCGAGTCCCTCCAGAAAGACATTTACCTTGTCATCGGTGCAAGCGGTTTTGGAAGTCGACATATTGTCGAGCACCTGGCAAGAGCAGACGCCATCTCCGTGTTAGATGTCGTACAGAGACACCGTGATGTCTCGTTTTATATTGGAGACACTACAGGCAGACGGGACGTGTTGGATGTATTGAAAAAGTCGGGCGCTACATGTATCGTACGCGCTGCCTTACTGCAGCACAGCGCAAAGGACCCCTCCGTCTGCTACAAGGTCAACGTCGAAGGCACCCGAACTATCATCGTCGCAGCCATTGCAGCTGGAGTCCTGTATCAGCACAGTCGAACCCGCATCCAGATCGGTGACAACAATGATATGTTCGATTATACCTACATCGGGAACATCACCTCAGCCCGCCTATAAACAGCCTTGCGCCTCTACCACGTCGAGCGAATCCAAACTAGAGTCCGAAAGTGCTACAGCAAAACTCAACGAATCTCTACACTGTGCTCTCCCTCCTATATTTGTCACGACTGAATATCACCGCACACCACACAGCTCTGCGCAGCCGCTCGGTCCCTATGTCACACCACCTGACGCCGGATCCATCCTACCTGCGTTCAACTCCCCGTTCGACCCACATGAACTCGAGCATCCCACTATCCGTTCTCAAGTTGATGGACAAGCGTTCTTCATCGCAAATGGAGAGTCGGATTACTTCTGGGACGTTACAACGAAGGCGAGCGAAGACAATCGTGTTTAAAAGTACAAGGGATATACGAACGACTACAGAGACGACAGGAGCACGAGCGACAGCGCAACCGTTCCCCGCAGAACGATGGTCGTTTGAAGCAAAAGCAGACGTTCGATGGAGCAGAGGCATAGTAGATCCACGCGTTGAGCCTGATAGCTCATTCTTTTTCTTTTCTTTTGTGCCGTTTTACTTACAACTACGCTGCTCTAGGTAAAACAAGTATCTATGATGGGGTGTAACCAATGCTCGAGCGGAAAGGATATAAGAATCTATGACAACGTACCAAGAGAGACGGTGGACCGCCCATGCGAGGCTACGGGACGTGGTCCAACGGTGTTATTACGAGTAGGGCGAAGGGGCCATACAAAGCGAGAAGGCGAAGTTTAGAAGTGAAGGATCAGCTGGACAAGAGTCGGGATGGACTCAACGCCCGTCGAAACCACTCAACGACCGGTTTCGGGCGGTTGTGCAATGTACACAGCGACATCTGAACAGTTTGAGTAGGACGGCGCCATGTTTCGATGTCAAGCGACAACGTTTCGAGTCGGACGATCTTGGTAGCCGCACTCAGCGGCTCAAGTTTCTGCTTTGATTTCGTATTGTTGCACTTACGCCTACGTTGTTTTAGACTATTCGACAACTACTACCAAGGACAATCGCATTTGCAAGTACGAAGGCAACATTCGAGCAAACACAAGATCGCGCGAAGGATGCTGGATAGTGTCACGAAGATTGGAGAGAGGCGACACCAGCTAGTACGACGAAGCCCTGCACGGCGAATTCAAGGGAACACAGATTCATGCGTAGGGCCTGAGCGCCCTTCGTTTCCTGTCATTCTTACGATGATTCGCTCACGGCTATATTTTTCTAGAGTATACACCAAGAGGCACGCGTCTGTGTTCGCAACGAAGCAACAGCCGCAAGGGCGACGAGGTCTCACGCAAGACACGCAAAGAGGCGCGAGGATCTACCGGCTCAAGGTGAAGCATTTTACTATAGTCCGAGCACGTACAACGTTGACACACGTCGTTTCTTGCCTCAAGAAAGTAATCAACGAAGACAGGGGACTCGAGGTCGCACAGTAGCACCTAGCACAAGAGCTTCGGCCGCCGGGCTCGACACCAGACAAGATACGAGAAACCAAGGATGCACATGTGCATATAGCGCCGACACGAGATCGGAGGGGATGGGCAGGACGAAATCCCCGGTGAGCGTATCAATAATTAGCTTTTTTTAATACATTTTTTCCCATCGTGCGTCGTCGTTCAACCGAGTCGCACCAAGCTTGGGTGGTTCTACTCAGCCCAACACTTGTATTCGAAATATCTTTTGCTCACCTTTGTACTAGAGCGTCTTAAGGACGAAAAGGAGTCGAGAGTGCGACACGTGCGTGGATGGTGAATACACAACTGATAGAGGTTTGTGGGTACATATGATCACATTAGAGTTAGTTCGTAAAGGCCAAGGGTGCCAGCTGCTGCGCTGTGTAATTACTCCGTGCCGTTTCGCGCCGTCTACTGCGTTTCGAAGAGCAGCCACCCCCCTGCTTCGCACTCGCTTCATCACTCACTTGTTTGCTTTGACCGGAGTCACCTCCGTCGTCATGCGTTCTGGGTTCAGAGGGTTGAGGGCGTCTTTTGCGAGAAGGGCGAGGAGTTTGGAAGGCCAGAGGGTGTTTTGTGAGAGCAAAGGATATGTTGTGAGGTCAAAGTGTGTGGGGTCAAGAGAGCGTTGGCCCCCAGGACCTTGCATGACAGTTTCCGGACCGTATTCCAACCATGGAAGGATGCTCTGATATTATGTCTCTTCTTTAATTCCATACTTCTAAGTCATATGTATTCTGGGAGTGTGTAATATCCATCATGTGACAGTTTCCAACCCATGGACAGATGCTCTGATATTATGTTCATCAGGAAATTAACCAATGTCTATCCATGCCTATCTGTACTTTTACATGTGTGGATAGGCAAAAATGTCTAGATAGTCACCAGGACTATTTCTAGTAGATTTAATTTCTATTTTGACTATCCATACTATTTTTCTGACTATCTGTACTATTCTTCTGACTATCCATACTATTTTTTGGACTATGCATCAACTATCTTTGACTATCCCTACTATTTGTTTTGACTATCCATACCATTTTTGACTATCCTGACTTGTCACAAAGGGGACCTTTTTGACAATCATGTAGCTTGCAAATCATTGCATCACCAAATGTCATTCATTCACTGGCACAAACATAGTATGAAAAACATTAAACAAGCACATATCTCGATCCAAAGCAGAGGCAGGGGCTAGTCATCTTGAGTTGAAGTGAAGGTGGAAAAAAATGTGCAAAATGAACAAGATGATTATTAAATGTTCATACTAATGAGTGAAGTTTGAGGGTGCAAAGGCAGGGTAGGAGAGCATGCAGAATATGTATGGAATGATTTCTATGCCACACAATGTAGAAGATTGCAATTGGGGGATGTTCAGTCTGAGTCCATCCTGTCAACTCATCAGTGTGATACTCAGTGGAGCCTACACAGGGTCTTACAGATGTTTTGGCATAGATCAGTACTGACAGAAAGATAAAACTCATCATCCATCAGGTTACCATGAAAACTGCCATCATCCAGTGACATCTCCAATGAGGGCATGATGAGGGCTTGAGCCATTGCAATGATCTCACTCAGTGCAGCATCATCACATTTAGAAATTGATGTGAAATAGTTGTGAGTGCTCATGCCCCAATTCTGTTTGGAGAATGCTAGTGTGCTCAATGATTCCTTCCTGGACACCTTGTTGAGCTTGAGTGGAGTTTTTGCTGTTGCCTTCATACTGCAAGAGCTGATCTGATTGTCAACTTGCACCTCCCCTGTTTGGAATAGATGAATGGCATGCTCAAGCTGAGATAGTAGTTGTACTACAGTTCAATGACCAAAGAAAGTAAAGTTACACACCATTGTAGGAAAAGTCCAAGTAGCTGTAAAATACAAGCTAGATGGCTTAGGTAACAACAATAAAATGAAGGGAACAAATTGCTCATCCCAAGGGATTCTGGACTGTTGAGACTAGAAGGCAGGACTCAGCACTATGTAGCAGTAATGATTTGTGATGTGCACAGCATGGTCCACAGTATAGTACTGGTGGTGTGAGTGTTGTGAGTGGTATATGTAGTTCATGCATGGCAGTATGCAAGACATGCAGTGTAGATGAAGTGAAAAAGAAACTTGTAGTGACCTTCTGAGTGCCAAGAGGTCTCCTTCTGTACCTAAGTACAGGGCTCTATAGTCTGTGCAAACCTGGAACCTAAGTAAGACAGGGTACAAGTAAAGGAAAGCCATGCAACAGTGCATACATACAAGACAGGCCAGAACAGAGGCCAAGGGTATACTACTAGTGTAAAGGGAACAGAGACCATGGTAAAAGAAAAGAGTCTGAAAGAAGGAATGCAACTGGAGCACAGCAGCCACAGGTATAGTATTGCACAAGAGGGTGCAAGGGTGCAGGAAGGTAGTGAGGTAGGCAGGAAGCTAGCATGTGAACAACAGTGGATGTGAGTGGTCTGGAGATGTAATGACAGTCATGGAACAGTTGATGATAGGGGCTTATGTGTCCAAGGAATGTGGATTCCTTACACCTGTGGGGGACTTGGATGCTGACCATCCCTGGTCTGCCACATGGTGATGGCAAAGGTGTGGTGCTGAGAATTTGAGAACACCAGAGGATTCTGCATAGAAGTGAGGGAAGCATGGTGCTGAGGAATGCAAGAAGGCCATTGAATGCCACATAAAAGCATCTGGACTGATGACATAAGTGCCTCATGGCTGCTAAGTATATAGGTGTTAGTGCACAGCTCAAACCTTCACATCGATTCAATTCTTCCCCCCCCTCATCAATTCCTCTCTCTCATATCACCATGTCTGTGAACCATGTCCACTGACTCTCCCAGCTCATATGTGCACTGACCCTGGACCCTGCAGAGGCAGAGAAGGCTTCCTTGAAAGAGCAGATTACAGTTGCATCAGCAGGGCTCATGGCAGAGGCAAAATGTGTGCCTGACAACTGGGAGGATATGTGAGAGGAGAAGACAACCTGGCCAAGGTGCTGGGAGGAGAAGATGGTAATTTCTTTGCTTGGTGACATGGTCATGCAATATTGATGAGTGTGCTGCAGGTGGTATTGATGCCATTGGTTGAGCAAGGGAAGGCACTTAGGGTCTCTGTGTGGGTTGACACAGAGGATGCTCCTGTGCTGGCTGAGGCTGATGATCTCCATGAATGGTGGGCCATGGAGGAAGCTGAAGCATGTGTGAAGGCTGAGCAGGATGTTCAGATGGGGGAGGAGACTGTGGTGGAGCTCAGTGATGACAGTGTGGTGAAGATGTCCCACATGGGAGTCCTGCAGCTGGCTTGCAAGGTAAGTCACTGCTGGTGCATCATGTAGTCTGATTGACACTGTGACCACACAGTGATCTTGACAGGTGATCACTGAAAGCAATGATGATGAGAGGCCCAAGGTATCCATCCCCCCCAGGTCAGTACTGCACACAGTGCCCTGTGCATGGTGCACCATCAAGGGAATGCCATGCATTGGGCCAAGCCACAAGACATGCAATGGGTGTGCAAGGATGAAGCAGGGCTGCAAGAAGTCCAGCAAGCTTTTATGTGGCATTCAACAGCCTTCTCATATTCCTCAACACCATGCTTCCCTCACTTCTATGCAGAATCCTCTGGTGTTCTCAAATTCTCAGCACCACACCTTTGCCATCACCATGTGGCAGACCAGGGATGGTCAGCATCCAAGTCCCCCACAGGTGTAAGGAATCCACATTCCTTGGACACATAAGCCCCTATCATCAACTGTTCCATGACTGTCATTACATCTCCAGACCACTCACATCCACTGTTGTTCACATGCTAGCTTCCTGCCTACCTCACTACCTTCCTGCACCCTTGCACCCTCTTGTGCAATACTATACCTGTGGCTGCTGTGCTCCAGTTGCATTCCTTCTTTCAGACTCTTTTCTTTTACCATGGTCTCTGTTCCCTTTACACTAGTAGTATACCCTTGGCCTCTGTTCTGGCCTGTCTTGTATGTATGCACTGTTGCATAGCTTTCCTTTACTTGTACCCTGTCCTACTTAGGTTCCAGGTTTTCCCAGACTATAAAGCCCTGTACTTGACCCCATGTAGTCCATTTAGTCACAACATATAGGTAGCCTGTGTGCCAAAATGCCAACACTTATATAGATCCTGTGATGGGCCCATCTAAATAGATTAGCCATGACACATGGACAGGCCTGAGGGCCTATAGTGAGAGCAACATATGTACAGGCCCATAAGCACAATTCCACAACATATGGGAGGGCCTGTGGAGGGTAAGGATGCTGCAACATTTAGACAGGCCTGTGACCAAGTAAGTATGCTGAGCTACTGTAAGACATGGATGGGCCCATCCATGGTAGGGTGCACCCCAGTCACAATATCAGGACAGGCCTGCCTATTGTATCATGAAGAAGGTTGCAACATATGGATGGGCCTGCCTGTCATATGTTTTATAGGGTCACAACATAAAGATGGGCCTGTCAATAATATCATTTATAGCATCAAAACATGTGGACAGGCCCTTCCATAATATCATTTATACCATTACAACACATGGGTGGGCCTGTCCATAGTAAGATGTACCTGTCACAACATAAAGATGGGCCCTTCAATATATATCATTTACAGGGTCACAACACATGGATGGGCCTGTCTAGTAAGATACACCCCTGCTGCAACATAAAGACAGGCCTGTCAGTAATGTCATTTATAGTGTCACAACATATGGACAGGCCCTTCCATAATACCACTTATACCATCACAACACATGGGCAGGCCTGTCCATAGTAAGGTGTACCTGTCACAACATAAAGACAGGCCCTTCAATATATATCATTTACAGGGTCACAACATGTGGATGGGCCCATCTAGTAAGATGCACCCATGTCACAACATAAAGATGGGCCTTTCAGCAATATCAATTACATGGTCACAACACATGGATGGGCCTGTCAATAGCAACATGTATGCCTGTTGCAACATAAAGACAGGCCCATCAGTAATATCATTTACAGTGTCACAACACATAGACAGGCCCATCTAGTAAGATACACCCCTGTTGCAACATAAGGATGGGCCTGTCAGTAATATCATTTACAGTGTCACAACACATAGACAGGTCTGTCTAGTAAGATGCACCCCTGTCACAACATAAAGATGGGCCCATCAGTAATATCATTTATAGTGTCACAACATATGGAAGGGCCCTCCAGCAGTATCATTTATGTGGTCACAACATAAGGACAGGCCCTTCAGCAGTATTATTTATATGGTCATAACATATGGACAGGCCCTTCAGTAATATCTTTTATATCACCATAAAACAAGGACAGGTCCATCTAGTAAGATCCACCCCTTTTGCAACATAAGACAGGCCCAACACCAATAGCATGTATAGTGTCACAACATATTGATCAGATCACAGTAAAGTATTGAGGCAAGCATCCTGACATGCCATAATTTTCCAACAAGCAGCAAGTGGCTTGCCTGCTATACAACTCCAACCTCATCCACCCCAATCATGAATACTATGCAAGACATGTCTAAAACCCCCCACAGATGGTGAATGGAACTAACAGACTGCATTGCATCATACATGAAAGCCAGATTTCAAGAGGAGGTATTCAGCAGACCTTGCACCCTTCCAGATATATCAATTCCATTTCTGGTGTTATGTGAAGTGGATCACATATTGTCAGTAATCTCACAGGCCTGTCATCACCCAAGTAAGTCCATCATAATGGTGTGATGGAAGTTTTCATCTTTCTGCAGTCAATGTCAGGAAAAATCAGGGTGGAAAAACCTGCAATGCATAAGCTGCTGAGAGATATGTGGAAGTGACTGAGCCATCCATTCTGGTGACCAACTTAAACACCATCCATGTATGGTATTTGCCAGATGCTTTCAGCTCAAAAAGAAGGGTAAGGAAATGCAGAATCTCATATTCTACTGACTTAATGGAATGGAAGGCTGATGTATGGAACTGCCTTCATCTTCTGAGGGAACCACTGTGGGAGAGCATAAAGGCTTCCCCACAGGCATGGCAGATGGACAAGTCATATTTCTGTGATAATGCTGAGTTGAAAGGCACCATCAACCTGTCACCTGCATGGTTTCAACAGGGTCATGGGGTGGGTGATCATTTCTTGCCTTGTGAATAAAGTGCTCATCCATCTTGAAGCCCCAAAATGGCTTCCCAGAAGCCTCATGGCTGCTCAAATCCAGGACAGAAAACACTTCTACAAGGGAATGGGTTGACCAAATGTCTGACACCAATGCCCTGTTATCTGTGATCCTGCATGTCATCCATCTGTGAATGTATGCAGATGGCGGGGAAGCATTGATCCACCTTGGTGAACAGGCAGAACAGTGGGCAGATTTGGATATGAGCTCCATACTGCCAATATGGAGCTCCACATATTGCAGCATGTCTGTGATGGTGAATTGGGCAACTTGTTACCACAGGGATATCAATGGATGGGATCCATGGTATGACATGCTGGTAACTGTGGGTGACTACCTTCCCTTGGACTCTATCATTCCAATGTTGAGTCTGTGGCTGCACTACAACCCAGGGATGATCATTGCATTTTCAGGTTCAGCATTGGAGCATGGGGTGGGAGCTGTAGACAGTGACAGAGCATGCCTGGCATACTACATGTGTGCCAATGTACATCAGTCAGTGCATGTTCCCATGTGTCAATCACTGCAGATGGATGACCTACTACCTAGACCAGTTGCAACTGGAGAACTGTTGATATGAAGCTGCAAAATTTAATGTAAGATTTAGTAGGCAATGCAGATCTTGTATTTTATTAGGATATGCTGGCTCTTGAACTTTGGACAGGCAGTGTTGCCAAGATTTTGCAAATGGGTGGGTGCTTAGACATCATAGATTGGGTGGGTACTCAGAGCTAAAGGGTTTGTATCATAAACTGCAACAAAAGTAAAGCTACTCAGGCCATCATGCAGATGGGTGGTGTCACACACCAAAGGTGTTTGGTGAGGTGGACATGGATACAGCTGATGAATGGAGATGAAGACCATAGCCCTCATGTGAAGAAGGACAGCAAGAAATGTTGGCAGTCATCCCTCACACAAGAACAAGTCATCAGTGCCAGAGAAAAAGAAAGGGAGTGAGTTAAGCACTGGCTAAAATTCTTAAGTGCCTGTGTACAGCATTCTGGTTTTTGGCATGTCTCCACTGTTTCTGCAGATACAGAGACCATTCCCACACTCACTTATAGTGCTCATCCATGCAATCTTACCTTCCAAAATTGGAAAGGATTTGCACACTCCACATGTTTCTACAGCACTCCCTCCAAAAGATGCTCATTTCACTAACTTCTTCTGATATGGCTGCCTCTACATCAATCATTTCACTTGTCCCCTTTGCTAGGGACCATGGCTACATATATCTACCAGGAGTTCCTACCAGCTTCTGTCCTGAAGCATCCTGGTACATCCCACCCTTGTCTGTGCCCTCTCAGCCCATCCAGCTTGGACAGCATGTTCTTTTTGTCAGTATGACCACTAGGAGGACGTTCTTTGGTCACCTCAGGTCTGTCATTTGCTTGGAAAGGTCTTATGTGGTCATTTCAGTCTCTCCAGTCCAAGAAGCATATGGATCCTTCCTCCCTGCTCCCTGCAATGTCTTCATACCAGTCTTGTCCATCATTCTTCCAAGATTGCAACAGCTACAGTATAATCTACTGTTCCCCACTCTCCCTGATCACATCCATGATGAGTATGATGCACATCTTGCCTCCTTGTTGCAAGATACAACAGAAGACACTCCCCCTTCATCCTCTCTTCCAACAGAGCCTTGTTCATGAAGATTTTATTTGCTTCACTGAGAGGATGGTTTGGGGGGGAAGGTTGTGATCCCCTATGCTCCTGTCACCCCACAGACCCCCAAAGCTTGACCCCTGTTGACATCTGACTCACCCTGTCCACTTTTGGATGTACTATATTGGCATCAGATCAGCACTGCCTCTCTGTCATCCCACCTTGGCCTAGAAGCAATCTCTTTGAGATGTGACATGCACAGCCTCCCCCTAATGTGATTCCAGTGCACTTTCCCAGTTCCTGACATTACTTGACTCATACTTTGATGTTCTGACTGTCTTTGACTCACCTGTTGCCAATACTTACCAATCTTTTGACTTTGCTTACTGATTCTTCACTTTTTGGCTTGCTAATCCTTACCAATGCCTACCAATGCCTTCCAAGACAATTACCCATTGCTTACATTCCTTACTCATCAGTTACCAATCACTTGCCAGGTGTTTGCACCTTTTTTTCCAAGGGCAACACCCCTGTACTGTATATAAATCACTGTACTTAGATAGCAAAAAAAAGAGAAGACATCAGAGAGCCCCTCTTGCTCACATTTTTATCATCACTCAGTAATTCATTCAGCAGCTTTGATAGTTGAGACTTTATTAAGGGTCTAACTATTGTCTACTTCACTTATCCTTGTCTATCATCAATATACTTTGCTCCAAGCCCTCCCTGAGCTCAGTGCAGCTTAGGACATTGAATTAAGTTGTCATCCATCCTTCTGTAGGCTGACAGCAGTCTACCCTATCGCATTCTCTTGCATCTTCTGTAGGCTGACAGCAGTCTACCCTATCGCATTCTCTTGCATCTTCTGTAGGCTGACAGCAGTCTACCCTATCGCATTCTCTCGCATCTTCTGTAGGCTGACAGCAGTCTACCCTATCACATTCTCTCACATTC